ATTGTTATTGTAACAACTATTGTTCTATATTGTAACAGCCATTGTTGTATATTGTAACAACCATTGTTCTATACTTTAACAACCATTGTTATATATTGTAATAACCATTGTTGTATATTGTAACAACCATAATTGTATATTGTAACAACCAGTGTTGTATGTCATTGCATCCATTGCTTAACGTCAACACAATCGTTGCTCTATAATGAAGACAATTTATGAAACAGATTGTGCATTTCTTACGTTCGGTAAATCATTGTAGTGACAAAACAATTTCTGATATGAAATTGGATAATCAGAGAACACGTGTACAGACTATCATATTGACAGCCAATGTAACAGGAATTAATGACAACTTTCCTATAAAGCGAGAGAAAATAGCGGCTAGTGACGTCTTTTTCTCGAAATAATATTTCTACTCAATGGGGACTTATTCTCTTGGGACAATAATGACTTCCACGATGGAAACATTGTCCTCAATAGGATGAAAAGGGGTTGCTTGTTTCACATCACATTGTAAATTTCTTAATTGGTTTTCAGTTGCAGAAATAAAAATACGTTAAGTCATCACTCAGGGAGGATTGGCTCCCAGGATCGAAACTCGATATTTTCCAACAATGAAAACGTTGAAATGTCATTTTTTCTGAAATTATAACCGACTATAAATTCAAATGAACAGTCCAAATGATTCCAACCAATATTTCGATCATTTCTTGCGAGTTTTGGAATTTTTCGTTAAGAAATAAGACCAAAATTCACGATTCAAATGTTGAAGTGAACAAAATGGCGGCTGTTTGAGTTCAAATTTTGTATCACGACATGCCCATATATCGGGACTGAATATTGATGTTGCACTATGGTAGCCAATCCGCCTTGGTCATCACCCTTGAAATTTCGACATTTTATAATAGCGCATGCGCATTTGGTAACTTTATAATCCTTTAATTCTTATATTTGATTTAGTGTCTTTATACTGGATTACTAGAATCTATAGGTCTTTGGGTACAACAATTACGTCCACATTGTAAATTATTTTCAGAAACCGAAATACTAAAACCCATCATACCATAGCGCATGCGCAATCGGAAACTTTATAACCCTTACCAATAGGTTATTTCGCCTGTTCAAACGCATTTATCAGGCTCTGCAGGTCGCCTTGTGTAATTTTGTTTTCAATTTGTATTTATTAATCCATAGTCTAGAGTCTTGAATAACATTTCAATTTAATTAGACAAACGATACGCTGAAAACTAAAAATGCAATGCGATCGCGGAATAGGAATACACTAATATGATTGTTGACCGCATTTCGTTCCAGGTGTTACGTTAATCCCCGGTTGTCTCATGTTATCAAACTTGCTCTCTTGTCATTGCAACATTTGCAATGGAATCTAACAAGAGAGTGCAAACTCTAAGTGTATACCCGTCATAAGAAAAACAACCCCATATATCCCAAAACTATGGTCTAACCTTAAAAGAAACAACTTCTAATACCTAAATAATAATGATTATATGATTTTTATAGCTCCTAATACAACAATAATTAAGCAGTTCTCTATCCGATTTGATAATTTAACGTCTTCACGCTGGCTATAGTCGATGCAAAAATGTTAACTGATTTGGGCAGGCCTGAGTGCAAAAATGCTAAAGGATGATTACTTCAAGGATCATACTAAGTGAAATAATTTGTACAATTACTTTAACCATGAGTTTACATACAAACAGTACGTAATGTAAAATAATTCGGAATAAAACTAGATAAAGTATTCAGTTGATATGTAGACATAACCGGAACGAGGATATATACGAAAATATGTCATATTCGAAAAGCGGGCTGAATCCGAGGAATGAGCAGATCAAGATACGATCAAAATCCGGGAATTCCAGTCGGCTCGTGGATTGTGTAAGGTTTACATGGCGTGCTTTTTGATTAGACAAATTGCAAACAGACGTTATTTTATTGTCTCCGATCTGTTCTCAATTTTATTTTAATCATATGTCATAGAGATCATTCTTTATTAACGAAATAGAGATCAAATAAAAAATACGAGGCGGGTTTAAATAAGATGTGATCTAGTGAATCGCGGTCCATTCTTCAGTGAGTTAGATAATGAAGTGTTACTATGATTACTCTTCTTCACTTTCAGTTACTTCGACCGGGTCAACGCGGACCATAGGATTATCTTAAAGGACTTCAATCTCGGTTACACCACGAGAAATTACATTCTTCAACTTTATGATATTGCTCTCCATTCACATATCGGAAAACAGTGAATTCTAATGCTTGTTAGAAACTACACCCTCGTCCAAAAGTTTGGCACTTTGAGTTTGGGCGACGCTTTTAAGTCTGTTTATTGTTTGAAGAATTTATAAAAACAATATTTTATATAATAAGTTTTTTCTTAAATTTCCAATCTAATGTAACTCAGAATAAAAATAAAATCGAAATATAAACGGCCTCTTTGCGCTATCAATGTAGACCCAGAGTTGCTATACTTTTGTAGGGGGGTTGTATTTGCATGTATCTCATAAGAACTAAGATTGATAACAAACCCGTTCATTAGTAACGTTTATGGTCGACAATGATGCTTCATCAGTAAGTACAATGTTTCTGATGTTGCCATAAAATTCCCAACGTTTTTATTTTCTCAACTTCTTGATTTTCTGACCTCGATACTCAAGTCTTTATATAGTGTATTGCAACGTAAGATGCTTTGATATGGTGCTAGCATTTGATTTATGGATAAATGGATATCATTTGCTATTGACCTAATAGGCTCACTACAAAAAAGTTCTATGTATTACTCATTTTCTTTCCTCAAGAAGACAGATATGGCCTGTGTTTTGTAGATTCCCACCACGTAATGTACGTACGATTTGGAAATATAGGTACCTATAGCCCTGCTTTCAATACTTAACCATTTTTTGGTTTAATTTCTCAAAGGGGGGGGGGCTTCGGGCCTGTACACGTGCGTCAGATTTGGAAATATACTTACCTTTAACTCAGTATTGCCCTGCAAGCAATGCTTCCCTTGTCTTAGCAGCGAGGGGGACAAAACATATTCCAATAGTTTGGTTTGGCTTCTATTATACTCAGAGAGTAAAGGTCGAAAACGACAAAATTCTTATGACGCATCTGCATTCAACTTTTTTAAATGTGTCAGAACTTGACAAGTGAAACGTACAACTCTTCAGCCCATAAAACCATTCATTCTCAAATATTTCATTTCAGTTGACCACATTCAAGGCTGAGAGAGAAGCTATGTCTTTTGAGAATGCAATACGCCATCTATCTTTCCTATCTGAGGCTATTTCATCGTATCATCGAACCTCAATGTCCTCTATTATTATTGCGGAGTAGGTCACAGTAACCCTCTCTATTATTCCTTATCACTGGCGGACCTAAAAATTTGGCCTTTTTGGTCATTACTGGGCCTCAATTGATTAATTTTATGCCGTATGCGTACCTTTAACTCAGTATTGCCAAATACTGAAGCCAAGTTTTGAAGAAAATTGGCCTCAAATTTTCAAAACGAGGGCCCACCTTTTGGTTTTACGGGCCAAAAAGTTTTTTTGCGCTCAAACGCGGATTTTTTTTTATTAAATCTGAAATTTGGGCCTCCCCTTGTTGGTTCCCAGATCCGCCATATTTGCTATGATAGAGAGGAGGTTGCTTAATGTCATTGAGTTATTCGATGTTTTATTTCTAATTTGTAATTCTATAAACCATAGACATAAAAATATTTTTATGTCTTTGTATGTATAAACTAACACGCATTTCGCCAATTACCCTTTTGAAGAATTCGATTCCGCGTCTTTAATAGTTTCATCTGTGGCAGCTACGATAAGTCTTAAATCCAAAGGGTAATACATCCTCCTAAGCAGGTGTCAAGAATCCGTACCTCTTTCTTCAATATAAATATTAAGACTAGACATTTATAGTAGATTACTATATAGAATATAGCGCATACATGTATGATATACCAGTAGGCCCGTAGCCAGGATTTGCCAAGGGGGGGGGGGGGGGGGTCAGTTTTCAAAAAATTCCAGGGGGGTTCACATTTGACAATTTTGACCCAAATATGGCTAAAACCAAGTGATCAAAATGGTGAAAAACTGCATGATTTTGAAAGAATTTTTGGCTAGGGGGGGGGGGGGGGTCGGCTAGTATCTAGTTTAGTTTGAACAAAGTATTGGAGCGCGATGGTTATATTCTCGTTCATATATTCCTTGAATACTGTCGTTAGATTGTCACATAAAATGCAGTAATGGAAAATGTAATTATGTCAAAAATCTCGAGATCGTTCTATGTATTTCTGCATTACAACGATATTTTATCTTTAAATAATGTACTTATTTATATCTCTAACATATTAGGGTTATGTGCATGTAGGTTTTGGATACAGGGTTTATCTCGAGGCAGATATGTGTATTTCTCGAAGGATCGTGGTGACATTGCGAAATTAAAGGTCGTGTAGCTAAAACAATATAAATGTCAATGTTTTAATGTAACAGTGTTACTTGCGTGACATTTAATGAATTACATATTTATTTATGAATTGAAAGTATTAATAAGTACGTGTATATCCGGTGTCCAGAATAACTTCATTTATGCCATTCCTTTGTTTTTGTTCGATTATCAATAAGATTATTCAGCTCCAAATATCTATGAAGTTCGGGACGTGACATTAAGGAATCTAGTGAGAGGTGTGTTTGAGGACAAACTTATTTAATATCTGTGGAGTAGTGTAACGTTTCAAAACGTATTGATTTCACAATGTTAGCAAATCAGTCACAATGTATCTACTTATTGCATAATTAATGATGGCAGATTTTATCTTATTCTAATATTTTTCAAGACACGCAAACGTTAAATATAGAATGACATTTTTAGGATGAATGACTGAGGAAAAACAGTAGCATATCACATGAAAAGAAGGAAAAAGATTGACACATGTAAATTATCTAATTTTCTAACGGAAACATGTTTTGTGTTTTCAGATACCGATACAAATGAAGAAGACTATAGTTTAGACGATGTCTTCCAAGAGCTTTATAAATCGGTTACCCCGGTGAAATTCACATGTGATAACGAGGCTGACCGGAAGTGTGAAAATGGCGGAACGGGGCCCAGCTGGAACGAGGAAGATAACACGTGCATTTGTCTCTGCAATGACGGATTTACCGGTCCACAGTGCAGTGATTCAAAAAACCCGGTTGAAGCGTCCGAAGAAGTTGCCAAAAGAGAAAATGTCTGGTTCCACCCGTTCATGAGAGATGGCGAAAAAAGAGCGGCAAACGTCTGGTTCAATCCACTCATGCGAAACGGTGAAAAACGTGATGGAAATCTATGGTTCCATCCACTGATGAGGGAGGCACAGAAAAAGGCGCCGGGAGTTTGGTTTAATCCGCTTATGCGTAGTGGGAAAAAGCGTGCCGCAAATGTTTGGTTCAACCCATTGTTGCGTAACCAAGCAATTAGACGTCGATCTGGTAACATCTGGTTCAACCCGTTGCTAAGGAACAATGAGAAAAAACGCGCTAACGTTTGGTTCAACCCTCTCCTGAGGCACAACAGGGGTGATGAAGAGACTTTGAAAGATGACAAACGCAGAGCTAACGTTTGGTTTAACCCCCTTATGAGACAATACAAGAGGGCTAATGTTTGGTTTAACCCGTTGCTACGCAGCAATGGTGAATAACCAATAATCTAAGGAGGATGACTCCCAACGATGACGTGCTTCTATTGTCATGACAACATAATGGTTGTTGTTTTGTTGTCAAGTTGGAAGTCACACTCGGTTAGAAACTCAATACTCAAACATCCATCCATTAGTAAAGATTCATATCCTTTCATTTTGTTCTTTTAACATTCCAGAGACTAAATCATATCATAATTCCTCATAATAAATGTTTGAATTCTATAAATAGATAATCATAAATAACTGAACACACGCCAATGTTAATTTAAAAATCCTTTTGTGATTATGTACCAGAAATAAAAGCACGATGGAAATCTTAAAAATTCTTTTTCAATTTTCCGCTTTGCATACATTGTCTACACGCCGACTATTGTGTCAGTCGTGTATTTAGCCCAATGAACTTGGTTTATTACCACTGGATTTACTCTGTTTCACGAAGGGCCCCTTGTATTACATCATGGATCAATCGACAAGGCATAGACAGGTCAAAATGTCTCCACGTGGGAGGTTAAGCGAACGAGTATGTACGTGCACGTATAATATTATGATTCAGTGAATAACTGTCCCCTTCGCCTCAAGTTTTTCCAGGGATTATGCATATTTAATTTTACAAGTTACGAAGGAGTGAAATAATCCCAGAAGTCTATAATTGTTCACGTACGAGTTCTCTGAAGTTAAACCTCTAAATTAGAGAGAGAAAAATAAGCTAAACATAAGTTCTTAAATTCGTTGTCATAGTAATCTCTGAAGATATATTTTATTCATACAACATGCATATGTGACAACTGTATGCATTTGATCATGACAACTAAAGGTATCAATGAGCAAAATGTTAGAAATGCTGTTCAGCCCACTAATATTGTCGCCATGGTAACATATATTGTCTTATGAACACTCTTGGAACAACTCGCTACTAATCTTATGAAATTCAATCTAATCTAGCCTGTACTTCTCCAAGTACATGTTAGCTCTATAGTAACGCTATGTTGCCAAGCTGTCACTACCGAGTTGTTATCATTGTAACATCCATTACAAAATTAGAAATAAATAGAGATGATGAAGATTACACAATTTTAATTTTATCCTATATTGTGACGATCGAATCTACATGTAGTCCCAACTATGCCCATGTGGGGGTCGGCATTCCGAATTCATTGGACAAAGACGATTTATTACTAGAAAAAAGTAAGAAAATATATCTTTAATGCCTCAGTCACATTTGATCTACGGCAACCGTGCGGCGGTCGTAGCTTCCTAAAATCGAGAGAAAAATGCAAGATAAAATAAGGATAAGCAGTACGATGTGATGTCTATATCGATTTTGTGAAGCCACTGCCACCGTAGCGCAAATGTGACTGAGCCTGTATTCGCAAACTTTCGGATGACGGCTACCGGATAAACCTATTATTTTATGACCAACTCATTTAAATATGAATAGAACCTGCCATGAATAGAACCTGTTCCATTCATATTTAACTAGATAAAATGTTTAACATAACTATAACGAAAGTATCCATACACAACGTAGGATTATCGAAATTGCCATATTAATTTCAATATTCTTTTTTATCGATAGATATAAAAAAAAACTGTTCAACTCCTGTAGAAAAAACTTGGGCCAACGGATCAGGAGTAAAAAAGCTAACCCAAGCAAAGCTAATCATTCAGTCGTCCGGCATGATTTTTATGTCATATTTGGCACAGTTGAAACTTGTTAAATGTACTCTTCCTACCCACCCTGTGGTAAGCTTAGTGCCATTTTGTTAGTTTTTCTTTTGGACCTGGATCTTCCTGCTCTGCACAGGCCCCACCTACACTACAACCTAACCCAGCTGCAAGAGACACAGCCTTATCCATAACTCCCACAACCAAACTCAAGGTTGTGTAACATACTTTGTGCAAAGCGTAATACTGTCTTGGCGCCCAACCCATTTAGCGCCCCCCAGCTATATACTCACGCTTGATGCTGCTGCTTACATACCACTAACCATGTACCGTGGCCCGAACTAACTGCCCTATATGTCTAGCTTCTCTGCCAAACTTCTGCTTGTAGTGTGTCTATCCAGCAAGAGGAACATGTTAGATAATTAGTCTATAAGCTTAGATTAGAAATACTAAAAAGAATGTAATAATTCATTATTTGCAGATGTAGTATAATCTGATAACTGTCTGTTTTAGCATTGTAAGTGTGTACTTATGTAAGTTGTGCCAACTTGTGTATATGTCATGTTTTGTCCTGTCTGTACTAAATATGCAAATGCATGTACGTATGTAATGTAAGGCTTAACTTTGCTTAAAGTCTACATATTTTGCTGGTACTGTATGTAACATAACATAGTCTAATGACGTCAAGATACAATACAAGGTCAAGGAAATCAGAAGTACCAGCTACTAAGGAGGAAGCAGCACCAAAACCTAAACGAGGGAGAAAAACTAAAAACCCTGCTAGCGCTTTAGTTAAGCTAAAAACTAACAAAGACTCATGCCCCTGTAAATGCTTTAACTCCACAAAGGAAGCAGACCTGGAAGCTGAACAAGAGTGGATTCAGTGCGATTACTGCAAACAATGGTGGCACACTCATTGTGCTAATATAGATGCCAACCAAGTAGAAAATTGCTTTAAATGTTCTATATGTGTCATTAACCACTTACAAAACCCACCTCCCCCCAAGTAGTTACAACAATAAAAGCTAAATATGTTAAACAATCCTCATCAGTAAGGCAAGATAAACCTAGCTTTAAACATCTACAACAGGAAAATAACAGTTCAGCTAATGCTGTAGAAAATACAGCACATGAAAAACATAACTCTGACCACAAAAGGTGGAGAGATAAAAATTCTGACGAGCTTATTAAAGAAAACATTGTCATAATTGACAACATCAATAAACCAAACAACTTTATAAATAGCTCTGATATAAAACGTGAAATTTACAAGTACAAACCAAATGTAAATATTGCTTACACATATATGCTACCTAGGGGCGGAATTGCAGTACACACAGAAACTGCAGAACACAAGGAATCCCTCCTTCAGGACGACTGGAGTCCCGGTGCCTTTGATGGGAGCAAGCTAAACATCCACGAACCAGGACCTCAACCCACATGCGTTCTAAAAAACGTGAGATGTAATCTGGATGAGACAGGTATAACTGAGATCATCGCCAATACAACAGGTGTAACAGTAGACGTAAGAAGACTTCACTACACTGATACAGGTAAAGCACTGCCAATTGTGAATATCAAATGTAAATCATACAAGGATCTCAAAACAATTTTTGAATCCAAAATCGTATTTGAGGGAACAACTTGGATCATAAAACCCCACCACAGTGCAAAATTCAAGGTCACACGTTGTTTCAATTGCCAGCGCTACGGTCACGTAGCCAAAAGCTGTTCTTTTGTCAAAAGGTGCAAATGTGGAAACCCTGGAAATCATGACCCTATTTCTGATTCTTGCAGCAACTCTTGTTGTAACTGTGGGGGCACACATAAGGCAAACTCCAACCAATGCCCCATGTTCATTCAACACAAAACCAGACTGCAAAACAGAATATCTCAACATGAAAATAAATCAAGCGAATGTTAGATCCATTAACACATCTGCTAAATACATTCAGAACATTACGCATGAAAATGTAAAAATATGGTGCCTTACTGAAATTTGGCACCCAGATTTCAAAAAACTCAACATTCTAAAAAATTGGTCATGGGTCAAAACGGAGAGAACCAACAGGCAGGGTGGGGGGTCAGCAGTGGTGGTGGCTCCAGACATCAAAATGGTAAAACATCCAGATCTTATGATCAAAAATCTCGAAACGTCATGGGCAAATATCTATGCTGGCAATGTACACTTTACCTTATGTTCCGCATACATACCTCCAGATGATGAGGAGGCAATGAAAACCTTCATAATAGTCGCTGAGAAAGCACTAAATGAAAGCCTCCCTGTCGTCTTCACGGGGGATTTTAATGCGAAACATATGATGTGGGGGTGCAAAAACAATAATGCTTTAGGCAACATATTGGTGGGCTTTATAAATAGTCATGGTCTCACTATCTTAAAGTCCCCGTCTAAAGTTTGAAAATATTTTTTTATCATTCATTTACTATTTGTCAGGACTTAAAAAGTGATTTTAGAGATTTTTGAACAAAAAAATTATTTTGAAAAAAAGTTGTGAGCATTTCATTTCTCAAATATTCAAATTTCCCGCCATTTTTCAAAAAAAGTTGAAATTTCTTAATCATCAAATATTTCTTAGTGCATTTCAAAAAAGATTATATTTTTAACACCAATGCAAAGATTGAACAAAAGACACACTATTTCAATAATAAAATGTCATATTTAATGGGCCACTTCAATGTTTTAGCTTATCAAAAATATTTTGAAACATTAGTGATGTCACTAAGGTAACAAAAACTTTTTGAAAAAAATTGAATTTTTTTTTTCGATGTCAATCTTTTCTAAATATGCTAGACTTTCATAAAAACCAATGTTGATTGTCTAACCAGGTTAAAAGGAAGAATAAATTATGTTTTAGATATCATTGTACCATTGGTTTCTATGAGAACTAAAATTTTGAAATGCATTTTTCTCAGAACCATTTTCATGCACTGATAAGTTCATTTCTCACTTGTTTATCAACCGATTTTCTTAATTTTTTCGGCAAAAAACATGGGAGGATGTATGCTATGCATTGGTATGAATTGTGGCTAATTTGAAGATATGAGTGACCTCTAAAAGTTGGTTTTAAATAAATTCACAAATTTTGGAACAAAAAGTCTATCAAAAACCACTTTTTGAAATTAAAAAAAAAAGTTTCACATATCACACTTTGATAACATTGGGTAAGACTACAATATAAGCCAAAGTGGTTTAAACTTTACATGGGGCCTTTAAATGATAACACACCAACTAGAGACACCTCCATCATCGACCTCACAATCTGTAGCAACTCTCTCAGACACAAGATCAATGATTGGCATGTAGATAGTGAAATTTTTCTCAACACTGATCATAAATTAATACAATTCAGTATAGGGGAACTTCCTAAAGCAGAATGTAAGGAATATTGGGATTTCAAAGGTGCAAACTGGAACGCTTTTACCCATGAATGTAATAACCTATTTTCAATATATCTTACAGCAAGCAACCAGGAAGGGCACTCTAGTGAATCCACAGTAGATGCAGACTACAGGGAAATCTGCAGACTCATACAGTTAGCCTCTGAGACCACTCTAAATAAGAAGAGGGTAAACAAGCATAGTAAGGGATGGTGGTGCAGGGAACTAACGAGCATGGTTAAAACTTTAAGAAAAGCGAAAAGAAAGTTAAATGCTCGGTACGACCCTGCTAACTACCAAGCCTATGTAAAAAGTGTAGACAAATTTCAAGAATTGACTGAAAGCTATAAAAATAGCTATTGGGCAAGAATGTTCAGCCAACTTGATAGAAATGGTAATGACAATGCCCTTTGGAGGATTGTCAATAGGTATAATTCAGGACAAAACATAAAGAAAACAGTTCAACCAATTGTAAAAAATGGCACAACAGCAGTAACTGATGAAGATATATCAAATGTACTCCTGGCCAAATATGGCAAGGAAGATTTAGATGTAAAATTAGATGTAGTGTGGTATAATAGCATAATGAGCAGATACAATTTTATAGTTGATTCTGAAAAACACAATATCAAATCGGCTCAATATGACAATCAGTGTGAAATTGTGAATGGCGAGATCCACCTAAATGAGGTCAAAAGAGCAATTGATAACATGGCCAAGGCCTCGGCTCCCAGTCCAAGAGAAAAAATACACAATTTAACAATCAAAAAAGGGGGAATTAACATGATCTCTGCCATCCACAAACTCATACAGAAATGTTGGTGTAAAGGCACATTACCAAAAGAGTTTACCATTGACCCTAAATTCACATTGCACAAACCCGACAAAGAAACATACAACGATGATGGCTCATATAGGCCAATTACACTCGAATCTGTCATTGGTAAGATCTATGAAAGGGTTACAAATGGTAGACTAAATTGGTTAGCTGAGGTAAACCACATGTTATCTTCTTTCCAGGATGCGTACAGAACGGGAAGAACCTGCACGACCAACCTAATTAGACTGGTACAAGATATCCAAGTAGGATGGAACAACCAGCTAATTACAGTGGCTGTAACAGTAGATTATTCGTCCTGTTTTGAACGCATTTGGAGGGAGGGGTTGATAGTTAAACTTTTCGACAAGGGTATCAAGGGTAGACTCTTGATATACATAGCTGAGTATCTTAGCAATAGGGCCTACACTTTGACAGTCAACAATCATACAACTGAGCTCAAAAAGTCACACGTAGGAATCCCTCAAGGGGCCGTGATTTCTCCGACACTCTGTAACTTGTACACAGCGGATGCTCTGGCGAAAATAAAATCGCAACATGGGGAATACGCAGATGATGCAATTATATGGTGCAGCGGTAAGACTATAGCTGAAGTCGAAAAAACAGTAAATGAGGATTTGGAACATTTGGCCAGATGGTGCTCGCACTGGAACATGGACATAGCAACAAATAAAACAAAAGTGCTTGTATTTACACCTCAAGGGTCAATAGAACCAAATGTATCAATATACTTCAAAAACTCAAAACTTGAAGTAGTACCTCAAACTAAAGTGCTCGGCGTCACTATAGATAACAAATTAAAGTTCATCTCGCACATAGAGGAAAGGCAAAGGAAGGGCTTCGGGGCTCTTAAACGTATTGCTGACTTTGCGAATGCAAACATCGGTTGCAAACAAGAGACCTTTACTAAACTGTATAAATCTTTAGTCAGGCCCAACCTGGAATACGGCAGCAGTGTGATAGCCACATCCACAACCAAAGCAGCAGAAGCCTACAACTCGGTTCAAAGACAGGCACTTCTCAAAGCAACTGGCTGTCTGCACTCAACCAGTACAGAAACGCTAGAGGCGATCACAAATTGTGTGCCCATCTATACGTTGCTCCGAGCAAGACAAGCTCAAGAACACATCAGAATTCTTATGAAACATGAATCTGAACCGATTCTAGCAGAATTCAAACTCTGGAAAGCTAATCGCAAACCAGAGAAATGTGTCTCTAATTTTAACATACTGCTATCTAGGACACGGGAATTTGGTAAATCCCTACTCCAAACGCCTCTGGACAAAGCGTACTCAAATTCAGACTGGTGTCCTTTCTCACCTCTCGGAATACAACTTGACCTTGAAGACTTCACAAGCTCAAAGAGCGCCCAAACTACAAGAATTCAACAGATTCTACAGAAGATCCCAGTTGATGACACAGTGGTCTTCACGGATGGATCCACACTTGGCAATCCGGGCCCCACTGGATCAGCAGCAATAGTCTACGTGGAAGGTCTTGCAGCTGACCCGGTTTGTTTAAATAAACCCATCTCAGCAAAAGGCAACAACTTTATAGCTGAAATTTATGCTTTACTGTTAGGTCTAGACTTCATACAGGAAATAAACACCAGCCAAAATATATGGCTATTCTGTGATTGCCAACCTGCAATAACCTCTGCTTTTATCTCTGAACACCCAGAAGGTCATGTTGAACTGATAAAAAAGATTCGACAACTGTGTGTTAAGATCAAAGATCAAAACAAATGTATAAACTGTCACTGGGTCCCAGGTCATGTAAATATCCATGGCAATGAATTAGCAGATAAACACGCAAAAAAAGCAACTAGTTTGGCAGAACAACTTGAGTTTAACACAACCTCTGTTACAAAAAGTGAGGCTTATAATGTAGTTCACAAATCCATTAAAAACAAATGGCAAAGGCAATACTCCAACTCTAAAAAAGTTCGGGCCATACAACAGGTTATCACAAAGATTGGATCCAACAACCCCCCAGAATCTTCCAATCGCAAGATATCCTGTATTGTCAACCAACTAATTAGTGGACATACCCAACTCAATAGCCACCAAGCCAAAATCAACCCAAACATTACATCAAATCTCTGTGAGTACTGCAATAAACCAGAAACTGTCGACCACTATATTAATACATGTGGTCTCTTTGAGCTGGAAAGACAAGAGCTCTACTCGAAAGTTGACAATATACTCCTAGGAGAAAATACAAATCCACTACTGGATCTACAGACTCTAAGTGGTCGTAACATAAACCTGTCACAATCAACAAACAGGACAATATTTCATGCCTTTTGCAATTACATTAGGCAAACCAGGAGATTTTAAATGAGCACATATAAAAACTGTATATAATAGTATAAGGAATTTTAGACTTTTGATAAAGAACAAGTGAATAAGTATCAAGAGCAAGCACAAGGGAATTACCAGTAACACGTGACCAATAAGCGGCATTATAACGCTATAAAGGATACAAACAAACAAACAAACATTCTTTCATTCCACCAAGTAGTTTGTTTGTTTGTTTGTTTGTTTGTTTGTTTGTTTGTTTGGAATAGCACAAACAATAAAGTTCTGAGAGTCGTGATTTTGGCATGTTTTACCATTTTGAGCATGTTTTGTAACTGAAATAGCCATAAAATCTTGACCATTTTCAATCATCGGACCACTGAAACTTAGTAGAATGAAAAAATATTTGTAAATGCTTGGCATCATCAATCAATCATCATTTATTTTGTAAAATATGAGTTAAAATCCATACTGGATGACGGAGTTATCAAGATTTGGTTGGGTTACCTTTTTTGGCTCACCCCGTACAATAATAGCCTTAAAGATGTCACCTTCGCCTTGGGTGATGTGTGCGCATTTATAAAATATACCGTTTATATTGACGTCATGCTGAAGTCAAACGTACTTTATGTTACACCTGTTACACCTGCATAAGAAAACGTGAACAACATGTACTCTATGTAGTACAAGGATTACAGATAACCGCCATTGTAGGCTACGACAACCGCTGTTACCGGCATTGTTGCACATGCGCGTGACTCAGATCACATGACAGTCTTGTGACTCTATTTTCAAAATGGCGGGTGTTGTGAAAGCAGTATTTCTGTTTTGTCTCCAGGTTTCTTTAGTTTTTTGTCGTAGCAATAGTGTCAGTGGAGGCTGCTACGATCCAAAATATGACGAAGGTATTAAAGGAGTGAAGTAAGTATAAATGAATAGTTTATGATACGTCTTCCTGATGATTTTTCTCAGCTTCTGTTTTTCAGGTTTCGAATTCGATTGTTGTTTCACGAATTTCTATAGTCTCTATACAATTCACAAGTTTCTGTGTCACTTGAACATAATCAAGCACCCCAGGGCTGACTTCTGCAGCTGTCAGCTCGGTAGAGTAAATTCTACAATCTCACTCGAACATAATCACTCATATCAAAGTTGGTGATGTAACAAGTATTATTGGAGACTGGGTCAAAAATGATGGGTAGAGTTTACTTCGGTCCAAAGCCTTCTCTATATTCCGGCTTTGAGTAGAAGATTGAGCTGCCTTGGTACTATGAATATTGTCCAGAACCAGAACCGGAAGCCATTTTTCGCTACAGCGAGAAAATGTCACCATGTGTCAAACTCCGAAATGAAATTTTGAAATATCTAAATCCAGACAAGCAACGCTTCATCCTAAATATAATTAATATTCTTAAAAATATTTATTAAATTTAAAAAAAATGAGTACTAGGTGCGTGTAGGTGCGTGTAGCACCTTTTCTAGAGTACATACGAAATCAATGAAGTTACGTCTAGCTGTAAGCTAGAGACTCAAGTAAGGTAGAGTCTACCTTCTTCTTAGGCCACTGTATCGTGGCCTTCCTGGAAAGATAATTTCCTGCATGAACAATTGGTCATGTCGTAATCATAAAATTTGAAATCATATGTCCGCCATTTTTCCACATCACAATTTAATTGCGAGTTTTGGTCTTATTACCTCACCAAAAATTCCAAAACACACATGAAGTGATCAATGTATTAGTTCACATCTTCTGGATCGCTAACTTAGAATTTACAGCCAGTTACTAATGTCAGACGTTAACAACATTTCGTCCAGTTTTCAAATATCGCCATTTTTCTTGGAGCCATTTTGTTTTAATTTTAGACGAAATCTTGTCATATTTCATCAAGGAGTTCAGTCGGTTCCGATTTGATTTATGATTTATTTATCTGGCGATTTTTAAAATATTCAATAAATTTATGACACTCCGACCAGCTTTTTTCAAATGGAGTTCACAGTATTCCAGACCTCTAGCCAATTATTGGCTAGAGACTCGAGTAAGGTAGACTCTACCCATCATTTCTGACCCAGTCTCCAATAATACTTGTTACATCATCAACTTTGATATGAGTGATTATGTTCAAGTGAGATCGTAGAGTTTACTCTACCGAGCTGACAGAAGTCAGCCCTGGGGTGCTTGATTGAAAATTCTTTGAAGAGAAAAAATCGAGCCCAGTTTGACTAAACGCTGTGCTGAGTAGCGTTTAAAATACACTATACATTTGAATCAATAGATCTACATAATTTTTTATTTGTTGTTACATTATTATGATCCTTCAACAGTCTGTTGTTGTAGTAAATCAATGTTCTATAGACAACAAATCTTTTGAATTTAGATTGTAGCCATTTTAGGTCTCGCGAGATCTCTTGACTTTTGAAAGTAAATAGTTGTTACAAAATAACTCAGACTAGCTAAATATGAATAGTCACGTGATCTTTTAGCGGCAATGCCCATGGGCATGTAAAATACAATGCGCATGTGCATGCATGCGCAAAAGTTAAAAAATGATGCGAATCAGCTCTGGAATTTCTCCACTTAAACTGCAAATTACACAACAAGTAGGCCTTATTGTCACCAGGCGTCATGAAAAGGGCAAGTTACCGTTAAATTATTCCAGCGCGCCTGCTGGAAGTTGGAGAAAATCACTTCACATGATGGTATATTTGAACGGCCCGTCAGCTGGCTTTTGAGCCAGCTGTGTTCAGTAAGGTAGAGTCATGGGCATTCAATAGATATTTTAGTATTTTAGTTCAAAAAGGGTAGGCTGGGCACACACATACTGTTTAACCAGTGTATTCCTTCAGTCATATGTAATGCCTTAATGGATCAAGATGAGGCACCATAATTTATGGTTGTCACTGTCAGATTTTATTTCCAGCAATCATGGATTGCACCAAGTATATCCAACTTATTGAGTTGTGGAATCATTGGATCAATGTTGCTATATTATTACCTTTGACCAGTTTATCCCCGTTCTTTACACCTAAATTACATACCTCAATACATTCTTGAACTCTAAATGATACTTTTCAGTTGATCAAAAACCCATTATCGTCTTGGTTTATCACCAAAACAATGAAATCTTCATTTTTGATAGCAGCATTTTTGTGCAATATTAAACTTATTTCAACCGTCAAGTTCCATCAGTACATTCTATCCCGGCATGCACCAGTCATAATGGGAATTCCCTACTAAATCCAACGGCCATTTTGAAAGTGATGGAATATCTATCGATGAAAAAGCTAAATGACCTTGTTCTACCAATGCAACCAAGACGATAATAGGTTTGACCACCTGAAAAGCATTCTGAGGTATGTAATTTCGGCGTACAGAAAGATGACAAAGTGGTTAGAGGTAAAAAATAGCAACATTGATCCAATGATCCCACGGCTATAAGTTGTAGACCTTAATAATATCCAACGATTATAATCTAGTCCCAAGACCAAGAAGTTTTAGTCTTGCGTGCATACATGTACAAAAGGAACCTATAGATGTTATGTTTCAAATAATGAAAAATTAGGGTACTAGCCAAGCACATAATCCTTAACTCAATGAATTCCAACCACCGCCTGAAACATTCTCCCAAAGGCATAAACGTTGCGGCCGTCACAGAATGCAGTAATATGCATTTCAATCTTTAAATCAGCCAGTATTTCAAAATGTTCCTTAGCATTACCCTTTCAAGTTTCATTTATGTATTCTATTATAGGATCCAACTCCAACTGTCCCCAGTACCAATCATCTCACTGGAAAATTAAATCGCTAGATTTATAGATTGACCAATCACAGACATCACTCAGTGTTTTCTATATTTTTTCAAATAAATGCCTCAAATCCAGATGACAGATGTCATCCTTTCAAGTTTAATTCATGTATTTCTTTTCTAGGACATACCCACGTCCACATGAGTATATGAGTTCAAGCTCTCTGCCAAAGAACTGGGATTGGAGAAATGTTAACGGAACAAACTTTGCAAGTACAACAAGAAATCAACATATACCCCAATGTAAGTTGTAACTAATTTTACTACACCTCAATATAGTTTTGTCTCAGTCAGTGTGTAAAATAACTTTTTTCATGTTTTTAAATCTCTTGCCAAACTGGGCGTGGCCACTGTCAGTGTTTCGTTATAAATCATTGTACTCGTTGTACATTGTTGCCTCATTGTTTTTAAACCCCAAGTGAGTGTTATTTTGCCTCATATTAATGCATTGTTATACCCAAATTTAAATTCTACCTCAATGTTTGATGTCTCATGCATCCCTAAAGGAAAACATGATATCCTTTCATCTCGATTTTTTCATGCATTGGACCCTCCAGCACAAGGAAAAATGCATGGATAAACCAACATCATTGAGAGTTATTCCTGAATTGGAGGGTAACATTTTTGTGTCACCCTGTACATTGATTAAAAATAAGAAACATCAATTTTTGATTTATTTTAGATTGTGGATCTTGTTGGGGCATGGGGACCACCAGCGCCCTCGCAGACAGAATCAACATCAAACGCAAGGCAGCCTGGCCCTCTGCCTACCTCTCTGTACAGAACGTCATAGACTGCGGCAATGCGGGAAGCTGTGAAGGTGGGGGTCAATTAGGGGTTTACGAATATGCACACAAGAAAGGAATCCCTGATGAAACGTGTAACAACTACCAGGCAAAGGATCAGAGTAAGTGAACGGATTGAAAGGAAAAAAATCATATGATTGAACTTTTACCACATCCTACCTGAAAACCAATTTATACCCTTTTGAAAAAGATAAAAGTCATGAAAATTTTGAATTTTGAAAATGAAAATTATGCACTGATTAGAGAAGAAAGTCATAGAAAAAATCTAATACTGTCCCTTATTTTACAGAATGCAATGAATTTGATTAATGTGGAACCTGCACTACATTTGGCAAGTGCCACACCATTGCCAACTACACCTAAAACATTTCAAGCTAGCCCTTATTTTACAGAGTGCAATGAATTTGACCAATGTGGAACCTGCACTACATTTTGCAAGTGCCACACTATCATGACTATTGCCAACTACACCTAAAACATTTCAAGCTATCCCTTATTTTACAGAATGCAATGAATTTGACCAATGTGGAACCTGCACTACATTTGGCAAGTGCCACACCATTGCCAACTACACCTAAAACATTTCAAGCTATCCCTTATTTTACAGAATGCAATGAATTTGACTAATGTGGAACCTGCACTACATTTGGCAAGTGCCACACTATTGCCAACTACACCTAAAACACTTCATGCTATCTCTTATTTTACAGAATGCAATGAATTTGACCAATGTGTAACCTGCACTACATTTGGCAAGTTCCACACTATTGCCAACTACACCTAAAACACTTCATGCTATCCCTTATTTTACAGAATGCAATGAATTTGACCAATGTGGAACCTGCACTACATTTGGCAAGTGCCACACCATTGCTAACTACACCTAAAACACTTCATGCTATCCCTTATTTTACAGAATGCAATGAATTTGACCAATGTGGAACCTGCACTGCATTTGGCAAGTGCCACACAATTGCTAACTACACCTAAAACACTTCATGCTATCCCTTATTTTACAGAATGCAATGAATTTGACCAATGTGGAACCTGCACTACATTTGGCAAGTGCCACACTATTGCTAACTACACACTTTGGAAGGTTGGTGATTACGGTTCCGTCAGTGGCAGAGACAAAATGATGGCCGAAATCTACAAAAATGGGCCAATAAGGTATGAGATGTTCCCTTCCAAAGAAAAATGTTAATGAGCCAATCAGTAGTAATTTAAAAGTACAATAAGATAGGATAATATGAAACCTTAGTGATAAAACATTATTTAACTCATGAATTTAATTAAATAAAATGATATGATATTACATATTTACTATGTTAGGGGCCAGATCGATATTTTTCTTTTGTCTCAAAAATAATTGAATTTCTCTGCACAAAAAATTTCACATTCTTTGAACATTTTTTGAAATCAAAGTTTCATTCAATAAAAAATTGTTTTCGACTTTTTACCCCTCTTTCGAACACTACTGATCTGGTGCCTAAATGTTATTGTTAACATTTTTTGTTTTATATAACTTGTATTGCTTTATACAGGGTGTCAAATAAATATGTTCTCCCCTTTAATTTCAAGAGAATGAACTTTTGTGCATAAATGTACATTTAGTTGAGCTAGTCATCTCAAACCTTGTTTTGGTGTTCTGAGTACAATTCAGATATCACGTAGACAAAAAAGTTATGCAACATTACGTGGATGTTAAAGATAAGGAGGGGAGAAAATATTTATTTGACACCCTGTACATAGAGAGTTGCAAAGCACCGATTTAGTACTATTTCCACATCAACAGCACTGAATTATATTTTTCACTTAATTTACACATTTGCTTTGTCCACTGTAGTTACACCCTATATCCCCTAGTAATGCTTAATGTGATAGTTAACGCCTTATCCCCTTATACTGCAATACTTACGCCCTATATCTCCTTTATATGATATTTTACCCGAAATCTCCTTTTATTGTGATACTTATGCCCTATATCACCTCGATGTGATATTTTACCCCCAAATCTCCTTTTAATGTGATACTTATGCCCTATATCACATCATAATGTGATAATTAAGCGCTATTTATATCACCTTCAAATTGTGCATTTTCCATTCCTGCTTCACCCTACCTCCCCATGCACCAGTTGTGGAGTTAAGTGGACTGAAGCCTTTGAGATTTACTCTGGTGGGATTTTCCATGATTACCACCCATTTGTAAGGGTATGTGTAGATTAGGCTCCATTGCATGTAATATTTTTGGTCATTTTTGTTCTTAATTGACATGCATGTATTCTCTTCTTTCCTCACTTTTTCACATTCATATATTTTTATAAGCATGTTCATTTACCCCCCCCCTCTTTGCCACACATACATACATGTTCACTAGCGTGTTCATAATAGTCCACTCCATGTAAAATTTTCATTCATTTTCTATTTACATTAATGTTTTCTCATTTACTCCCCTCCCTCTTTCACACATATAAAGTTGACAAGCATGTTTATTCACTCCCATTTTTTCACATACAAAATATTCACAAGCATGTTTATTAAATGTCACCGCATGTTATATTTTCAGTCATTAGCTCACATGGTGAGCTTTTGCAATCGCTTACTTGTCCGTCTGTCTGTCCGTCCGTCTGTCCGTCCGTCTGTCCGTCAACAATAGTGGCACGTTTTAAAACCTCTGTCGATAGGATTCCTGTTTTTATGTCCCCACCACATAGTGTGGGGCCATATTGTCGGCCTAGGCGCGTCCGTCTGTCTGTCCGTCCGTCTGTCTGTCTGTCCGTCCGTACGTCCGGCAATTTTCTCCAAAACCGCTACAGATATCACCTTCAAATTTTCAGGGATAACTTATGAGTGCATACAGATGTGGATGAAAAAAAATTACCTCGATACTTACTTCCTGTCGGCCATTTTGAAGTCAAATGCTAAAATCCTTGTCTGCAAACTTTAAGAAAAACGGCTCCTCAGTTGCTTTTAAAACTTTAATATCTTGTTCAGCTCACTTCATTCTAGATCTGATTAGGTTTTGGACCTGTTAGCTCAGTCATGTCAGCCATTTTAAATGTTTTAAGAAAAGTTAGCGCACGATAATTCTTTGTATCATATTGAATGGTGTTTTTCAGTTTTCATACTTTAACTTTTTAGTAGCTTTATCAATAATTTCAGGTGTACTTTGTTGTAAAAGCCTATGTTATTGTTAACAGTAGTTATATGTGATAATTTTGGAAAAAGAAATCAGCAAAAACTCATAATCACTTTTTTATTGTCGGCCATTTTGGATTTTTCCGTCCTAAAATCTTGTCTGTAAAGTCTTGTCTACATGTTTTCAGGTGAACCGTTTGGTAGATCAATTTCAAATTTTCAGGGATGATTCTTAGTATGAAAATCTAGATCTGATTAGTTGTTGGGCATTCTGGGTAAATGTCAAGGCAGCCATTTTGGATTTTCCGTCCTAAAATCTTGTCTGTAAAGTCTTGTCTACGCATTCCCAGGTGAACTGTTAGGTAGATCAATTTCAAATTTTCAGGGATGATTCTTAGTATAAAAATCTAGATCTGATTAGTTTTTGGGCATTCTGGGTAAATGTCAAGGCAGCCATTTTGGATTTTCCGTCCTAAAATCTTGTCTGTAAAGTCTTGTCTACGCATTTCCAGGTGAACCGTTTGGTAGATCAATTTGAAATTTTCAGGGATGATTCTTAGTATGAAAATCTAGATCTTCTTAGTTTTTTGGCATTCTGGATAAATGTCAAGGCAGCCATTTTGGATTTTCCGTCTTAAAATCTTGCCCGTAAAGTCTTGTCTACGCATTTTTAGCTGAACCGTTTGGTAGATCAATTTCAAATTTTCAGGGATGATTCTTAGTATAAAAATATAGATCTGATTAGTTTTTGGGCATTCTGGGTAAATGTCAAGGCAGCCATTTTGGATTTTCCGTCCTAAAATCTTGTCTGTAAAGTCTTGTCTACGCATTTCCAGGTGAACCGTTTGGTAGATCAATTTGAAATTTTCAGGGATGATTCTTAGTATAAAAATCTAGATCTCATTAGTTTTTTGGCATTCTGGATAAATGTCAAGGCAGCCATTTTGGATTTTCCGTCTTAAAATCTTGCCCGTAAAGTCTTGTCTACGCATTTTTAGCTGAACCGTTTGGTAGATCAATTTCAAATTTTCAGGGATGATTCTTAGTATAAAAATCTAGAACTGATTAGTTTTTGGGCATTCTGGGTAAATGTCAAGGCAGCCATTTTGGATTTTCCGTCCTAAAATCTTGTCTGTAAAGTCTTGTCTACGTATTTCCAGGTGAACCGTTTGGTAGATCAATTTGAAATTTTCAGGGATGATTCTTAGTATGAAAATCTAGATCTGCTTAGTTTTTTGGCATTCTGGATAAATGTCAAGGCAGCCATTTTGGATTTTCCGTCTTAAAATCTTGCCCGTAAAGTCTTGTCTACGCATTTTTAGCTGAACCGTTTGGTAGATCAATTTCAAATTTTCAGGGATGATTCTTAGTATGAAAATCTAGATCTGAATAGTTTTTTGGCATTCTGGATAAATGTCAAGGCAGCCATTTTGGATTTTCTGTCCTCAAATCTTGTCTGTAAAGTCTTGTTTACATGTTTTCTGGTTAACTGTGTGTCGGATCAATTTCAAATTTTCAGGGGTGGTTCTTAGTATGAAAATCTAGAACTGACTAATTCTTTGGCATTCTGGGTAAATTTTAAGGTGGCCATTTTGGATTTTCCGTCCTGAAATTTTGTCGGTAAAGTCTTGTCTACTCATTTTCAGGATAACCATTTGACGGGATCACCAATAGGTGGGGACATTTTGTACACATTTGTGTTCTTGTAAGTTATTTCTGTTCAACATCAATACAGAAAACTCCCCTATGACTCCTGGTTCAAAAGCTCGCCTGTTTTCAAAATGGCCGCCATTTTTGTCTCGCGAAATTCACTTTTGACTGGCACGTTTTAAAACCTCTGTCGATAGGATTCCTGTTTTAAGTTATTTCTGTTCAACATCAATACAGAAAACTCCACTATGACTCTTGGTTCAAAAGCTCGCCTATTTTCAAAATGGCCGCCATTTTTGTCTCGCGAAATTCACTTTTGACCCATTTCCTAATGTAGCTTTACAAATAATTTCAGGTGTCCTACATTGTAAAAATCTGTGTCAATGTAAAGAGTAGATATATGAAATAATTTTGTTACAAAAAATCAGCGAAAAATTATATCTATTTTTTTATTTTCAGCCATTTTAGTTAACATTGATTTGTCCATCTGACTTGTGAAATCCACTTTTCCGTCAACAACAGTGGCACGTTTTAAAACCTCTGTCGATAGGATTCCTGTTTTAAGTTATTTCTGCTCAACATCAATACAGAAAACTCCCTTATGACTCCTGGCTCAAAAGCTCGCCTATTTTCAAAATGGCCGCCATTTTTGTCTCGCAAAATTCACTTTTGACCTATTTCCTAGCTTTACAAATAATTTCAAGTGTCCTACATTGTAAAAATCCATGTCAATGTAAAGAGTAGATGTATGAAATAATTTTGTTACGAAAATTCAGCAAAAAATTATATCCATTTTTTTATTTTCAGCCATTTTAGTTAACATTGATTTGTCCATCTGTCTCGCAAAATCCACTTTTGGACCATTTGCTTTAAACCCTCTGTCGATGCGATTCCTGTTTTAAGTTAATTTTGTTCAACATCAATACAAAAAACTCTCCTATGACTCTTGGTTCAAAAGCTCGCCTATTTTCAAAATGGTCACCATTCTTGTCTCGCGAAATTCACTTTTGGCCCATTTCCTAGCTTTACAAATAATTTCAGCTGTCCTGCATTGTAAAAAGCCATGTCACTGTAAAGAGTAGTTGTATGAAATAATTTTTTTGTTACAAAAAATCGGCAAAATATTATATCAGTTTTTTTTTTTCAGCCATTTTAGTTATTCCCGATTTAAAATAATTTTGTTCAACATCAATAAAGAAAAAAAAACTGTGACTCCTGCTTCAAAATCTCGCCTAATTTCAAAATGGCCACCATTTTTGTCTCGGGAAATTCACTTTTGGCCCATTTCCTAGCTTTACAAATAAGTTCAGGTGTCCTGCATTGTAAAAAGCCATGTCTTTGTAAAGAGTTGTTGTATGAAATAATTTTGTCACAAAAAATCTGCAAAAAATTATACCCGTCTTTTTTATTTTCACTTTTGAGCAACACCATGTGAGCCCAGTACCCACGGTACTAATTTTTATCTATTCACACTCATTCATTCTCATTCAATCCTCTCTCACACTCATGCAAGTTTACAAGCATGATTATTAGACTTCACTGCATGTTATATTTTCAGTCATTTTCTATTTACACTCATTCATTCTCATTCAATCCTCTCTTACACTCATGCAAGTTTACAAGCAGGATTATTAGACTTCACTGCATGTTATATTTTCAGTCATTTTCTATTTACACTCAATCATTCTCATTCAATCCTCTCTTACACTCATGCAAGTTTACAAGCATGATTATTAGACTTCATTGCATGTTATATTTTCAGTCATTTTCTATTTACACTGTACTCAATCATTCTCATTCAATCCTCTCTTACACTCATGCAAGTTTACAAGCATGATTATTAGACTTCATTGCATGTAATATTTTCAGTCATTTTCTATTTACACTCATTCATTCTCATTCAATCCTCTCTCACACTCATGCAAGTTTACAAGCATGATTATTAGACTTCACTGCATGTAATATTTTCAGTCATTTTCTATTTACACTCATTCATTCTCATTCAATCCTCTCTTACACTCGTGCAAGTTTACAAGCATGATTATTAGACTTCACTGCATGTTATATTTTCAGTCATTTTCTATTTACACTCAATCATTTTCATTCAATCTTCTCTTACACTCATGCAAGTTTACAAACATGTTTATTGGAATCCACTGCATGTAATATTTTCACTCATCTTTATTCGTACATTTATTTATACTCATTTATTCTCGTTCACTCCCCTCTTTGACAAACATACCTATGCCTTATATCACCTCGTTAAGGGATATTTATACCAGCTTCACACTTGCTTTTTACCTACATTTTGCTTTTTTCCATACCTTCACTTAACCTCCTCTACTGACACCAGTTGTGGAGTTGATGCCACTGATACCTTTGAGCTTTACAATGGCGGGATTTACAAGGAATACAAGCTATTTATAGGGGTAAGTTTAAATAAGACTCCATCGCATGTTCTCTTCCGTACATGTTCACAAGCATGTCCACCCTCTTTGTATGCACACACATGAAGGGTTTAATTAGCAGCAGGCAACAGGTGATTTTCACTGGTTGTTTTCACAAAATCGCCTGTTTTAAGGAATTTTCAACTTTTCCATGTAAATTGTATATGATTTCCATTAATTTTGCCTGTTGTTTTCATTTATTTAGCCTGTTGTGAGAAATTCTAGTGAATCCTCTGAACACAAACACATTCATGTTAAAACAATGTATCAATAGGGCCTCAGTCTAATATTCTAAGTTTATATGCAACATAGTGTAAAACGTCTCAAACAAAAAACATGCTGAACTTTGAATGTAAGACCTATCTTCACCTGAAATACTGAATAATCAATTACATGTACTTGAAAACACTTACATTCCACAATAGAGACACTTAAATAACACTTAATATATGAAGATTGTTATCTCTAAACAATACTAGTAGAAGTGGGACTACTTATATATGTGAATCACATTCATGTCATTACATTTCAAAGCACATAAAGCTAATTTAAACTAACCAACCTGTCCAACGTCCATGCATTGTGATATATCAAATTAAAGCATACTTGAAAATATATGTAACCCTCGTGCCAGTTTTTTCAAGCTTCACTTATTTTCGATTATCTGCAAAATGTGTTTGTGATATATCAAATTAAAGGTAGTAATGCACCTCACATTAGCATGCATGGCTTTGTACTTCAAGCATTTTTGAATAATGCAGAAAATACTCATTTTGCATGATGCTTGGGTAGTGATATATCAAATTAAAGTTCATAAAGCACCTCACATTAGCATGCATTACAAAAACAAGAGCACTAGAATAATTCATAAAGTCCATCAACTGCATGGGGTATTTGTAGCACATTGTTATATAACAAAGGAAAGCACACCAGATGCATGTTGCTCTTAAAGACAGACCACCATATGATTATTGCAGTTGCATTACATCTATTCTGATGTAAAATTGTACAACATATGAAAGGCTGTTCTAAAAGTAATCCTTTTACAATGTTATGTACCAAATGAAAGCTGTGGAATAGATGCAACACCTGCATTGGAGGATTACACAGGAGGCGTTTATAAAGAAATGAAACTTCAAATCGGAGTGAGTGAGTGTGTAGCATACATATGGCGTTATGTGCTGGAAGGTTTTGGATACAGGGTTTATCCCAAAGGAAATACTGTGTTCTCTTTAATATATGCACATACTCTAATAAACATACACCCTGATTTTACAAGATAATTCATCTAGAAATATCTTTTACCTTTTCCCACAAACATACATACATTCCTTTATTAAGCCCAGAAGCCTTTAAATTTTGACTGGGATATTGCAATAATTTCCAAAAAGGTAGCCTGTTGCTTGAAGGAACATTCAATATTTTCATTGATATTGTGTCGATTAGCCCATGAAAACATAATCCATCGATCAATAAATGCATGAGAAAAACATTGAGATATGACATTATGTTATCTAGTATGAGAAAGTCCAGTATGAAAGAGGAAAATCATGAAATACCCTATTATCGCCCATATATGAACGGCTCAAAAATCCCTGGGATTCGTAATTTTAAGACATCACCTCCAGAATTTAGGAGACGCACTGTGCGTTTATTAGAGAGAATGTGGTACATTTTTTCCCAACTGACTGTAGGGACTGAGGGATATACACATATTTTCATAGGTATCCAAAACAGACCAAACATAACAGCTGTATCTCCTGCCTACTGTCAGGGGTTTCATTAGCAGCAGGCAACAGGTGATTTTCACTGGTTGTTTTCACAAAATTGCCTGTTGTTTTTAGGGACTTTTCAACTTTTCTTTGTTAAATTAATGATTTCCATTAATTTTGCCTGTTGTTTTCATTTATTTAGTCTGTTGTGAGAAATTCTAGTGAAATCCCTGACTGTGGTTCCTGAAACATTCAACCATCAAAGATTTTCATATACATACACATATACATATTTTTTGTGAATATTTGTAAAATCCTTTTAAAGAGTGAAAAGTTTTCAAATTAATTGTTAATTTTTCCAAGGTAAACTATATATTCCTACTAGTCATATACCTAGAACCACATATATTGGCCAATGTAATATCATATTGGCCAATGTAATATCATATTGGCCAATGTAATATCATATTGGCCAATGTAATATCATATTGACAGCAAAACTGGAGAAAAACTGGCAATAGATGATAAAGTTGAATATGGATGAATTAATAATCAGATATCCATCAGAGTTTTTTTTATTTATTTTTTTTACATGGTACATTCCATAAACCAAACATTTGTATTCTTTACTTGCCAATCACAATATGGCATTACAAGTCAAGGTTTAAGGTAACATGGTTCATTGTATTTGATAAAGAACAGCACCTTGCACTTTATGGCTGTTGAGGACAAGGGTAGTCCTTTTCCAACAGGGTTCGGTTTTTAAAAAATCCAAGGATAGGTTCAAATTTGACAATTTTGGCTCAGAATTACTTGAAAAGTGCTCAACATCATGAAAACTGTATGATTTTGATAGAATTTTTGGCCAGTAGTGGGTTTGCTTTAGCCTACTGTAATAAAACATCATTAAGTAAAGATACAGGACTAAATAGAGTAATCGAATACACACACACACATTAAAAAAAACATAGCGCTTGTGTTTCTGATATTAGTCTTAAACCAATATCATTTCCAAACTTCTATCAAAATAATTTGATGATTTTGTGGCTTATTGTGCGCATATTCTCCTGACCTACAAGGTCATTCTGTGTTGGCATTATTCCCCCAAATCCCCCTTCCCCCAGATATAACATTGGGAACAGAGGACTATTCCACAAAACCCCCCTTCCCCCAGATATTTCATCGGTACCAGAGGACTATTTCCCTAAATCCCCCTTCCCCCAGATATTTCATTGGTACCAGAGGACTATTTCCCTAAACCCCCCTTCCCCCAGATTTTTCATTGGTACCAGAGGACGATTTCCCTAAGTCCCACTCCACCCTTTTCTCGATATTTTTATGTCCCCACCACATAGTGTGGGGCCATATTGTCAGCCTAGGCGCGTCCGTCTGTCTGTCCGTCCGTCTGAATGAAGAAACCAATGCAGCAACAACAAATGATGTCCGTCCGTCTGTCCATACGTCCGGCAGTTTTCTCCAAAACCGCTACAGATATCACCTTCAAATTTTCAGGGATAACTTATGAGTGCATATAAATGTGGATGAATAAAAATTAGCTCGATAGCTACTTCCTGTCGGCCATTTTGAAGTCAAATGCTAAAATCCTTGTCTGCAAACTTTAAGGAAAACGGCTTTACAGTTGCTTTTAAAACTTTAACATCTTGTTCAGCTCACTTCATTCTAGATCTGATTAGGTTTTGGACCTGTTAGCTCAGTCATGTCAGCCATTTTGAATGTTTGAAGAAAAGTTAGCGCACGATAATACTTTGTATCATATTGAATGGTGTTTTTCAGTTTTCATACTTTAACTATTTAGTAGCTTTATAAATAATTTCAGGTGTACTTTGTTGTAAAAGCCTATGTTATTGTTAACAGTAGTTATATGTGATAATTTTGTAAAAAGAAATCAGCAAAAACTCATAATCACTTTTTTATTGTCGGCCATTTTGGATTTTTCTGTCCTAAAATCTTGTCAGTAAAGTCTTGTCTACGCGTTTTCAGGTGAACCGTTTGGTAGATCAATTTCAAATTTTCAGGGATGATTCTTAGTTTGAAAATCTAGATCTGATTAGTTTTTGGGCATTCTGGGTAAATGTCAAGGCAGCCATTTTGGATTTTCCGTCCTAAAATCTTGTCTGTAAAGTCTTGTCTATGCATTTCCAGGTGAACCGTTTGGTAGATCAATTTCAAATTTTCAGGGATGATTCTTAGTATGAAAATCTAGATCTGATCAGTTTTTGGGCATTCTGGGTAAATGTCAAGGCAGCCATTTTGGATTTTCCATCCTAAAATCTTGTCTTTAAAGTCTTGTCTACGCATTTCCAGGTGAACCGTTTGGTAGATCAATTTCAAATTTTCAGGGATGATTCTTAGTATGAAAATCTATATCTGATTAGTTTTTGGGCATTCTGGGTAAATGTCAAGGCAGCTATTTTGGATTTTCCGTCCTAAAATCTTGTCTGTAAAGTCTTGTCTACGCATTTCCAGGTGAACCATTTGGTAGATCAATTTTAAATTTTCAGGGATGATTCTTAGTATGAAAATCTAGATCTGATTAGTTTTTGGGCATTCTGGGTAAATGTCAAGGCAGCCATTTTGGATTTTCCGTCCTAAAATCTTGTCTGTAAAGTCTTGTCTAAGCATTTCCAGGTGAACCGTTTGGTAGATCAATTTCAAATTTTCAGGGATGATTCTTAGTATGAAAATCTGGAACAGATTAGTTTTTTGGCATTCTGGATAAATGTCAAGGCAGCCATTTTGGATTTTCTGTCCTCAAATCTTGTCTATAAAGTTTTGTTTACATGTTTTCTGGTTAACTGTGTGACGGATCAATTTCAAATTTTCAGGGGTGGTTCTTAGTATGAAAATCTGACTGAACTGACTTATTTTTGGCATTCTGGGTAAATTTTATGGTGGCCATTTTGGATTTTCCGTCCTCAAATTGTGTCGGTAAAGTCTTGTCTACTCATTTTTAGGATAACCATTTGACGGGATCATCCATAGGTGGGGACATTTTGTACACATTTGTGTTCTTGTTTTGGTATTGCTATGGTCCTAGAATGAAGGAGGTGTATGAAATACATTATTTTCCTAAATCCATCCCCACTCCATCTCCCCAATATGTCATTGATGGTGCTATGGAACTGAATCCATCTCCACTCCATCTCCCAAATATGTCATAGATGGTGTTATGGTACTGAATCCATCCCCACTCCATCTCCCCAATATGTTAATTATTGATGGTGCTATGGTACTGAATCCATCCCCACTCCATCTCCCCAATATGTCATTGATGGTGTTATGGTACTAAAAATGTTAATGCCTCTGAAAATCAATATATTTATTTGTTTCAACTTGTGATTGCTTTAAAGTTGTGGCATTGAGGCCACTCCAGGTTTGGAGGTGTACAAAGGTGGGATCTATATGGAAGAAAAGGCTGAGGCTTTTGTAAGTCAAACATTTTAGCTCCCCCTCCCAATAAAATCAAAATTGAATATTTTCAATCTCCTCTTTATTAGGTTATTGTTTTTATGTCACCACCAGTTATAGTCTCTAACTTTTTTCTGGGTGGTGTTAGGTGGTCAGTGCTCCTAGTCTGTAGAAAATGGCAGGTGGTGACATTTGGCAAGTTAATGCCTTGTTATATTAGTTTACAAGCAATGAAGTGGAGAGCCTTGGTTTAAGGCATAATGTCCCCCATCTTGATCTATTTTGGTATTACACGTGTGTATGACTAAAGGAACACACTGATTTAACAGTATTTGATAAAAAAAAGTATGGAATGGAAGTATTTACTTCTCTTTTCTACCTTATTCAAAGATTCCATGGAGTTTCATCTCAATATCTATGAAAAATTTGGGAACTTCCGAAATGAAAAGTTTGGGAGCTTCGGAACACTTCAAGTTATTATACAATGTAGATTTCATACGTTACTCAAAAGGTTAAAATAAGCAAGAAAAGGGTAATTTAAATTCAAAAATATCTGTAAGTACCTCAATTTGTTTATACCAAGGGTGATATATGGATCTTGTAAAATAATATTCACCATGTATTTGTCTTTGAATGACTGTTAAAAATAATGATCCATAAAATGTATACCTTTTCATATGTATTAGATGATTAAATGTTTACTTAATAAAAGACCACGTGTTGTATGGCAATTGATTTTAGAGAGTCATATCTTTCAACATGAGTACTTTCTGGCCATAAATACAATGGCTTTTATAAAAACAATATGTTTTCTTTCAAATGAAGTCCCCATGAGTGTAAAATATCAATCCAACTCTCTGAAAGATTATGGATTAAAAAGAGGATCTTGTTTTTCTCAATTTAAACATATCGAAAGTCTCCTCTACACTATATTAACAATTTCCGAAAAGGGGGTGGGTATTGAAATGAGTTAAAGTTAAAAAACAAATATCCCATGTTATTTTCCCATAGGGAAAACTGAAATCGAAAATTGATATCTTCAAAAGTAGACTTTCAATACCATTCTTTTTTTAAACATCCCTTAGACCCCTTGTTGAATAATGTTTTCATGCAATAAAATTCAGAAAAAGAAGATCCTCTTTTGAGTAAATAAGCTCAATATTTTGAAAAAAAAAGTTGACATGGGGTCCGTATTCATAATTTTTCGAATTGTTTGACTTATATTTTTATCATCATGGGTACTTCACTTGAAAGAAAACATATTGTTTTAATGAAAACTACTGTATTTATGCCCAGAACGTACTCAGGGTGAAAGATATGACCGTCTAAAATCACTTGCCATACTGCACGTGGTCCTTTAATTTAATGTTATTTAATGTTGCAATTGTTTCAGATCAACCATATAATATCAGTAGCTGGATGGGGAGTTGATCCTACTAGCGGAGTGGAATACTGGATTGGACGCAACTCATGGGGACAACCGTGGGTAAGTTGAATGACCGTACATGGATCCTCATCGTTTGGGACTTTATCCACTTCTTGGGTCCAAAAGTTGTTTTTTTTATTTTGTGAAAATATCTGTCGACAATGTCATAAAGGAGTTGAAAATTCATCCTCTATGAAATCCAAATGATTTAATGCCAATATAATCTGTTGATAAAAAAAGAACAAACCGCCAAAATGTAATGTCACTTTATGATATGTAATGCCAAATTTTGATTTGTGTTACAGGGAGAATCGGGCTGGTTCCGTATTGTCACCAGTATGTACAAGGGAGGTGAAGGAGACCATTACAATCTTGGTATTGAGAAGTCATGTGCCTATGCTGACCCAATCCTGCCCTAGGCAACACACAGTGGTGCACCCTGGGAAATTACATCATGTGACAGCAGCTGAGGATAATATTATGAACAATAACAACCAAAGAACCATAACAACCAAAGGATAACTTCAATCGGATAACATTACAAACTGGTTATAAATCTTTTTATTCGTTAAAATTGAAGATGATTCGTCAATTGATGAATTAAGGTGGAAGTAGAACAATTTCATTTTTATTTTGTCATACCCTGAAGATATGATGCAATATTGGGCTTCATCTTTCTATCAAAGCCCAGAAGGTATCATCCTTCATGCACAATTTACTAGACCATCTCCTTCTTTGTTTTATCATTACAGATATTTTCTACAGCTATCACAAGATGTATATACCTGGTTGCCATATTTGCATTCAATTTGACAATTATATTTTTGTATTTGGCAACCCACGGGAATTTTTTTGAGTCTTATGTTGGGTACAACTTTCACTTGTCTATATGTGTATTTTTGATCATTTCCTAGTTATACCTGTATCCTTTTGCCAATTTTTTTCAAAATCATGCACTTCAACGGCAAAATTACCAATATTTCAGGGCAAAATTGCCAATATTTCAGGTTGCTCTTATCATGATTTGAGAAACTGCAAATGTGTGCTTCACAGACGTTATTTTGAAATTGTATATCCTAGTTAGTTTTTCTACCAAACTGGTATTTGTAAAACAGGGTTATTTTCAAATGGCGAATTAAACTGAATGTTGTCTGCTATCTGTTCTGTCCTTTACTTTTGCAAATGTGTATTTTTAATAATGTGCAATTTTAAGTTATATACTCATATTGTATGTAAAATAAAAATTGTTTTTTGTTTATGAAATATCACTATTATATGTAATATACAAAGATATTGCTCAATCATTCCAGAAAATTATGTTTGATAATTATTATGTGGTTAAAAAGATGTTACTACAAGCATGTAATTGTATGTACATTTATCGTATGATCTGGAAAATGAAACCTTCTGATTGGTCAGTTCTTGTGCTGTACCAACCTGTATTGCTACTTAGATTGTCCCCATTGATCGCAATACAGAAAACATAGGTACGGAGGGGAAATTCTCAGTAGCAGAGGATCACACGATAAAAACTTTAAAGAATGATTTGAAGTGCAATACAGGATATATTTGCTCTCGATATTCTGTATTGGCACTCGACTTCTTGTTCCAATACGGAATTTCTTGAGCAGAATATATCCTGTATTGCAATTCAAATCATTCGATAACTTATAGCACTGCTAGAAAAGTCTCTTATCAAGTCCATGTCGTTGAGGTGAAATAGAAAATGTACGGTTTTAATAGTGATAAAATCTAATCATTGAGAAATACAGGGTGTCCATAACAGATAAAGTCAACACTTTATATAGACTTTGTATTGTAACTTGGCTTTGTGAAGATCCTGTATATGCCAGGTAGTTATTAAGCAGTAACTACTATTTTATTGGGTAGTTCATGTTGATTGATAAATTTTTTAAATGGGTAAGACCAAGACCAGATCTAATGATTACCCCTACCATTACTCAAAAGTACAGGTGGACCTCTCTTTTAACCCTTAAATGGTTTTTGGGGTCCGTTTGGACCCCAGAGCTCATTCTTTGCAATAATAATATCAGAAATAATCATTCTATAAACATGAAATTCCATCTTATCCTCAATTAATTCAATTCCTTTCAGATAAAACAAACCAGATATAAATCGCATTAAGAGTTTTTGTGCTACCTGATGCCAAAGAACATCACTATCACTGAAACATATTCAATTAATACAGTGTAATATACAGGATGGGCCAAAAAACCACCCCCTAGCCATTATTTCTGATAAATATTCATTTTTAACATGTACACCAAAAATGATATATCATTTTAAAGATAATTTAATTTGCAACAAAATGATATATAATAGAAGAATTTTCAACAACCCTGGCTTGAGATATAACCATTTATGTGGCGTGGGGGTCAAAAAACACTTTTTCATTTTTCATCGATTTTTGCGAACAATAGCCTATTTCTACCAAATTTTACTGTTCAGTTAAAAATTGCAACATTGCCATGAGTCTTTCATAATTGGATATTATATATTTTTTTCATTCAGTTTTTGAACCATGCATGTGTATGCTTATAAAACAAATTCATTTCTTCTTCAGTCTGTCCAAATATGGCTCAATAGACCCATTCCCAATTCCAATCAATTATACTCATTACTTTTGTTAAAATTGAAAACTTTAGATTTTAGAATTGCAAATTCCTGCAAAGCAGCCATTTTGAACTTTCTGAGGTACAAATCGGAAAAATAATACCATAATTGTGATCCACTCCAAAATTCCTTCAATTTGAGTATAATAAAGCCATACTTTGAAGGGATCGAAAAATTATTGCGAAATCGTACATTAGACGGCCATTTTGAATTTAACGAGGCTCGAATCAGAAGAAAGATACAATATTTGCAATCTACTCTTAATTGCCTTTCATTTGAGTATCTACCAGGTTCAAGGATAGTGGAGCTATCCTTTTTTCTAAAATTTGGGACTCCTTACCATTACAGCTTAGGCAGGTGCCTACTATCTCTTCTTTCAAAGGCCAAATCAAAAAGCACTTCCAAAATTTTCAAAATATTCAGACAAATTCACAAAATTTATCTCTTCCCCGTAATTTAGAAATCAAACTGAACCAATTACGTGTTGGCCTCTTGTTAAATGCACATAAAATGGTCCACTCTTTTACAACTATCGATTCTGATGTATGTAGATGTGGTTTAAAACAAACCACAAAGCATTTCCTCTTACACTGTCGCCTCAACAATGATATAAGACACCAAATGCTTGACAGGCAAAATGGATTATTCACCGTGCATGACATAAATTTCTCCTTTAACAATTTGAAACAAGATGATAAAATTGAAACTCTTTTGTACACGCCTAACCATCGACAAGGTACAGTCACGTGACCGTGACAAAATATGCCGTAGTACACTTTTGATGTACAATGTCACTATTAACTGATTTTAAGCAAAGACTATGATGTAGGTTTGATCCAGGTTTTCAAAAATAAATTTGAGGAATACAAAAAGGATTTCCTGTTTGATTCCGCGTGTATTCGATTTCAAAGACATTTATTTTCCTAATTACGTTAAAAGATCTTCGAGCAGTGCTCGATTTTTTTCGTTGTACGTCTACCCATACAATTGTTCGGTTGGAAAAATGTTGTTTTTTACACATTTCCTTTGATAATTTTCTCCCCTGACGTCTCGGAGTGTCGAATATTTTAATGAGAATGTGTTCCTCTAAACTGCACAATTTAAGACGGGTTAAGATTGAATAAATATTCATGCATTTGGTATAATTTAAAAAATCAGAAATGTACGTTGTCAACTCACAGTGTATGTTGTCCCTGTAATTGAAATTCATGAGTTATAATATTAAACATTGCAATGATTTAATTTCAAAATGCATTAAGGGTTTTATGCGTAACAAGTGATGTTCAACGAACATGCTCCTGTATCCACTGTTCCACAACTGGATGACTCTAACTGCAGTTAGCTTCATTCAAGATGGTGGACAAAATTCGTTCGTTTTCGATAAATCTCCAATTACAGCCAAACCAAGCTGAATCTTGATCCCAAAAGTTTCGCCATGCAAACTAATAAAGATATAATTGTAAACAACCACAAATAAAGGCTTAAGCACCCGCGATATTAGAGAAATTGAAAGAAAACGGCTTCACTTAGAATGACTCTAACTGAAGTGAGTGATGACGTAGGAATGAAGCTAACTGAAACGGGGAATGAAGCTAACTCAATGGGATGAATATATGGACGGCCCTGTCTGTTGTTATAAGATATCTTAATGTTATTGACTGTTGTTATTGGTTGTAGCCATTTGTATTTTGACATGGAGTGAGTTTCTATTCAATCCCATGGCCGGTGATCGTAGAAATTGGACGGAGGGGGAGCAGACAAATTCTGGTAGAAATTTCAACAAATCTGGAAAATTCACTTTTTCAAGACAAAATTTAGTTTACGATTGAATGGCCAAATGAATAGGCTTACGGTATGGTAAAATATTGTAAGTATTCTAGGATAAAGTATATGATGTAAAAGGCGAAATGCCGCAAACGTCCGAAAGTCAATGTTTTGCTAGTCAAGCAAGAATGGTCTACACGACCTGTAATTAAAAAACTTGTAAGTGACATTATCGTCACAAAATTAATGTCATTGCTGAGTAATTAAGTTCCCATACGTAATATAAAAAATAATTGAAGGGGCGGAGGGGGGGGGGCAATATTTCTATTATTCTTATTTTACTATTTTTATTTCTATTACAACTTCACGAAAATTCTTGTATTTCAAAAATGAACTCATAAAACGTACAATGTAATATAAAGCTGGATTTTACAGCTCTGAAGAATGAAAAATGGGGAATTTTAAGTTATAGGACTTCAAGTCTAGAAACATCTCTTATCATGTCTGATATACATAAATGCTCCCCGATGCTCAATAAATAAATGACTTATCCATCACAGATAATCGTCACATTTTTTCAAGTAGACTAAATGAAGTCGGAAAACCGACTGCGTTCCAATCGACTGTACGACAATATATACAGGATCATGTTCCCCCTGGGACTATTAGACATTAGTCAGTTACTGAACATGTCCCTCCATTAATTCACCCGTCCCCTTCTTGGCGGTACCAGGCTAGGCGTATACATGTACTGATAACATGCATACCAGCATACAAATAATTCAACAAAAGGGGTAGGCTGCATGATACTTCAAGACTTGAGTGACTTCGTTAAGATAAAGTAGCAAATGTAGACTAATGACGTACTCTTTATCGTTATTTACGCCTACGGTAGTCTAGTGTAAAACCAAACTTTCCATAAATTGGACAAATATTGTGCTTTTGTTAACTTATTCTATCAACAAGCTAAATGATTTTAATTTGAAATATACTTAAATAGTAATTATATTTAGTTTATGTAACTGGTTTCATGACCATCAATCATTTATGTATACGGAGTTGCAGAATGTGAGTGTCATCTCCCAGGTAAAGTAAAGGCATATTTTCTGCACTAAACGAAATTTCTTTAAGCACTGGCCGATGTCAAGTAGCAAATGAAGACATATATTCGTATCTAGTTTCCCAGCTACAATGGCCTGAAGGACACTGACAAAATCGTCACATCTATCCATCTTCTTCATTATTTCCAGCACTCTTTTTCATTACCCCTTCAAGTTCACTTTCTGCAATAAATCAAATTAAATTACCAACATTTACACGATTGTGCTTCAAATAATCCATTATTATATCTTGATCAATTGTATTAAATGTTATTGGAGCATTCGAAAACAGCTATTTGTACTACAGGGTGGTAAAAACGTAATTCCAAACCATGCATTTTACTCATATCTTTTGGCGTGTACCACAGGAGGATGAACATTAACATTGTGACTATCAGTCCGATGGTTATCAAATGCGATAGAAAATTGAATGATGGACAAATGTGCCAAATATCAGTGAGTAATTTCTTAAAATAAAAAAGAGGAAAATAGCGACAGCATTTCCATTTTTACCTGTAGATAATTATTTTGTTAAAGACTGATTAAATTAAAATTGTTTAAGAGTACTCAAACAACCAACATGTCTTAATTAATATAATTTCACAATTCCCATTGGCAGACTTGGGGGATGAGGCACACGTATGTTAACGAAATGTGAAAGCAGAGGGTGTTGGCCAAATGATATTTTGTTTGAAGGGTGCTTCCCAATTACCCTATTTTTATCAAGTGTCTCTCATTACCTGTAATATCACTTTTGACATCTTCGATTCTCTCTTCGTCAGTTCCTGTAAGATAAGTGAATTTATACGTATGAAATTTGAACCAAATTATTATTTGAGTTATCAGATATTACATTTTTATGGAGTGGTGACCATTTTGAATTAAACGGGCATTTTAATTAGTTATCGCCCTTACACACAGACGGACGGACGGCTTCTCTATTTCCCTAAGAACTTCGTTCAGTGGGATAAAAAAGTCATTAAGTGTAGTTACGGCGTCAAATTATTTAAAGACAACTCACCTTCTGTCTCATCCAGATCCAAAGCAATCTGTTTATCTGCTCGCTCGATGGGAGATTGTGCCTGTTCTTCCACTATGTAAAATATAAATAAAATAAGTATGTCAATTACGAGTATAAAATGACATGAATGAATACGTATATCTCTTATTCAGAGTCTATTGCAAACAAAACACATTTTAGTTATTCTCCTTGGAGTTAAAAACAATGTCTTTTGAATTTGAAAAATAGAGTAAGTTAAAATTGCAAGCTAAGGGTCCGACGAGAACGCCATCACCAGAGAACTGCTAAAAGGCCCCCATTGTCACTCGTGACGGGGATATACCACTGGCGGATTAGGGGGGGGGGGGGCCCAGGGGCCCGGGCCCCCCCCCCCTTGGGTGGGCCCAGAAAAAAAAAATTGGGCCCAAAAAAATTTTTGGGCCAAACAAGGCCTTCAGGCCCCAAAAAGTGGGCCTTTTTGGTCATTACTGGGCCTTTTAAGGCCTTATTTGTTAATTTCAGGCCAAATTTTGAAGAAAATGGGCCTCAAAATTTCAAAATTTGGGCCCACTTTTGGATTTTAGGGGCCCAAAATTTTTTTCCGCGCAAGCGCGGACGTTTTTTCTCTGACCTGAAATTTGGGCCCCCCCCCTTGTTGGTTCCTGGATCCGCCCCTGTATACAGGTATCCAGGTATCCAGTAGTTAGACCATTGCCTCACATAATCGTGTTTTAGTGAAAGAAGCATTCTATATTTTGTCCAATGACTCACCACGATACAGACTCATAGTCGTCTTTTACTTTACTCCAAGGGGTTTACATTTGAGCATTTCGACCCACAATTACTTGCAAATGGACACGACGTGTTCTAGTGAAAGAAGAACCCCATTTAGTACCTTTGGGGCCATCACGAGACGTGTTCTAGTGAAAGAAGAACCTCAATTTCCTATATAGCCCCAAAGGCCATAAATGGACGTGTTCTAGTGAAAGAAGATGCAATGATCTATGGAGCACTATGGACAACCAGGAGGCGTGTTCTAGTGATAGAAGTAGACTTGATTACCTATGTTCTATAGAACACAACACAACACGAGACGTATTCTTGTGAAAGAAGCAATTCACTATAGCTCCATGGTTAATAGGGACTTGTAGTATTCAACTTTGACAAATCTTCATATTTTATGAGATGTTTCAATGGAGAGGTTTCACTGGAGTTATTAAGGTGCCGTGGAAGTTAACAGGAAATGACGAAACAGGAAGTGACAAAAAAATTTGCATTTTAGACATTTTTTTGAATAAAGATAACAGAGTTCTGGTTTGACCTTCAGTCAATTTGACTATTTCCACATATCATTTACATGACCAGGATCACAATGTGCATGGTCAGAATGACCCTAAACATGATGAAATAACCTTTTTAGCCCTTTGAAAGTGTGACTGAAAAAAAGCTAAAAGAAGGAGCTAGGGAAGGTAACTGAACAGAATCTTTTGAATTTTTCAGAAAATGTGCCCAATATAATGCTCTAACTGACACTATCTTTGAAATTTTAGAAAATTGTCTTAAACAAAAATGGCGGTCATAAAAAGGAAAATAGATCGCTTTTCAAATCAGTTTTTTCATTTTTTTCTTTTTCTATAAATGATATCAAATTTTCAAAGATTGTATCAGTTAGAGCAATATATTGGGCACATTTTCTGAAAAATTCAAAAGATTCTGTTTAGTGACCTTTCCTACCTCCTTCTTTTAGCTATTTTTCAGTCACATTTTCAGAGGGCTGAAAAGGTTATTTCATCATGTTTAGGTTCATTCTGACCATGAACATTGTGATCCTGGACCTGTAAATGGTATTTGGAACTAGTTGAATTGACTGGAGGTCAAAACAGAACTCAGTTATCTTTGTTCAAAAAATGTCTAAAAATGCAAAAAGAATTGTCACTTCCTGTTTTGTCATTTCCTGTTAACTTCCATAGCACCTTAAAACATCTATATAGCTTACCTTGAATACCATGTGCTTGTCTTTTAAGTCGCAGTTTCATAGAAGTCGGGTCAGCGATTACTTTGTTTCCCTTTGCTTGTAGTTCTTTGACTTTCACTAACGATACATTGAAATGTCTTGATGCGTATTTGTGTCTACCACTGTCGGGGTCGATCATATGTTATACTAAAATTTTCAGTGATGTGATTGTTCAAACAATGGCAAAGAGAATTGCGTCAATTTCATCATCTTGTCTCGGGCAATAATAGCACATGTATTGAGCTGGAATTGATAAGTAATATACATTGACCAAAAAGGTTTTTACAACATTATATTCTGCATGACAATACTCGTATGCGAAATCATGGGCTTTCGATAGACAAACTTTGACTTTGATGGTAACCAGGTAACATAATCACGGGTAGTATCTAAAGCCCCGCTATGATTTAAAAATCGCGAGCAAGTTCCCGCTGAAATCGCGAGCATAGTCCTGTTTATTTGTATCACTTTGGAAAATGAACCAAAAGGATGAAAATACTTATTACCGTTCTTTGATACTCCAGCAAAACTTTGAAAACAGATTTATTTGACAAAAAATGACATGAAAAATGATTATTTTTTACTTGCATGAAGGAAAGGGGCGTCAACATGCACGTTTGCATAATTTACTGTTCATATATTACCTTTATCGTTAAAATAAAGGCAATAAATACGATTTACATACTCCATAATAAATATCGGATCAAGATGGTCTGTATTGATAAGTTACTGGACAATGACACCTGCCATGGGGGTCGAAATACACTATTAAAGGTGTTCCAGTGGCCCCGCCGAAAACATGAGGAGGCCCCGCTGAAAACATGAGGAGACCCCGCTGAAAACACGAGCAAATTTCACGACTACCCGCTTCGATCACGAGGAAAGCTTCATCATTATTCCATGAATATAGTGAGCTTCTTTATATGAACGTACACGATAACGTATTAATGACAATCACATAACATATCATTCTATGGCAACATTACAAATAATTTTTATATGTAAATATACTTTGTACATTTCGGAGTTAAATGTACATTCTACATAATTCACTATTCCAAGGATTAAACTTCTGAGGACACATATATTGCATTGGTTCTTTTGTCCGACCGTTCATTCGTGCGTGCATTCGACCGAACGTTCGTTTGTGCGTGCGGTCGTCTGACCGTGCGTTCGTCCGACGGTCCGTTCGTTCATGCGTGCGTTCATCCGACCGATTGTTCGTTCGTGCGTGCATCGCCCAACCATGCGTTCGTGACAGCGTTCGTCCGACCGTCCATTTGTTCGTTCGTGCGTGCATCCGTTCGTGCGAATGTCCGTCCGTTTGTGTGCGCATGCGTTCGTCTGACCGTCCGTTTGTGCCTGCTTTCGTCTGACTGCCCTTCATGGGTTCGTCCGTCTAGGCATCCGTTCGTCCGTGCGTGCTTTCGTTCAACCGTCCATTCATGCGTGCGTTCCTCTGTTTGTTCTTTTTGCGTTCGTTTGTGTGTTCGTTCGTGCGTGCGTTCATTCGTGCGTTTGTTTGTAACTACGTTCTTGCGTGCGTGGGTTCGATCTTTTGTAAACTGTTTTCTTCTATCTTTCCTTCATGCGTTCTTTTGGCCGCCTATCCGTCCATTTGTTCATTCATTGTTTTTTCGGCTGTTCTTCTGTCCATCCGTGCGTTCTTTCCTCGTTCGTTTGTTCGTTTGCAGGTTTTCATCAAAATTTGTCTTTCCACTGCCATATGAAAGAATGTAAATAATCAAGAAAGCAAGCAAGGACGTGAGGAAGTAAACAAGCAACAAAGTAAGTAATTGAGTAAGCAAGCAAGTAAAGAAGGAATGGAGGAAGTAAATCGAGGAAGTGAAGGTGGGAGTAATATAAGTAAGCAAGGAAGGAAAAAAGGAAGGAAGGAGGGAAGGAAAGAAGCAATGAAGCAATGAAGGAAGGAAGGAAGGAAGGAAGGAAGGAAACCGAGGGAGCAAGGAAGGAACGATGCGAGTAAAGAATTAAGCAGGGAAGCTAGCAAGTAAGGAAGCGATGAAGAAAGGAAGCAAGGAAGCAAAGAAGAAAGGAAACGAGGAAGCAAGGAAGGAAGGAAGCAAGCAAAGACGCAAAGAAAGGAAGAAAAAAAGCAAGGAAGTAAGTAAGAAAGGAAGGAAGAAGGCGAGAATGCAAGGAAGCAAGGAGGGAAGAAAGCAAGGAAGAAATGAAGCGAGAAAAGAAGGACATGAGGAAAGAATGAAGGAAACGAGGAAGCAAGGAAGGAGGAAAGTAGGAAGTGAGGAAGAAAGGAAGCAAGGAAGGAAGGAGGCAAGTGAGGAAGCGATGAAGCAAGGAAAGAAGGAAGCGAGGAAGCAAGGAAGGAGGAAAGATGGAAGCGAGGAAGCAAGAAAGGAATGGAGCGAGAAAGGAAGGACGCGAGGAAAAAAACGAAAGAAGCGAGGAAGCAAGGAATGAGGAAACAAGGAAGCGAGGAAGGATGGAAGCAAGGAAGGAGGGAAGTGAGGAAGGAAGGAAGCGAGGAAGCAAGGAAAGAAGAAAGCGAGGAAGCATGGAAGGAGGGAATGAAGCAAGGAACGAAGGAAGAAAGTAAGGAAGTGAGGAAGAAATTTGTGAAGGAAGCGAGGAAGCAAAGAAGGGGAAAAGAAGGGAGCGAGGAAGGAAAAAAGCAAGGAAGGAAAGAGGGAAACGAGGAAAGAAGGAAGCGAGGAAGCAAGGAAGGAATGAAGCGAGGAAGCAAGGTAGGAAGGAAGTGAGGAAGGAAAGATTGCGAGGAAGGAAGGACGCGAGGAAGCAAAGAAGGAAGGAAGGAAGCAAGGAAGGAAGCAAGGAAACGAGAAAGCGAGGAGGGAAGAAAGCGAGGAAGGAAGGAACTGAGGAAGAAAGAAAGGACGGAAGCGAAGGAACAAGGAAGGAACGATGGAAGGAAGCAAGGAAGGAAGGAACTGAGGAAGCAAGGAAGGAAGCAAGGAAGGGAACGAGGAAGAAAGGAAGCCAGGAAGCAAAGAAGGAAGGAAACGATGAATCAAGGAAGGAAGGAAGCAAGCAAAGACGCAAGAAAGGAAGGAAGGAAAAAAAGCAAGGAAGGAAGTAAGTAAGGAAAGAAGGCGAGAAAGCAAGGAGGGAAGGAGGGAATGAAGCGACAAAAGAACAACGCGAGGAAAGAATGAAGGAAACGAGGAAGCAAGGAAGGAGGAAAGAAGGAAGTGAGGAAGGGGGGAAGCAAGGAAGGGAGGATGCAAGTGAGGAAGGAATGAATCGAGGATGCAAGGAAAGAAGAAAGCGAGGAAGCAAGGAAGGAGGAGAGAAGGAAGCGAGGGAGGAAGCAAGGAAGAAATGAAGCGAAAAAGGAAGGACGCGAGGAAAAAATGAAGGAATCGAGGATGCAAGGAAGGAGGAAAAAGGAAGCGGGGAAGGAAGGAAGCAAGGAATGAAGGAGGGAAGTGAGGAAGGAAGGAAGCGAGGAAGGAAGGAAAGAAGGAAGCGAGGAAGCAAGGAAGAAAGCAAAGAAGGAAGCGAGGAAGCATGGAAGGAAGGAATGAAGCAAGGAAGGAAGGAGGAAAGGAAGTGAGGAAGAAATTTATGAAGAAAGCGAGGAAACAAAGAAGGAGGAAAGAAAGGAGCGAGGAAGGAAAAAAGCAAGGAAGGAAGCGAGGAAGCAAGGAGGGAAGGAAGCGAGGAAGCAAGGTAGGAAGGAAGCGAGGAAGGAAAGATGCAAGGACGGAAGGAAGCGAGGAAGCAAGGAAGGAAGGAAGCAAGAAAAGAAGAGGCGAGGAAGAAAGGAAGGTAGGAATCGAGGAAGGAAAGAAGCAAGGAAGGAAGGAAGCGAGGAAGGAAAGAAGCGAGGAAGCAAGGAAGCCAGGAAGGAAGGAAGCGAGGAAGCAAGGAGGGAAAGAAGCAAGGAAGGGAGGAAGCAAGGAAGAAGGAAGGAAGCGAGGAAGCAAGGAAAGGAGGAAGCGAGGAAGGAAGTAAGCGAGGAAGAAAGGAAGGAAGGAACGAAGCGAGGAAGGAAGGATGCAAGGAAGCGAAGAAGCAAGGAAGTGAGGAAGCAAGGAAGGGAGGAAGCAAGGAAGGGAGGAAGGAAGCAAGGATGGAAGGAAGCGAGGAAGGAAGGATGCAAGAATGCGAGGAAGCAAGAAAGCGAGGAAGGAAGCGAGGAAGCAAGGGAGGAGGGAAGCAAGGAAGGAAGCAAGAAAGAAAGGAGGGAAGTGAGGAAGGAAGGAAGCTAGGAAGGGAGGAAGCGAAGGAATGAAGTGAGGAAGCAAGGAAGGAATGAAGCAGGGAAGCAAAGAAGGAAGGAAGCGAGGAAGGGGGAATCAAGGATGGAAGGAAGCGAGGAATGAAGGATGTGAGGAAGCGAGGAAGAAAGCAAGGAAGGAAGGAAGGAAGCGTAGAAGCAAGGAAGGGAGGAAGCGAGCAAGCAAGTAAGCAACAGGATATTGATATAGGAATAATATTCATAAACGTTATTCTGACTAAATCATTTTAGGTTCACCTAAACGCACGCTTCTTACTGAATATCGACTTGTACTCAAAGATGGAACAGAGGGGACAGTTGAAATACAGAAAATACAGAATATTTCCTATGGACTATGTAGTAAGATCACACGATAAAAAACGTTATACAACGATTTGAAGCGCAACATAGGATATATTGTGCTCTCGATATGCTGTATTTCCACTTGATTTCATCTCGTGCCAATACAGATTTTTTTAGCACAATATATCCTATACTGCACTTCAAATCATTCAATAACGTATATTACTTCAAATTACGAAAATGAGGTTAAATGTTTAACATTTCGTCCGATCTAATACTCATCACATTTCTCAGATGATCTTTCGTATTCTGTAAAATGGCATGGAAATATGATACTGCAGTTTTCCAACAACAACGTATCATAATATGAACTATATATAACAGTTGTGTTTGCTGTTATTGAGAATTGTATTGACAAATAATGTATTCAGCGGGATCTTTGCTTAATTGCTCCTGCTAGAAGCGGGGCCTTGAGGGATATGATAAAATTTAAATATAAAATGTTCTGTAAAGCTTTCGGAAGTGAAACTCGGTACATCTTTATTTCATATCACTATCGTTATTTCAACCACAGGACAACATCGTTCTTCACCAATAACGTATAGAAATATAAAGATAAAGATTCAAAATGATACTTTCTCTCTTCAATTGACAAATAACGAACCACAGAACGACCGTTCGCGATACATTTTTTCCAGCAGTTGCTTTTTTAGTCTCAATACCATGTAATACCATGTAATCATTGGGAAAAATTAAAAGAAAACGTTTTGTAAATCATACAATTCAAGAACACAAAAAAGAACCCATGACTTCTTTTTATTCCTCGCGATTTCAGCGGGAACTTGCTCGCGATTTTTAAATCATAGCGGGGCTTTAGATACTACCCGTGATAATGTAAAACCTAGTTCCTCATTGAAATATCCATGGTGTATGGCTTATAGAAGAAAATCAAAACGAACCTGCCATTTCAGTTTAGTTCAGTTTCCCGTCACTACTCATACTAATACCAACTGTAGTGGTCCAGTTAGATTTACATCCTAGGATATATTCGTGGCTTAACTTATTAGCTGTTTATCTCGTATTATCCATTGTGTGATCCATTGCCAGTGTGATCTGTAGTATTCTTAACTACTGTACTATCCCTTGGAATGCACAGCCTGTGGGGGAACGAGTGCGGTTAATGTTTTCTTTAACCCTGACATGTACGCACCAACTACTTAAACCAGTATCATGCATCATGGGAAGGCATCATCTGTGGTCATGTGGTTACATAACAAGACAAAGCCCAGTGCGTATGACAAAACATAGTCTCTCACAAATAATCTAATTAATTAAGGAAATGTGTTCGAAGTTTAAAAAAAGGAGATTAAGAAGGTGAATTCTGTCATAGGCAATAATTTAGTAAACCGTATACACTTATATTATTTTGATAATGCACTGAACAAATAAAAATGAACATTGCCTTTAACTGCATGTCTTCAATATTCAGGTTGTTACATCATTGTATACAATATTGTTGCTTCACGATAAAAGAAACCCTTTTTATCCATCATTCGCTTACAATTTAGAATGATAATATTCTCCGGTGCTATTCGAATCGGGGGGGGGGGGTGCTTTTTGATAGTTTTGTTTAGAAAATCGTGCGAAAAGTGCTCAGAGTGGTGAAAACCTGCGGGAATTTGAAATAATTTCTGGCCAGGGAGGGGGAAACTACCGAACCTCCAGCTTCCCCTGGTTACGGAACTGCTTATTGGTAATTTGTATAGCCCATTATAAATCTCCATTCAGTTAGAGTCATCAATGGTGAAATCTGTGTTGGAGTTAGCTTCATTATCAACCTCAGTTAGAGTCATTCTAAGTGAAGCCGGTTTCATTCAATTTCTCTAATATCGCGGGTGCTTGAGCCTTTATTTGTGGTTGTTTACAATTATATCTTTATTAGTTTGCATGGCGAAACTTTTGGGATCAAGATTCAGCTTGGTTTGGCTGTAATTGGAGATTTATCGAAAACGAACGAATTTTGTCCACCATCTTGAATGAAGCTAACTGCAGTTAGAGTCATCCAGTTGTGGAACAGTGTGTATCCCTAGTACAGATAAACAGGTAAACGTGATTTTTTCGTTGAATGCTATTTTATTTTATGAAAGTGTTAATATGGTGATTAATATGTGACCATGGCGTGATATCTTCCGACCTTATTGGCCACTCGGCGTCGGTACGTAACGTTATGTTTAGTTGCACTTTTATGAATTTTAATAATCTCAAGGAGTTCATGGAGAGATCTATACTAGCAAGATGAATTTCAAAATTTATGCTATAGGGTGTCCCGAAAGTATGGGCCCCCTAGGCAGACATATACCAATGTCTCCATAGTATGTGTCATATATCATTTTAAAGCTCATCCAAAGTTATATTAATTTGCCGAGTATCATGGTTCAACTCACAAATGGAAAAAGTTACAGGAATACAAAAGTTAGTGTTTGGCCAAAATTAAAGTCAGTTTTACACCAAAACAATAGTCGGTGTGTCTCCTTAGCCGCCATGTTAACAGCAGCAATACTTTCCATATATGACCTTAAACAGGCTTCAAATAGGGATATGGCGTTTTGTAATCCTCATGAAACCTCAGTTTTTAAGGCATAAGAAGAGTTTCCTTCGAGAATGGCATCCATATTTTCTGTCACATGGTCAGGGCTGTTTCCAGGATACTGAAATGAACTATCTTTTTGACAAAACGCTAATTTTTGAAATGCCTGTTACTTTTTACCATTTGAACCATCATATTTGGCAAATCAATGTAACTTTGGATAAGCTTAAAAATGATATATGACACATACTATGGAGACATTGGTATATGTCTGCCTAGGGAGGGGGGCATACTTTGGGACACTGTATATCTGGAAAGTGCAGAAGTTCAAAAGCCAGGTATGGAACACAAAAAAAAGAATTAGTAACATTGACATTTAATCATATCAATGACAATTTTATGGATTAACGGAAAAAATATTAGGGTAAATATATCTGATATGCCTATTAAATATTATTACTTTATTATCAAATATGTTCCTTCTATTACACGTACATTATAGCATTTCATTCACTGTAAAATTAACTGTGAATTGAGATCTGTAAGGCCAATGTGACAACATACATTCGAGTTGACAACATACATTATCTATTTTTCGTAGTAGCATCCAAAGTAAAAAGCGGGTTTGCATTAACTCTGAATGTATATTTGTATACTTATCTTAAGTTGTGTTAGTCGTAGTTTGGCTGTTACTTGCATAGCAAAACAAAAATTAGAGAGAATTTTGAGAAATTCAGTCAAGATTTAGAGATCCCTGACGTGCTGGGTAGATCTATAACAAGATATTGAAGTTGCTGAGGATCATTTCAAGTAGATATGCATATTTGCAACTTAATTACAAATCGAATGCAACAACTACCTGATGATGAACTGACACAATATTGATCAAAACAATGCTAGTTCTTTCCTCGCTTCCTCATTCAAGAAAATGGCTATCTAAAATGGCGGAAATGACATAGTACATCAAAAGTGTACTACGGTATATTTTGTCAATGTCACGTGACTGTACCTTGTCGATGGTCAGGCGTGTTGTATGGAATTAACTTTTTAAATATTGAAACAAATAGAGAAGTTTTGTCTATTACAAGTACCTTTATTAATGAATCTATCAAACTTGTCGAATAAGATCATGCAACCTATTCTTTTCACCTATTCCAACCAAACTCCCAACCAACCACCAGCAGCCCGCTTTTGTACTGTCAAAATCTGTATATTTTTGTTGTATAATTTTATTGTAGTATGTTTATATGTATAGTTGCCAATAATGTTTGCTTCGGCAACTTCTTGAAAAATCTTTGTAAAAAATTACTATGATAATAAAAACAACCACAACAACAACATTTGAGTATAATAAAGCTATACTTCAGAAAGATTTAAAAATTAGCGAAAATTTCTGTTTTCCTGACCCCCCATACACGGCCCTTGGGGGATTTTTGCGAAAAAGTCCCGTCACTTTTAAAGTGGCGGCCATCTTGAAAAACTGACTGACTAACTGACTGACTGACTGACGGATGGACGGACGGACGGACGGAGGGGTTCACTATATACCTACCGAACCTCGTTCTTTGGGATAATAATCATTAATTTTGCAAAGTGGGGCAAAATTCAGCTAGGACCCAAGTTTCAAACATTGCAAAAGTCAGTACAGGGGGACCCACTGTGCAAATGAAAGGATTTCTCACCCAACCATTACCACTTGTGAATGAATGATATATCATTGCAAAGAGGAGAGACGTGGCTTTATTGTACATTGAATGAAATTGATGTAGTCATCACTAGTTTTGTGATTTAACGTGATAACTACTTGTTGCGTTTTTTTGATACGCCCCGTATAATTGTGTACATTTGTAATCTTATAGTTCCATAGTTGGTATTTTTGCTACTAGTCAGGTTCATTATTATCTCACAGTTCGTGAAAAGTAATTTTGTTAGCAAGTATATTTTATTTATTTTTGTACAATACAAGATTTACTACATGCAATTAAACAATCATCCTAAGAACCTACTCATTTTGTCGTGCTATAGTTTGTGTTTTTTATTTTTTGAGCTGATTAAGATTGAATCCATGAGTAAAACTTCTCTTAGATTAAAGCCATTTCAGTCATCTTCACATTTTACTGGGTCCCCTGATTCCTTCATATTTGTTCAATTAGTAATTTTAGCTTTTAATTCCATTTAAAGGGGGCAACACTGCATAGTTAGCTTTTGATACTACATTTATTAGTTTCATTTCTCCATACATCCTTTTACTTTACATTTTTACTAAAGAGGTCAGCACCTTACTTAATCGCTTAAAAACAACACAGCTTCATTCATCCCATCTTTGAACCCATGCCAACTGTTCATTTCACGCTACCATAACGTAATTTGTACAGGGGTAACTTTGTGAATAGTTTTTGTGCATCATTTCCTTGTACGTAGCAGTGTCGGGAGGCTGTCCTGAGCTGCTACAAGATGTTAATTTTTTCGGAATCTCCCTCATACATATTGAAAGTAAATAAAAACATTATTTTACTGAATATTAAGAAATATATTTTTATAATAGTATATATTTTTAATACATCGGTAATAAATGCCAGTGTAGCAAATCACATCGAATGCCTTTAAGTTTCACACAAGAACTGCAGTTTATATTTTGTAAAATAGTTTAACTTAATTTCAGTTATCCCGTACGAACACATTTACAGAAAATGTAGAACATTTCATAGTTCGATGGGATCAATACTGATCATCTTATACATAATACATACATGCATTTCACTAAATTAACACAGCTCGGGTATACATTTAATGTTTTGAGTTAAATCCACATGCTCTGCTCATATAAGGGGTAGCCAGAACATGAAAATGCAAAACTGAATGCTTTGCTTTAACTGGAATTCCCATTGATCATTATATACATTGTACATTTTATTGAATCTACACCACTCAGAAGGGGTTTGTAGAAAAAACCGGGTACCGGATACCGGGTAGTAAATCCTCCATGCTGGGTTCAAACTTGGTACCCGGTACCCGGTCGAAAAAACCGGGTACCCAAAAAATGAAAAATACGAATATATAACATAATTAGATCATTAGAAAACGTGTAAGATTTGTTTTGAATTTACAAACATGTATGTAACTTCCTTTAAAATTGAGCTAGAAGCTTCAAATAAAAAGCATTTTAAGGCCCCTTTCTTCCTTTATCATCATGGTCATATTTTCATTGGTCATGGGGGGGGGGGGGTGCGATCGCATCCCCTTCTGGCTACGCCCATAACATTGTAAGACGTAACAATTTACACAGTGGACGTTTCGTCGAAAATTGGGATAACTTAAATTATGATTAATAATCAAAATCTTACACGTTGCATCATGTAAATTAACACACGTCACCTCTCTGCTAAAGTAACGATAGCTATTTACAGATTTAAATTATAATCAAAACAATTCAGGTACCAACATACGAACTATTGAAAATAGAGTAAGATTGATTTTTCATGTTTTTCAAATTGTCTTACAATGTCATAGGCGTAGCCAGAAGGGGGTTCGATGGTGCGAACGCATCCCCTCCCTCATAACCAATGAAAATATGACCAAGATGACAGAGGAAGAAAAGAGCCTTAAAATGCTTTTTATTTGAAGCTTCTAGCTCAATTTTGAAGGAAGTTACATCATACATTTTTGTTAATTCAAAACAAATCTTACACGTTTTCTAATGATCTAACTATGTAATATATTCGTATTTTTCGTTTTTAGGGTACCCGTTTTTTCGACCGGGTACCGGGTACCAAGTTTGAACCCAGCATGGAGGATTTACTACCAGGTACCCGTTTTTTTCTACAAACCCCACTCAGAAGATACGCATAATGTTTTGAGTTAAACCCACATGCACATATAGGGTAGCAAGAAAATGAAGATGCAAAACTGACTGTTTTACTTTCACCGAATGTTCATGTATTGCTATTTTTGGGAACAGTCTGTAAATTTTCTTGACACCCTATACCCTGCTAAAAGGGTGCCCTACATTGAGGCAAACTAGACAACAGCAACGCCAAAGCGTAGAAAATCCCATCAAACAGCCATGGTTGGCATTTTTACAAACAAAGTATATAGCAAAAATGGCAGCCATTTTTCAAAATGGCTATCTTCTACCAAAAGTGTCATTAGACAGTGTGCCATGCTTATAGTATTCACATACCAAATATGAACAAATTCACTCCACTACTTTTCGAATCAGAGTAATATATGTAAAATTTGAAAAATGGCCGCCTTCTACCAAAAGTGTCATTAGACAGTGTGCCATGCTTATAGTATTCACATACCAAATATTAACAAAATCGCTCCACTACTTTTCGAGTCATCGTAAAATACGTTAAAATGGCGGCCATTTTGAATAATGGCCGCCTTCTACCAAAAGTGTCATTAGACAGTGTGCCATGCTTATAGTATTCACATACCAAATATTAACAAAATCGCTCCTCTACTTTTTGAGTTATCCTAAAATAGCGGCCATTTTGAAAAATGGCCGCCTTCTACCAAAAATGCCATTGGATAGTATGCCAAGCTTATAGTATTCACATACCAAATATGAACAAAATCGCAAAACTATTCGAGCTACAGCGTAAAATAACGAGTAAAGGCCGCCATTTTCCAAGATGGCTGCCATGTGCTTCTTTAATATCTACATTTCTAGCTTTATTAATGTCCTATATAATTTTTTTACATTTGAAACATATTGCTATTACAGTTTTAAATATTGCACCTAAATTACTGTAAAATCGGCACTAAAATGGCCGCCATTTTCAAATGAGCGGCCATTTTTAAAATCGGAATTTCTACACCCATAGGGTATACGTGTGCAAAATATGAACAAAATCGGACCAATGGTATTTGAGTTATTGCCCAGACGGACGTACGGACGTACGTATGTACGTAAGTACGGACTACGGACGGAAGGAGGTGTTCCCTATATCCCTCCGAACTTCGGTCGATGGGATAATACTACCTGTATAGCTACCCTCTATAATATATATAATCCCAATATCCTGAGCCTCATAAAGGATAATCTTTATATATTTCCTGGACACCATATACAGTCTCCATATTTCTCATAGATTGTACTCGTCGATTTTTATAATTTTTAACCAAGCTGTCTTGATTTTACATCTGGGATATAATCATGAGTACAAGTACCAAATATCATACCTCAAGACTGAAAAATGTTGACTTTATCATATACATTTTGAATTTGATACATGATTCTTGACACAACATCTTTACATCATATTTAACATCAATTAGGAATATTTAATCCTGAAAATATCACTTCAGCAAATAATACAATATTTGATATTCAGAGGCCTTATCACGCACTCGTCGCAAGATTTGCGTCTGGGTTGCGTTTGCGAATCGACAATTTGGGCTAGCGCAACTCCTGCGTTGCGTCTTATCACAGGGAAGCGAAGCGAATTGGAACGAATTCAAAGAGTAGAGAGAAAGTATACATTCAAGTTGACCTTGGACAAGTGTGTCATTAAGTGAAACTCCTGGATGTTATCTTCATACTAGTACTTTTTTAACTTATTACAAATCTCTACTTTATACTAATACCTTTTAATGCCTTAAAATAAAAATACCTCCTAGATTGACGCATATAAAATAGATAATAATTGTCTCAAAGATGGGTTATATTCGCAATTGATTTGCGGCAGGGTAAGAGCTATGCAACATTTTGGTCAGTTGCGATTGAAACATCTTTCAATTTGCGATTGCGTTGCGCTGAGCGGATGATACAAATCCTGATTGCGATTCGCAAAAACTTGAGTTAGGTTGTGGTGCGCTTGCGAATCTGCGCTGCGACGAGTGCGTTATGAGGCCTCAGCTCTCTAGGTCCATGTCCATTTAACACTATATTCACTTAAAGGTAATTTGTACCTCCCTCAATACTTTGAGAATAAGGGAGCATTTCAAAAGATCAATGTCAAAAAATTAAATGTATTTAAACAGATAGGGGGAGGGTTAATAACCTAAAAGTAAACTCATCTACATTCAAATAATTGAAATTATAATATCAAGTGTGACCAACAAAATCAACATTTCTAAAACACAGTTATGAGGGGGAGGGGTCAAAGATTAACTGCTCAATTACGTCTCTGTAATAATACAACATTGTTCTTTTGAGATCTTCCCTAACCTTGATACCACTATACAGAACATATTTAAATCAAACTGGCATACATTTCATCATTCAGTGAAACCCCATCATATTATACAGACTGTAATCTTTTCATCAAAATTGAGTAAATTTGATTTATTTAGATTTTATCAAATGGGAAACCCAGTGTCATTACTTATTGAACACCCTGTATACAGACAGGGTGGTCAAAAAATGAAAACCCTGCATTTTCCTTAAATCTTTGTCATTTAAAAAAAATTACTCACACATTTGTACATCATTGAATTTCCTACCACCCTTCCATATTTCATGACCATCAGACTGATAGTCACAATTTAACAGGACTTTGAATAACATGCTTCAGGTTTGGCCATTATCGCGCTGTATGCAAACAGCACAGTTGTCAATGACCCGAATGCAGTCCTTAGCAGGTATGGCCTTAAAAACACGATTGATATCACTTTTGAGGTTTGCAATTGTCCTGAGGTCATTCTCATATACTCTATCTCTGCCAATACCCACACGTAGGAACATTTTAGACGACGAGTACAGGTTTCCTGACAGCGCAATAGTGGCCACTGGGGAACATTCTTTAAGGTGCTGTAACATTGTGATTATCGATCTGATGGTCATAAAATAAAGTAAGCTGAGTAGGAAACTGAATTATGTACAAATGTGCAAAATATCAGGGAGTTATTTCTTAAATGACAAATATATGAAGAAAATGGTGTAAGGGTTTCCACTTCTTTTGACCACCCTGTACATGTTATCATTAAATTAAGCATCAGTTGCTAACTCAGATCCGATAACATAGCATAGTAGTTTTGCCCAAAACAAGCTATTTTGGATTCCATTAAATCACATTTTATAATATGTAGAAGCACATGTTGTATATGTATAGGATATCCTATGATTTTGAGGGATATCATTTTTATCAACGAGTTGATATCAATATCTGAATAAGTAGATATATCACTTTTTAAAATATATTTCAAATTGAAAGAAGTTTGTGTATCTAGCTTCCAATAACCACTCCCCCTCTCCTTTAATTCTTACATTGAAATTATGTAAAAATATGACTTGAAAATAAATATTCACAATTTTAAGATAAACTAAAAATCACATTCACAATTATACATATTTGAATATAATACTCACATGCTTACCCATATATCCATACAAAATGATTTAATCCTATATTATATACATCCTTTAAATTGCGTTCATGCTAAATGATGTTCTTTCTGCTGGAATTGTCACTTTTGTTTTAACTCTTTGATTCTTTGGCATGATCTGTGTTAATTATCAATGTTGTTGTAATTGTTGTTTTCTTGTTTACTGTTGTGTAATTGTTGTTGTCTTGTTTACTGTTGTTGTAATTGTTTTTGTCTTGTTTACTGTTGTGTAATTGTTGTTGTCTTGTTTACTGTTGTTGTAATTGTTTTTGTCTTGTTTACTGTTGTGTAATTGTTGTTGTCTTGTTTACTGTTGTTGTAATTGTTTTTGTCTTGTTTACTGTTGTGTAATTGTTGTTGTCTTGTTTACTGTTGTTGTAATTGTTTTTGTCTTGTTTATATTGTTGATGTAATTGTTGTTAATGTCCGTGCTGGTGTTGTTGTTTTTGTTGATTATTCTGTTCACTTTCAGGGAGCTAGACTGAAAGATAACATTAAAAATCATAATCAAAATTCAATTGTTTCATACTTATCTTGAACAAATTTTGAACAAGTCCACTTTTCAATTCATTAAATGACACAAATGAAGACAAAAATATGAGATTTGTTCCACAGTTAAATAAATACTTGTCAGAAAAAAACATTCGTATTGTTTACATTCATTATTTACATTCTACTAATTTCAGATTGATTAGATTTAGCAATTTGAAATCTATTTTATCCAATGAATATCATAAAATATTTCATTTGAGTCATACTTTAGTATCAGATGTTGTGTTTTAGTTGCTGTTGTTATTTTATTGTTTCATATTTACCTTAGTCTCAGTAGTTGACAATGAACAGCTTGCCTTTTTCATCCCCCACTAGCAATTCACCCGCCTCATTCACATGTACAGCTTGTGGGTAGTGCACACCATCTGCAGATGTCAGGAGCAGACTATGAAATGTTGCGTTGGGTGTGAGGAGTTGTACCCTGTGGTTGAATCTGTCTGCTACAATAATAAATCCATTGCTATCTGTGCAGACACCATAGGGATGATACAGCTGTCCCTCTCCTGAGCCAAACTCTCCATAATGGAGGATTTCATGGCCGTCTCTGTTGATCACTTTGATGAAATGACCATCAAAGTCACTTACTATGATCTCACTGTTTATGCCAACTGCCACATTATAAGGGTCTCTGAACATACCAGATGGAGAGATCAGTGTGGAGTTCCCATTTGCTGAATCCACCATATAGACTCCTCTGGTTTGGTCATCAGTCACTATGAACCAACCTGCTGACAGTGAGGCTATAGCACGTAGCCTACTTTCAGGTGCTGCACAGGTGATGGTACGAATGAGCGACCCATCCTCACTGTATATAAGGATCTTGTTGCTGTAGGGGAAGGTTGTGAATGCCAGCTGGCCATCTGTGGTTTTTGTAAGGCGTAAGAAGTCCTTGTTTATTTCTTTGACCATCTGGAATGTATTGCTGTTGTAGATCTTTGTTGTAGACCCACCTTTTGCAATTATATTCCCCAGGCTGGTCACTGTTAGATCATAAATAGGACCAGATTGGAGCTGGTTCTTCACAACACTTGGTTTGACTGAAATTACACAAAAATATAAAAACAAATTAGACAAATGACTACAGTTGGGGACATAAATAAATGACAGGTGGATTTGCTGAAGTGAGGATTTCCCATGTTAAAAATAAGAGAATTTACAAGAGGCCATACATCAGTGGTTGAGATTATACAAAATGTAAAATATACAAATTTTAAGGGATATATCTAGACCATAGGCCCCGGGAACATGTATAAAATAGCGAGTCGACATCTGTATTACTACTTCTTCTTTAGTTGATGGATGTTTGAAACGGGAGCGTAGCGAGCGCGAAAAATTTGAGGTGTTCAAAATTTGGCAAGGTGTAATAAAATTTAAAGGTGTTCAGATTTGGACCAAGGTGTCCACATTTTGAGGGGAGGTGTTCAACATTTCCAAGTCACTCATGTTAGGTGTTCCCAAGTTGACAGGCCTGACACTTTGAAGAAGATTTTGGAGAGATTTGGGAATACAATTTGATACCAGTAAGGAGAACTAGTGCCAAGACTAAAAAAATTTGAAAAATTTTCAATCTTAGTTGGTTCATTCATTCGGTACTCACCATTAACCATAGCTTCCCAAGATAATTGGACTACATAGCTTCATAACACACATGCGATTGCGAACTATACTACACATGGATTGAATTGGACCATAGGCCCCGGGAACATGTATAAAATAGCGAGTCGACATCTGTATTAGTAGTAATACAGATGTCGACTCGCTATTTTATACATGTTCCCGGGGCCTATGATCTAGACAATATTGGAAATTATGGGCTTTCAGACCACCATAATTAGGAAATGGTGATCGAAAATCGACCTGTCATTTATTTTTGTCCCCAACTGTATAATATTATCCCGTTCCCGGACTATAGTCCTGCACTGAGCGCATTCATTTGCCTGTACGATTACAACTTGGGAGAATTATCTACGCCCCTTACACTTAAGATACCTACCTCAATGCATTATAGAACTCAAGATGTAACTTCTAATATATTGGAACCGCCGATTGTCTGGGTATATCGGCAGAACGGGAACATTTTCTCTTTTTCATCGAGTGAGATTCCATCACTTTTCAAAATGGCGGTTGGATTTAAAAGGGGAATCCCCCGTTTGGCTGTCCCGGATGTAGCCCGGAAGTACCAATATGGAGGAATTTGACGGTTGAAATAAGTTAAATGTTACACGCAAATATTGCGATCAAAAACGAAAATGTCTTCGTTCTGCCGATAAACCCAGACAATTGTGGATTCAACTACACGAAAAAAATGCTAAATTACCAAGGAATCTATTGAAGTAGGTATCTGAAGTGTAAGATGAGTAAAAAATTCTCCCATGTTGTAATCGCACAGGCAAAAGATTGAGATGTTCACAGGACCATAGTCCGGGAACGGGATAAGTATAATAGTCTATAGAACTCTTGAAATAGAATTTTCATTTTTCAATTATGAATTATGATGTTTATAAGATCAAAATAAAAACATCCAATTATAATTCCAATCAGTTTAGTTCAAATGAAGTTAAATATGTCATACATTTAGAAGCTCTTTTATGAATATGTGTTGCTTTTTGAAATATGCAGACGACTTTGAATTGATAATTAGGTCAACATCTTAAAGGCCCCATATAAAGTTTAAACCACTTTGGCTTATATTGTAGTCTTACCCAATGTTATCAAAGTGTGATATGGGAAACTTTTTTTTTTAATTTCAAAAAGTGGTTTTTGATAGACTTTTTGTTCCAAAATTTGTGAATTTATTTAAAACCAACTTTTAGAGGTCACTCATATCTTCTAATTGGCCACAATTCATATCAATGCATAGCATTCATCCTCCCATGTTTTTTGCCGAAAAGATTAAGAAAATCGATTCATAAATAAGCGAGAAATGAACTTATCAGTGCATGAAAATGGTTCTGAGAAAAATGCATTTCAAAATTTTAGTTCTCATAGAAACCAATGGTACAATGATATCTAAGACATAATTTATTCTTCCTTTTAACCTGGTTAGACAATCAACATTGGTTTTTTATGAAAGTCTAACATATTTAGAAAAGATTGACATCGAAAAAAAAATTTCAATTTTTTCAAAAAGTTTTTGTTACCTTAGTGACATCACTAATGTTTCAAAATATTTTTGATATGTTAAAACATTGAAGTGGCCCATTAAATATGGCATTTTATTATTGAAATAGTGTGTCCTTTCTTCAACCTTTGCATTGGTGTTAAAAAGATAATCTTTTTTGAAATGCATTAAGAAATATTTGATGATTAAGAAATTTCAACTTTTTTTGAAAAATGGCGGGAAATTTGAATATTTGAGAAATGAAATGCTCACAACTTTTTTTTCAAACATTTTTTTTGTTCAAAAATCTCTAAAATCACTTTTTAAGTCCTGACAAATAGTAAATGAATGATCAAAAAATATTTTCAAACTTTAGACGGGGACTTTAAAGGACAGGGGTGATATTGATGTTTTGTTTACTTTTTGTTCTATTGAATACGAATTGATTTATTAGCTTACATCCCCTGGCTTTTATTTGGAATGATCCAAAGGGGTCCCAACCAATCTAGAACAACATTTTGTTTTCATGAATTAAATGACCTCCCAAAAATTGTAATTATTTGAAATGTATTTCTGTATAAAAATAGTGTATTTACAGTAAATATTAAATCTGGATTTAGAGCTTTTTCTACTATTTTCATTTCCTTGTTTTAGCATAAATAGCATAAAATCAAGTGCAAGTGTTTTATGATTTTTTGTAAGGGCCATGTTAACTGTTTTCTGATCATACTCCAGTTTTATGAACTTTATTATATGGAAGAGGGAGGGGGAGGGGTTTCTTGTTGTTGGAGTTATTGAAGGAAGGATGTGGGGCTGCATAAATGAATGGAATATGCAATATTCTGGGGGGCAAAATATGATTTTTTAGATTTAAGATTTAAATGAACAGTAACAAAATAGAAAGATTATGAACTAAAAACTTAAATAAAATATATCAATGTACTGGTTGAAAGAAAACAGCTTTTAAAAAATTGCTATACCTACGCTGGTCTGGATTTACTTCATGTTTAACTGTGTGCAAATATCATTATTCCAAATTTGCTTGATCACGGGTTACTAGAGTATCCGCGTATATTGAGTATGACCGGTTCTAAGCTTACGAGTGTGACCGTATTTCTGTTCCTATAAACAGACGAGGTGAGTACTTGCTTTTTATGATTCTCAGTTTTAAAGAGATCAATATTAAAATCACCCATCAAAAATATAGTCTTTTTCTCATTTACAACTCTAGCTAATAGTTCATCAAGTAATGTATTAAAATCAGAAATATTAATGTTCGGAGGCTTATAAATAGTAAGAATAATCACATTTTGAGAGTTTTCCTTAGGAATTTCTATAGCTAAAGATTCACAGTCATTGCTTTTCAAAGTAAGGTCATTTCTTTGTATATATTTAATTCCCTTTAAAATGTGTAAAGCTACACCACCACCATGTTTATACTGTCGAGAACAGAATTCACTATTATAATTATTTTGTACATATAATTGTTCAATATCTTTCTTAAGCCACGTTTCTGACATTCCAATAACAGAAATCTTATTTTCAGCATTTCCATAAAATTATTAAATTTTCATTCATTTTTGGACAAACTTCTCATATTTATATGAAGAAGTGATAGATCTTTAGTGTTTTGAAGAGCACGAGCAATCTGATCTATATTCAAATAGTTGCATTTTGACATTAATGTATGGATGGTTAAGTCTTCATCGTTCAGAGAATCATTCATATTATCATCGATCGGGTTAAAAGATAAGTTTTCTTAAATAATCAAAAGAGCTGAAGCTTGAAGCTAGGTCAAAAAATTCCTTTAGGTGTTGTATCATAAAAAGGCAATAACACTAGATCTTTGTTTAGCCAGGGGGGCACATTACAAATATGCAAATGTTTATTTGATGTCACTTATTGCCAAAATGTCATTGATGATTCTTGGTATCTGATTTGACAGCCCTCTAGGGGAAATGCCTGGTTTAAACTTGGTAATAACAACAATACCATGTTGAATATCATCAGTTTTGAGTCTATCCAGTAGTTGTTTCCCAATGCCATATAGACCGCAATCATTGTATCCCTCTTTAATAGATCCATCACTGTTTGCGATTCTATAAGCATAGACGTTGTGTGCAGCTTTGGCAATGGTGTTGACTTTGAGCATCTTCATCAAGACAGTTGAAGCCTGCTTAATGGTAGATACAGATGCAGAATGCCCCTGAGCAGTGACCCCTTGATTGTATATGACTGTATGTTGAATCACATCATCAGGAATATCCTCAAAATCAGCTAAAGTTGGAAGTTGATGTAATTTTTGCCAAATTTTTTGGTAACAAAATTATTTCATACAACTACTTTTTACAATGACATGACTTTTTAACAATGCAGGAAACCTGAAATTATTTGTAAAGCTAGGAAATGGGCCACAAGTGAATTTTGCAAGACAAAAATGGCGACCATTTTAAAAATAGGCAAGCTTTTGAACCAGGAGTCATAGGGGAGTTTTCTAAATTGATGTTGAACAAAGATAACTTAAAACGGAAATCCTATTGACAGAAGTTTTAAGGCAAATGGTCCAAAAAAGGAGTTCGCAAGATAGATGGACAAATCAATGTTAACTAAAATGGCTGAAAATAAAAAATGGATAACATTTTTTGCCGATTTTTTGTATTTCATTCAACTACTCTTTACAGTAACATGGCTTTTTACAATGCAGGACACCTGAAATTATTTTTAAAGCTAGGAAATGGGCCAAAAGTGAATTTCAAGAGACGAAAATGGCGACTTTTTTGAAAATAGGCAAGGTTTTGCACCAGAAGTCATAGGGGAGTTTTTTGAATTGATGTTGAACAAATATAACTTAAAACGGGAATGCTATCAACACAGGTTTTAAAGCAAATGGTCCAAAAGTGAATTTCGCGAGACAAAAATGGCGGCCATTTTGAAAATAGGCGGGCTTTTGAACCAGGAGTCAAGAGGGGTTTTTCTATATTGATGTTGAAAAAAATAACATAAAAGGGAATCCTGTTGACAGAGGTTATGAAACTGGCCAATTGTTGACAGCTTGACAGACGGACAGACAAACGGAGTGATTGCAATAGCTCATCATGTGAGCTAAAAACAACAACATTACACCAACATAATGAGACATTTGGGCTGTAGCTAATACATATTCTCTGAAATAGATACATCAGCAGGGACTATGATCAATAAACTGCTTTTGCTTTATTAAAAGTAGGTCAAATGGGTTTTTATAATTTCTTCTATTTCATGGCATATTTGAATTCTGGATGTGATTTTCTACCAAAACAACTTGATTTGCAGTTATTTATTTTAATTCAAATTTTAAAGATTTTACAGTTTTCTCAAAAAGGCCAGGCTAAATCCCTATTGGCACAATGTTAAAATAAAATAAAATATAGTATTCATAATAGTATTACAGATATTAATCAAACAAGGAAAATACTTCCTAGATGACAATGCTTTCTCTTATATTGGATTTCTATATTTTTATATATAGTGACCTACATACTTAATAAGTCATACAAATTCTTTTCCTGGCAGATATCAGTGCAAACGATATTTACAGGAGGACAATAATTCCTCTTACATTACTTGTCCTGGCAGAAATTATAGCAAACTAGGACAATATATTCTGGAGGACAATACTTTCTCTTATAATAGATTTCCATACTATTATATAGTGACCTACATACGTAACAAGTCATACAAACTCTTCCTGGCAGATGTCAATGCAAACGAGGACAATATTTACAGGAGGACAATAATTCCTCTTACATTATACTTGTCCTGGCAGATATTATAGCAAACTAGGACAATATTTCCTGGAGGACAATACTTTCTCTTATAGTAGATTTCCATACTTTTATATAGTGACCTTCATATGTAACAAGTCATACAAACTCTTCCTGGCAGATATCAGTGCAAACGAGGACAATATTTACATGAGGACAATAATTCCTCTTACGTTACTTGTCCTGGCAGATATTATAGCAAACTAGGACAATATTTCCCCAAGGACAAAAATAATGCTTACATAAGATTCCCATGTTCCTTTAAACAGTTATACAGTCTTTTCCTGGAAGATATACTATACATGCGAACTAGGACAATATTTCCTAGAGGGCAATAATTCCTCTTACATTAATTTCTCAAACTTTCATATGGTGTCCTTTAAACTTTACCAGTCATACAAAGTCTTCTCCTGGTGAATACCAATCCAAACTACACTGGCGGATTAGGGGGGGGGGGGGGGGCCTGGGGGCCCGCCCCCCCCCCCCCCTTGGGTGGGCCCAGAAAAATACAAATTGGGCCCAAAAAATTTTGGGCCAAAAAAGGCCTTAAGGCCCCAAAAAGTGGGCCTTTTTGGTCATAACTGGGCCTTTTAAGGCCTTATTTTTTAAATTCAGGCCAAATTTTGAAGAAAATGGGCCTCAAAATTTCAAAATTTGGGCCCACTTTTGGGTTTAAGGGGCCAAAAATTTTTCGTTTTTTTCTCTGACCTGAAATTTGGGCCCCCCTTGTTGGTTCCCAGATCCGCCCCTGAAACTAGGTACTAGGACAATATTCCCTGAGGGACAATAGTTCCTCTTCACTAGATTCCCATACATTAATATGTTGACCTTCAAACTAAAGCAGTCACACAAGTCTTGTCCTGGCAGACATCAATGCAAACTTGGACAATATTTCCCGGGGGACAATAATTCATCTTACATGTACATTAGATTCCCATACATTAATATGGTAATTTTCAAACTAAACCAGTCATACAAAGTCTTGTCCAGGCAGTTATCAATGCAAACTAGGACAATATTTCCCGGGGACAATAATTCATCTTACATTAGCAGGCCTGTCAACTTGGGAACACCTAACATGAGTGACTTGGAAATGTTGAACACCTCCCCTCAAAATGTGGACACCTTGGTCCAAATGTGAACACCTTGATCCAAATTTTGAACACCTCAAATTTTTCGCACTCGCTACGCTCGCGTTTCAAACATCCGTCAACGGGGGGGGGGGGGGGGGAACGGAATGCGTGACATATACGTAATTCGCTTGAAAAGTCCGAACGAAATGCGTACGTTTTTTTCCGGCGTTCGTATTTTTGCTGGGTAGACGATCTTTTTTAGAAATTTTTTTACAGAATGATTTTTGCTTGACAATTACCAGGTAAAATGCGTATTTGCGTGACATTTTCTGTCACGCAAAAATAACTGGCGTGACTTCAAATTCTTCAGCAAATGCGTGACAAATACGCAAATTGCGGGACAGTTGACAGGCCTGCATTAGATTCCCATACATTAATATGTTACTTTTAAAACTAAAGCAGTCATACAAAGTCTTGTCCAGGCAGATATCAATGCAAACTAGGACAATATTCACTGAAGGACAATAATTCCTCTTACATCAGATTCCTATATTTTAATATGATGATGTTAATACTGAACCAATCATTAAATTTTTTAATTTTTAATTTTCAAAATAACCCTAAGACCTTGCTCTATAAGAATCCAGTGAGTAACTTAGGGCACACAAAGTTTTTTAATATTTTGCTCAGCTGCTGACCTATGAAGAAAAGCTTTAGAAGGTTAAATCTTAAATCTTGATGATTTTGAAAAAATACTTTCTTTGACCTTTTTAACCTTTTTTTGATTTTGAGCTAAAATTCTTAAGTCTAGAGTCAGATTTGAACTTCTGGCATTTAATTTATCAAAAATTACGTTATTCTAGGAAAATGGTGGCCATTTTGAAAATTAGCTGTCATCTTGAAAATTCTTTCTTGAACAAATCTAGTGTGAGTATGAGCATACTTAATAAAACTCACCTGTAACACCAACCACGTATGACTCAATTTCACATTCGTTCACGCCTTTCTGGATTCGGAAATATCCCTGTTCTCCCCATTGTTTTCCCCAGGAGTTGGCAACAATCTGAAATTTTACATTTTTCAATTATCATGCCGTATGTATGGATGTTCATGGTTAGAATATCAATATATTTATAGACAAATGCATTGTAGACCAGTGACCAATACTAGTACAGGGTGAGTCAAACAAAAAAGGTTACCCACACAAATCTTAATAGAATTTAAATCGCATTTTGCATATCTCAGTTTCTGTTGGCATCTATATTTTTGTTAAGGTAATGGTTTGATGGTAATTACTCTAGCGTGCCACTTGCAAGCTAAATAATTAAATAATAATTTCCTTACCCAATATTTCGTCTCCCCTTGAGAACTGCATTCAGAGCCCCATCTGGAAATATGAATATGACAAAATACAAAATCAGTAGAGTGTGTTTGTAAATAATACAATGTATGTATTCAGGGAACACCTTATTACATTTTATGTAGTGGTACATGACATTTAATTCACGCATGCCTTCATACTTTATTGTGTAGTGCAGATATAGCAGTTTTTAGAAAAAAAGTTTTTGTTCCAACATCACCCTAAACAGACTTACCCCACTATTCTGACAGATTGGTAGCCACTTAGCCCTATGTCATCTGGTGCAACAGAATGTCTATATATACCGCTTTTGTACATGAAGAAGTCTTCGTGCACAACAAAAGTGGCTTGGACAGGACCATTGGTGAGGATCTCCTTCATTATCTCCCTTTCCTGAAACATAAAATTAAGCAGACTAAGACTAGATATACTGAGATAAATACTCCAAGCCCCAGGGATAGAGTAGCATAGAGTACAAGCAAAAATACTCTAATGTAACAATTATGTTTATCAAAATATAGGATAATACGCTCTTACTGTTCTAAGAACTGTTGACAATAAACTATAAAAATTGACAGCCATCCATCTAGTTTTTTTTTTCTAGAAGTGGGGCTAAGCAAAAAAATAATGTTATTTCTATACACTTGTAAAATGTATTATGGCAAACTACCTCACTGCAGTTCAGTAAACGTGTAAGTGGTAGACATAACAGAGGTCACTGGGTTCAAACATCACAGGTACCTGCTGACCATAATGCATTGAGGAACAACATAATTTATAATCCCACCTTGCAGATCACGTGGAGTTCAAGTGACATACAAAACTTGCAACTGAATCTAGGGGAGCTTCCCATCAGACATTTTCCGATAAGACTAGATAATCAACCACTAGATATAATTAGAAAAATAGTAACTCCATGGAGTAGCAAATCCCACTGAACAAAAAATATTTCGATAATTAGTGGTCATCTTGAAAGTTTCTTCTTGAACAGAGCATATAAGCATATACAAATTATTGGACCAAATCCATCCACTGGTACTTGAGTTATCAAAGAATATGTTTTTTGCGAAAATGGCAGACATTTTGAAATCCAGTCTCCATCTTGAAAAATTCTTTCTCTAACAGAGCTACTGTGTCGCTAGGCATCATCATATAAAATCTGAAGCAAATCCATTCACTGGTATTTGAGTTATCATAGATTACCCTTTTTAAGAAAAATGGCCGCCATTTTGAAATCTAGTCTCCATCTTGAAAAATTCTTTCTCTAACAGAGCTACTGTGTCCCTAGACATCATCATATAAAATCTGAAGCAAATCCATTCACTGGTATTTGAGTTATCATAGATTACCCTTTTTAAGAATGGCCGCCATTTTGAAATCCAGTTTCCATCTTGAAAAATTCTTTCTCTAACAGAGCTACTGTGTCCCTAGACATCATCGTATACAATCTGAACCAAATCCATTCACTAGTATTTGAGGTATCATAGATTACCTTTTTTAAGAAAAATGGCCGGCATTTTGAAATTCAGAAGCCACCTTGAGAATAACTTTTTAAGCAAAGCTTCTTTGCTCTTGAACATATAAAATTTGAATCAAATCTGTTTACTTGTATTTGAGTTATCAAAGATTACATTTTTACCAAAAATGGCGGTCATTTTGAGTTTAGAGGCTATGTTGAAAATTTCTTCTCGAGCGAACGTCCTACTGTCATAAGGCATAAGCCTATTGAATTTGAATTAAATCTGTCAACCAGTATTTGAGTTATCGCCCGAACACACGGGCGGACTGAGGGACGGATGGACAGGCAGACATGGACGGATGGCTTTCCTATATCCCCCTCGAACTTCGTTCGTTAGGATAAATATTTCTACCACTACATTGAAGAAATACAATCCTAAATGCAACATACGTCGCTAGGGATCGTGTAGGGTTTCTCCATTTGATAGATTATATTTCTCGGTATTTGTTCTTTCTTTGGGCATACACCATTCTTTGATCTTAATGTTGATCTTTCTATTTGACAGTTTTCCATGGAGCTGCCAAGACTACTTGCGTAGGGATAGCATTTCTCATCAACAACTCTAAAATAATACAAACACAGTGAACTATTTTAGAATTACTTTGTAGTTACAGCAGATGCAACTCTCTCTCTCTCTCTCTCTTTCAGTTTGTGATATATTTAACCTAAAGAGGACCCAAGAATGAATTTTAAAACAAGAATGAACACAATAAAGTATGTCTACATGTACATTTAGGTTCATATTTGATATCACCTAATTTGTTTTACTAAAGAATATTTGCAGAATGTGGTAGTTACCTAATGTGAACCTGAAATCTAAGCAATATTCCAAGTAAACCTACTGAGTTCACCTATTCAATTTAGGAAAAATGTATGAATCTTAGTGAACTAAAGTCACGCTGTATTAATTTGAGTTGGGAAACTTATGTTCTCCCGCCCTATACCAATTGGAATCCACTTTAGGACTTTATGGATTACAACAATCCTCTAAATGGGATTTGCTACATCTTGCTGTTGGTGTGAACTACTTTAATCTGATGTCTAAGATGTTTAATTTCTCTATCTTAACAATTTGGGGCATGTCTATGTCAATAATCTGCAAAAGGCTAATAAGCCCATATAAAGCAGATATATAATTTAACAGTGATAGAATTTGAATAGAATATAATTAATTTAAAACCTTAACATTTAAAAATAGATCTATGGTTTACAACTCATTTTAAAATTAAAAGGAACCTTCCTGGTTGGCCCCTGTTACAGCAGTGGCGGATCCAGGAACCAACAAGGGGGGGGCCCAAATTTGAGAATATAGAAAGAAGCCCCTAAACCCGAAAAAGTGGGCCCAAATTTTGAAAATTTGAGGCCCATTTTCTTCAAAATTTGGCCTAAATTAAAAAAATAAGGCCTTAGAAGGCCCAATAATGACCAAAAGGCCCACTTTTTGGGGCCTTAAGGCCTTTTTTGGCCTAACATTTTATTGGGCCCAACTTCTTTTTTTTTGGGCCAACCTTAGGGGGGGGGGCCCGGGCCCCATGGCCCCCCCCCCCCCGGATCCGCCATAGGGCTACAGGCCTGTCAACTGTCCCGCAATTTGCGTATTTGTCACGCATTTGCTGAAGAATTTGAAGTCACGCCAGTTATTTTTGCGTGACAGAAAATGTCACGCAAATACGCATTTTACCTGGTAATTGTCAAGCAAAAATATTTCTGTAGAAATTTTTTTTAAAAAGATCGTCTACACAGCAAAAATACGAACGCAGGAAAAAAACGTACGCATATCGTTCGGACTTTTCACGCGAATTACCTATATGTCACGCATTCCGTTTGAAAATTTTCGTACCTACCCCCCCCCCCCCCCCCCCCCCGTTGACGGATGCTTGAAACGCGAGCGTAGCGACCGCGAAAAATTTGAGGTGTTCAAAATTTGGCAAGATGTAATAAAATGTAAACCAAGGTGTTCAAAATTTGGATCAAGGTGTTCAGATTTGGACCAAGGTGTCCACATTTTGCGGGGAGGTGTTCAACATTTCCAAGTCACTCATGTTAGGTGTTCCCAAGTTGACAGGCCTGCCTGTACCCCCCCCCCCTAGGAGTCCCTTTATGTTAAAAAAACCGGGGCGACTGTCAGGCTACCTCGTTGACATCTCCCCCCTTTACCAGTAGTGCAGGTCATTTCCCATTAGCATGTGTGCATACATTTTTTTACTGTAAATGAGTTGCCTTCATCATATTGAAAGTTCTAGTGTGAATTTTAGTGTCTACCTTTGTACTCTCATGTACTCCCATGCTCTATCCAAGTGCCCCCCTGCACATGCAGTTTTCTTGTCCCCAATACAAGAGATAAGTTGTTGTGGGGAGAAATCTACCTTGACTGCATTAGACGATTCCATTGCTAGCCGATCTGAGGTAACAGCTGAAAAGGAAACCATGAATAATATTGTGCGGGACTGGGAAAGTTTGCATTGAAGTAATGCACCAACCCCATTTTCATCCACATTTTATGTGAGCAGATCCAAGTATTTACTCAGTGGATATATCAACAGACTTGATGAAATCCCTAACTTTTGGCATTGATTGGACACCCTTCTTCAAAATGAGATAAATGAAAATTGAAATAAATACATCTAGACCTGGTTCAAGGTTCCACTGAGCTTACTATTACTGAAAAACGGGTATTGTTAGCGAGGGGTAATTGTTAGGGATTGTTAGCGATCGCTATAGTTTCGCTAAAAATTCAATTCGCTAAAATAAACCGGGGTTAAAATAAACCGGGCGCTAAAATTTGCAAATTCCTGGGAAACTACATAAATACTAGTATTTAAGGAGCTTTTCGTTTAGTGCTCGACTTCTGGTTTGTAATTTGAAAAAAGTAAATATTTTTAAATCGTATGTATTTAAATGCTACCGTGATTTTGTGATTACTCAGATGAGATTACAGTAGTTTGGACCAATACCATGTGCGTTAGAAGTCTTACATTTTGATGATTCCTCTATCATGTCCGTTATTCATTCTTCTGCCATAAATGATAAAATTTCTAATGTATTTGGCTAATTTGATTTTTTAAAGATTAATCTTCATTTCGCTAAAATTTCCCGCGCCAAAACCCCCTAAAATTGAAAAATCGCTAAAATTTCCCGGTGTCAAAATTACCCGTTTTACAGTATCCTATTAGCAAGATATCATATAGCCCTGCATTGAACCCTAATACTTTAATCTGACAATATGTTGAAGTAATTTGTTTGACTTACCAGTTGCACTAAATGCCCAGGATGACGCACAATCCCCCTGGTTACGGATTGCAGACACGTATCCTTTTGATTCCTTTCGTAAGTCGTATTCCCTTGGGAAAGTCTCTTCTTCCTTCACCTGGCTTTGCCTCGTGGGTATTACATCACTGCCTTGCAAAAACGTCCCCAATTTGTGCTTGATTCCAAATGCCAATGTTTTCTCCTGCAGAAAGGAATAACTACCAGCTTTCCACCTACAAGTTACATCTAGGAAATAATACCAACGATCTACAGTGGGTGTTCAATATTATTGTCTACGAAATTATACAAAATGGCTACAGAGTTGAATTGGATAGTTAACAAAGATAGCACAAAGAAGTCTGGCCAACGTCGCTATTGGTGACCATTGGTTCTCAAGGTTGCAGTTGGCTAATTGTTCATGTGGCCTATCGTCGGCTGCCCAGGGAGCCAACAATGGCTGTACAAAAAAGTAAATCGTGTCAACGGTCGGCCAACGTTGGTTCTTTGGTGGCTGCCAATGTTGGACCAACGTTGGCTGACGTGGTTGGCCCACTGTCGCTATGTCCATTGGCCCAACGTTGGCCCGCCGAAGGAAAATATGGTTGGCCCAACAATGGACCAATGTTGGGCCAACCATATTTTCCTTCGGTGGGCCAACGTTGGGCCAATGGACATAGCGACGGTGGGCCAACCACGTCAGCCAACGTTGGACCAACAGATACGCAATTGTTGGGCCAACGTTGGCCCATCAGAGTTGTGCTATCTGGGAAATCATTTTAATTAAGGAACTATAAATTTAGAACAATTATAGATTCATCCTGACACTAGCATTCGTATTTAAATAAAAAAAATATGTCTGTATAGATTGAAACTAGAGAATATGGCACCCACCCTTTATTGCCCCCATTTACATGGTCTATGATCGAGTCCCTGATGAGACAATCCAGACTTTCGCATTCCCACACATAGTGGTCGTCATTTTCCATGTCTTCTATACAAATGCTGCAACATAAAGGCATACAGTATATATATATATATATAATATGGCACTTGCCCTTTATTGCCCTCATTCACATGGTCTATAATCGAGTCCCTGATGAGACAATCCAGACTTTCGCATTCCCACACATATTGGTCGTCATTTTCCATGTCTTCTATACAAATGCTGCAACATAAAGATATACAGACAATCTAAACCATTACACTCCTACACGCATGGTCGCCATTGTCCATGTCTTCTACACATATGCTGCAATATAAATGTATAGATATAATATGTCACTTGACATTTATTGCCCTCATTGACATGGTCTATTATCGAGTCCCTGATGAGACAGTCCAAACCTTCACAATCCCACATGTACTGGTCAGCATTGTCCATGTCTTCTACACATATGCTGCAACATGAACATATGGATATTAGTCCACTTTCAATTTGATTATTAATTGTCAAATAATCACTGATATTAAAGTATGATATTAAAGAATGCCTTCTTATGTTACCCACACCTCCTCTAATTGTATATTATGATTGGTAAAATATAATACGTGATAGTTTGGGAGTGATATAAGGATATTTGTTGCAAATGGATGTAGCAGATTCAAATTTTAAAAATGAACCAGCATTTTTTCTTATTTCTTTAATTTTGAGATGAAATAGAAAAGCGGCAAATAGAACCGCTTCATTAAAATTCCCAACAACAGCCAAATTCTTAAGTTGTAGGAATTTTAATCTTGCCATGCTCCTTAACTGTTGGTGCTATGTGCTGCTTCGTCATATGTCAACATAAGGAATTACATCAGCATGAGCCTCTTCATAAGGTTACACACCAGCATTTTCTTCTTTAATAGAGCAAGAAGTATTATTTAATATGTATAATCAGTATGTATCTCTTTAAGTCAATATTAGAATCGTTTCGTCTGTTTGAAAAGTTAATTATATGTAAATCAGCAAGTGCTTCTTCAATAATAGAAAATGTTTAAATGGATATGGAATCATTATTTGTCCACTTGTTATTCACTGTCAAACATGTATATTAACTGACCAGGGATCGGTGCCAAACATATAATTGCATGAATTGTCAGTTACATTGGCATTTTATGATATTTCACTGTCAAACATGACCATTAATTACCATGGACATATTTTGGTATATCCCTGCCAAAATAATAACTATCATTTATCATGGCATCTGATGGTTTCTTGTATTTCATTTTCAAACCTGTGCATTAAATAGCACTATCATACCCTGATAAACCATCAAATGCAATAGGTCTAATTATGACTACCATTAAATGCAAAGCCATGAACCAGGTGATCAAAGTTTCATTGTTTTGGATGAAAATTAACTGATAATACAATGAAAAAGGTTTTTTAGATACAGATTAACAATATTCCCTGAGTGGGAAATCAAACATTGAATGAACTTAAAAAGTCGATTGACCCTATGGACAAACTTGGCATCGTTGGAAAGGTATTAATTTGTAGATATAGGAAATAATATCAATTTCAATATCCCAGATGTGAGTAGAAATAATCTTGATTTATGTCATTAAAAATTCAAAATTCAGTCAAGCTGATGTCATATTTGGAATCTACATGTAAAATTACAATTAAAAATGTGGTTTCAAAACGAGTTTATCAACTTTGAAAATTTAATTTTCTTTGAAAATGTGACTTCTAGGTCGGGGAGATTCCCCATAGACCTCATGTGGTAAAACCACAAAAAGTGAAATATTTTTTCTTGTGTTGGGCAGATAATATTTTCTTTTACTGGACATATTTTAATTTGAATAACTATCAGATACATAACGGTTATATGAAAAGTGGACAACTAAAAATGATGCATATTCATTTTTAAGGGAATTTTGTAATACCCTACCATGTTAATTCCCCCGAATCAGCCACCTGGTGGCGAAACTGGTTACTACCTTCTCGCATCTGAGTAATTGAAGTTGATGTCCTTAACAAGAGTAAAACATGCAAAACAATGTGTTTACATAGCTGGCATTATGTATATGTATTCCCATCACATGTTATAGGCCAGTATTATAGCTTTCCAATGGTACAATTTTTCCCATTGGGTCAACCGACTTTTAGACTCCTTAAATAAAAGACTTTTCAGTTTTTTCACTCAGGTATATAATTTACCATGGAATTCAATGGTCGATGATTACCGTCAAATGACACCATTGCAAATCGTGGGCAGCAGTACTTCTGTAACATATGTGCTGTTCATTTTTTGGTAAACTATAGTGAAATGCAGTGTAACTTGATGTAAACAATGGAATATCGTCAAGTTGAATATTTTAGACCATGGAATGCCGTCAAATGCAAATGGTGTGGCAATGAAACTGCAATGGTCACTTAAACTGTTGTCTAAAGCAATGGTTTTGACAATGAAACTGCAATGGTCACTTGAACTGCTGTTTAAAGCAATGTTCTTGACAATGAAACTGCAATGGTTACTTGAACTGTTGTCTAAAGCAATAGTTTTGGCAATGAAACTGCAATGGTCACTTAACTGTTGTCTAAAGCAATGGTTTTGACAATGAAACTGCAATGGTCACTTGAACTGTTGTCTAAAGCAATGGTTTTAACAATGAAACTGCAATGGTCACTTGAACTGTTGTCTAAAGCAATGGTTTTAACAATGAAACTGCAATGGTCACTTGAACTGTTGTCTAAAGCAATGGTTTTGACAATGAGACTGCAATGGTCACTTGAACTGTTGTCTAAAGCAATGGTTTTGACAATGCAACTACAATGGTCAAATGAATTGTTATCTAAATCAATGGTTTTGACAATGAGACTGCAATGGTCACTTGAACTGTTGTCTAAAGCAATGGTTTTAACAATGAAATTGCAATGGTCAAATGAACTGTTATCTAAATCAATGGTTTTGACAATGAGACTGCAATGGTCACTTGAACTGTTGTCTAAAGCAATGGTTTTAACAATGAAACTGCAATGGTCACTTGAACTGTTGTCTAAAGCAATGGTTTTAACAATGAAACTGCAATGGTCACTTGAACTGTTGTCTAAAGCAATGGTTTTAACAATGAAACTGCAATGGTCACTTGAACTGTTGTCTAAAGTAATGGTTTTAACAATGAAAATGCAATGGTCATTTGAACTGTTGTCTAAAGCAATGGTTTTGACAGTGACCCTGAAGCACAATAGGAACTAGTAAAATCATGGTCTCTACCATAAGGGTGTAACATGTTAACGGACAGCTTGTCATGGCCAAAACCATTCATTTTGATGATATTTCATCGTAATTTTTACCATGCTTTCAATACATTTGATTGCATTTGACCATAGCATACTGCAGAAAGGACAACCCAAAGTATAAAAGTGGTGTTTATCATGATATGTAATAATGCCATTTTTAACGACCAGGATTGACAATGGTATGATCATGGTACTTCACTGCATTCAACAGTTATGGACCATACCAATCATGACTATGGTCAATTGCAACATAAAAGTTATAACACATGGGAATTACTTACCATTCCTGGCAGTAGACCTTCTTTATGCTCCCAGGGCGATAGACTTTGCCATCAACCTTACAGTCATCTGGAAAAAAGGAAACCTGTCACTGAACCGCCGGGATAAAATAATAGCGGTGTTAACAGAGTATTGCAGCCAAGCCTAGCTGTCTAGAATAGAATATGTGCGTATTTCCACTGTTAATCAAGGCTTGGCATGCTAAAATCATCCAATCAACAGAAAATGTTGAAACACTTTTCTGAAATATAAAAATGCACACAAACACATTCTGGTTAAACTAACAACCAATTTGCTAATAGGGGTTCTTTTAGAATATACAAGGGGCGATCCATATATTCTGATAAAAATGTTCTCATTTTGTGACTTTTTCATATATCCCTCTCATTTTTTCAGAAAATGTAGATTATGTAATTACACATACAATGATAAAATATTATAGGTATATCTTAAATCAATTTTGAAATAAAGTTGCCATGGTAACCTGTATTCAGGGTAGGCAGGTCAGTTAAATAATAATGTATAAAATAGATAAATTTGTTGATTTAATCATTCCTCGGTGCCTATTTTAAGCAGATCAAACACATCTTCCGGTCATTGCCAACTATTTGTTGAACTGTTCCATACCCCTGTTTCCCTTGTTTGCTAATTTCTACAGTGGGATAGTTCTCTCTTCATAAGTTGCATCTCAATTTGTCGTTGCTTTATTCTCTGTCCACAAGCTCTTCTTGCAACCAGATTGTGGATGATCTTCAACAGTTACCACGTCTTCCTCTTTACAATAATACCTATAGATTCTTTAAGCAGATATAACACCTTGCCCATACATTTAACAAGTCCATATGTCTCTGACAGTGTCCTCTTACTTATTCTTGATAGAATATAAAATCTAATGGTACTCCATATGTATCTGTTATTAATGTCACACTCTGCATCAGCCACAATAACCTCATCTAACATTTTGATTTTTGGTGTGTCTCATGACATGTAATGTTAACTGGCCAGTTCTGTCATACAATGCTATTTAGAGTTGTTGTGATGTTATAGTGAGCACAAATGAACTTTTGTTTAGCAAAAACAACAAGCAACAATACCAAACTTTTTTAGAAAAAATGTTTGATTTCCGCATGCTTTAAAGTAATTAAAATAACAAGTTATTATGATAGTTTATATGTTTTAATTTGATTGACCTGCCTACCCTTAATACAGGTTACCATAGCAACCCTATTTTAAAATTAACTTAAGATATAACTATGATACTTTAGCATTGTATGTGTGATTACATAATCTACATTTTCTGAAAAAATGAGAGGGATATGTGAAAAAATCACAAAATGAGAGCATTTTTATCAGAATATATGGATCGCCCCTTGTATAAGCACAAATGCCAAAGGGAGGGTGACTAAAAACTTTTTAAGAAACCCAACAAGAAAAGCAAACTGTAAGTGTAAATCTGTCATAAGAAAAGTAGACCCTATATATCCCAAAACCATGATCTAACGTGAAAAGAAACAATGTCTAACATCCCCCCTCCAATCGAGAACCAATATCACAATCCAGGACCACAACACCAATAGGGACATTTCATTCATACTGAAGTCATTACAAAACATGTTGTAGATACTAGTACTCATAAAAGAACATAACATTAACATAAAAGAACGTACATCCACTGCAGGTTTCACTATTGAATTTGTAATGAATTTGTGAACATCTAAACTTTTATGTAAAATTCTTATAAGCACATATTGTTATTTGTAGCCTATGCAGTCTTCTGTATATTCAAAACAACATTTAATCAAAATTGTGACTTTTTGATATGCTTTTCTACGATTTACCAAAAAGCCCGAAAATCAGGGGTTCTGCGCTAAAATAGAATTAGGTTACAGCATTAGCTGGTTACACATCAGGCTTCTAAAAACAAGTTGAGGATAAAGTATCCTTAAATATTAGCTGAAGTCTTACGATGACATAAATAATTCCCAACATTTTAGTGCTACACATGGTTCATGTTCATACACCTAAGTATTTTTATGAAAGATACAAAATTTCAAATTCTTAAGGCCCATCATGTTCCCAGGGATAGGTCTATCTACATAATTGGGAGCAAACGTAATCGTCTCCGATCGCTATCTACTATCGTACATAATAATAGAGTTGACTATATGACTTGAAGTTTTATTTAGACCATTGTAATATAAAGTAAAACGTTGTATACAGGGTGCCCCAAAATTATGGGCCCCCCTTAGGTAGACATACTCCGATGTCCCCATAGTATGTGTCATATATCATTTTAAAGCTTGACCAAAGTTACAATGATTTGCCAAGCATCATAGTTCAACTCACAAATGGGAAAAAGTTACAGGCATTTAAAACTTAGTGTTTGGCCAAAATTAAAGTTAAATCCAGTATCCTGGAAACAGCGCTAACCTCAATGTGACCAAAAATGTGGATGCTATCGTCAAAGAGAGGATGGATATTGAGTTGTAAAAAGAGGTTAGTTAGGGTAGATACTCCAAGGAAATTCTTCTAAAATTACGTAAAAAGGTTTTATGAGCATTACAAAATGCCATACCCCTATTTGAAGTGTATTTAAGATCATGTCTGGAAAGAATTGCTGCTGTTAACAGGGCCAATGGAGACATGCCGACTATTAATTTTGTGTAAAACTAAGCTTTAATTTTGGTAAAACACTACATTTTGGAATGCCTGTAACTTTTTCCCGTTTGTGGGTTGAACCATGAGACTTAATAAATCAATGTAACTTTGAACAAGCTTTAAAATGATATATGACACATACTATGGAGACATTGGTGTATGTCTGCCTAGGGGGGCATACTTTCGGGACACCCTGTACATCATAAGGCTCCCGAATATTTACACAAAGGATAGCTATTTTTGTATAAAAGTTAATAATAGGGAACAGCAATTCTCTAACTATCTGTGCTAGATTATTTAATTGTATATATGCAATTATTGCATTACTATTACTAGATGGTTGACTTTTTGCCTTGAAGTTTTATTACTTCATTGAAAGTAATAAAAAGTAAAACTTTTGATACATCATCGGGCTCTCATAAGGCTTATTATAACTTCTATCTAATCAATTATTGCATTTTCGCAAAACAATGTGTGGTATTAAAATCATCTTTACCCCAATGGCGCTGTGTAATTTTTTGTATCAATATCATCATCAAATCATTGTAAAAGTAATTTAAATGTCTATAGTTCTTCCAATAACATTTAGGGTTTATGTTACTTCAAGACGGATATGCTGTAGGCATTTAATATTTCGAAGCAATGAAACTGTGAATCATCAGTGCTCAATTTTCAAAAGACTATGGAACTATCATCTACATTGATGTTGATGTTAACTTTCGAAATTACTTTTAAATAATCGACTTGAAGGAAATTTGAATATGAAAAATATATATATAAAAGTCTAAAATCCCCAAAACAAGAAAAGAGTTATGAATATCTGAAATATTACACAAAAGATAAGGGAACTATATATTCTAAATAAGCTTACTTTAACATAAAATGTTCCATAATATTCTTCCAAAGAATAGATTCACAATTATGCAATGTTTGTATGATTGAAACAATTTGAAACATATCATCTTAGAGTGCGATCAAATAAAAGAGGTAAGGATGTATATTTATTCAAAGTTAAAATATCTTGGAAAAGTATTGTCATAGGCAATAATATTATTTTTAAAAAGAGGTGATGAAAATGTAATTGATCTAATGATTTCAGCCTTTGCATGCAATAGCTATAAATCTTGGCTAATTAGCAAAGAAATCAATTCCACAAGATTATGGAAAACTACACTATATTATTCAGTCGCACAACTTTGTCTTTATGAAAAGTCAACTTGTGATATAAAGAATCTCCGATCTTATATACAAAAGCTAAAACGTGAGGTGCTCATGCTGCCATCTTAGCCAAACCTTGTATATGTTACCCCACTTTCAAATCTTCGGGGAAAATTGTACTTTCCATTTAACAGGATCTTAAGAGGTTCTGGACAAATCATTTGATTCTGGACTTGTCATATTTTTTTTTCAACGAAATCACATCCAAGGGTTGAATTTTTATTAGCTATTTAGAGAGTGAGTCCTGCCTAGTATTAATTTCAATAAAAAAGTTAAAATAGAACCCTATTTGAGAGTCAATCTAATACTTACATTACATTGATAATTTAAGGCAAATCCTGAAATATTTTTAAAGTGCATTTTTTTATGAAATATTATCCAGCAAGTATTTAAATGAAACGGTCTTATTTAAATACAAATCATAACATGATGATATTTTTCATGAAACATTTTTCAATGAAATTCAATTGAAGGGTCAAGATAAAACGAGCTAATTTAGGTGAAAACCCTTACATGATGATGTGTTTTCATAACTTCTTTCATAAAATTCCATCAAGGGGTGAAGATAAAATGATCGAATTTAAGTGATTTAAGGATCACGAGAATATGTTTTCTTTGATATTTTCTATGAAATCCCATCCAATGGTCAAGGTAAAATTTTGATTTTGATTTTGATTTGATCACGTGTTCGAAAGATCCATATAAGGCCCATAGAACCTATAGGAACGTCATTTTGAATGTCATGTGATAGATCCATATAAGGCTTTTAGAACCATTTATGGAAATATGAGGGGAAGCCCCTGACACCTGTTTCACGATTTTTATGCACTTCATTATTGTACCGAAGTTTGCCGATTCGATTCGTCGTATTTCGGAATCCTGGTGACAATTTTATACTCCATTGGAGTATTTTTGACCTACTTCTTATGACGGAAATTCCCGAACCTTGTTCGGATTAATCCGGATTTTCTGACCTACTTTATCTACCGAGATTTCACGAGTTAACATTCGTCTCATTCCGGAATCCTGGTGACAATTTTATACTCCATTGGAGTATTTTTGATCTACTTTTTCTGGATTTTGCCCTACTTATTATATCTTGACAACAAGCAAATCAAAAAGTTCGACATGAACGGGGCTCGATCAACTAACCTAGACAATGGAAGCCAGGCACGCTAACCATGAGGCCAACGAGCTATCGATATGAAAGAACAAAAGTATTATATATTTATACCGAGCGCCAATTCAAAATGATCCTCACTTTTGTCTCCACTTAAATACGACTCGTCAGTTGTATCCAGAATAGTAGAACGCCTATGGCGCTAGTGAATAACCAAGTCCCAGGTGAGTGGTTCGTATCCCTCCGTGATATACTATTTTTGTTTTATTAAATACGACAGAAAGGAGCAAGGTGTAGGTTGAAAACAAGACGTTAGTTTGTTTCAAAACAGTTTGGAAACATTAATCTCTGGAACATTATTTTTTCAATACTGATACAAATTTCCCTGACATTTCCCTGACATGTCTACCGTTTCAAAATTCCCGGTCATCTTTGGCCCTTTTGACCTAATTTTAAAATTACCTGACATTTCCAGCACTTGGAAAAACAAGTCAATTTCCCTGACATTTCCAGGTGTGTACGAACCCTGGAAATATCCCACTGGCTCGCCCTATGAATCGCTAGCACAGATTGGATTGATTAGTGTTTCAAAATGGTGGACGAAGTGTTTGATTAGATAATTTACATATTAAGCTTCTTAAAGGGGCAACAAGGCCTGTACATAGAAAATTCGAAATTTTTTACATTTTCTGAATTTTTAGGGCAACATTTGGCTTTAACATATTTTTTTATACATTTTTTCTTAAAATGTATGGATAAACAATAAAATTTCAGCATTAAGCAGTGCAAATTCAGTTCAAAGCTTCTATAAAGGGAGTCCAACTTATAGATTTTGAAAATCCGACTCGTTTAAAGAAGAATATCAGCAGCTTAAATCACGCCTTGTGATCATACAAAATGGATGGAGGGGGGGGTAGGCGATTTCTGCAAGAAAATTCAACAAATTTGGAAGATTTATTTTTTTCAAGATAAAATTTACAACTGAATTGCCAAATGAATAGGCGCAGTGCATGGCAAAATATGTAAGGTCTTCTAGTATTTTTTGAACTGATACGCTTCTATGAGATCTATTATAAAAGGCGCATCATCATCATCATCATCAACGTGCAAAAGTCAATGTTTTTGCTATAAATCAGGCAACAATGGTCTACACGACCTGTAATAAATAGGTATGAGGGGCGTTATTAGAGAATTTTCGTTATAAGTTTTTTAAAAACTTATACGTATACTTATACTTATAAACCCAATAAACAAGGTGTTTCATAATTTCCTAATTCGTCGGGAAATATCTCCTAGGACGGTAATAAAAAGGGCCAATGGCATACCATCCGTACCCCCTTGATGTAAAGCATGTTTAGTTGTGTCATATGTGTTTTCTAGAATCAAATAGGCTGATATAGCACACGGGTTTTACAGATTTATCTACTCTCAAATATATTTTTTGTAGATGATCGTTTTGAATCACCTTGTAGAAATAACGAAGGGAGAATTAGTTCAGCTAATGAATGAGTCGAGCTATTTGATTGGATACTATGCCTATTCAGCCGATTAATTTTAATAAGCCATTCTGGTCAGTAGGTCCACACATATACTATGCGGAGATCCAACTCTGTAAGTTTATAATCTGCGTATAAAGGCCCTTTTATACGTAAAAACTTAAAAATTGACCTTATAATTTCATGAGAACTTTGAAATGATCGACTCGTTCGTGTAGTGATTCACTTTAAAGGGTCTTGTTTATCGTACACTTCAAGGACCCGTCAACTAGCATTTAGTTTATCGTGTTCATAATTGACACTAGCAAAGGACATTGTATTCACAGTCCCTAGTTGATGATGGAGCTTGACTATATCGGGAATAGTTATGCCCCACTTGGTACAGATTATGAAAATCAATTTGAATTGATTTTAGTTCGACAAGACCCTTTAAACTATAAGTATACGTATAAGTTTTTGAAACAACTTATAACGAAAATTCTCTATTATCACAACACTGACATTGCTCACTTTTTAAAGTTGTTTCAAAGCGTTATATGTAAATGGGCGTGTGGAAGGCCCGTGGGTGGCAATAAAATAACTCGAACTTCAAATTAAAATATATATAAAATAGTATATTTCAAACTTCAATGTTTAAAATACAATGCTCTGTAATGTACAACATGAACTCTTACAACAACTACTGACAAGCCAACACCCAATGCAAACTCAGCTACATGTGAGTGAGAAAGACCATATATGGGAACAATAGATATATAAAACTGACACAGTTTGCATAGTTGAATAACTGGTTTCAATAAAAGGTGAAAAGTGAACATGGTATTAAAAGAGTAAAAATGCAAACAACCTACTCAGGGACCTGTTATATTGAGATGAATAGGGATTGATTAATATGAACAGTAATAATATAAAATGTGAAAATGACCATGTTACATATACAAAAAAATAACCCCATTGTTACAAAATCACAAAAAGTGAAATATCTATTCTTGTATTGCATTTTCGTTCACTGGACATATTTTGATTTGCATTGCTATTAGATACATTTTAAGGGTGATATGAAAATTGAACCACGAAAACAGATGTACTTTAAGTTAAAGGGAACTTTCTACCATACCCGCCATGCTATCTGACCCGAACGAGCACCTTCTGGTGAGATTGGTAACTACCTGCTCGCATCTGCGTTATTACGCAGAGACATAAACGTATACACAAGGAAACGATAGGAGATAACCTATTTTATCTCTGTATACATTTTAACTTTAATACATCGTTGAATCGAATTTGTCCAAAGGTCTTGAAACGTAAAATACCTAAATATTTATCTTTGACCTTGGGATGACCTTGTACAAGAAACATTAATGTTGACCTCGGTTCATCTAATCATAATTCGCCAAGGGCCATAGTATCATCAAACGCCAAATACCTAGACATTGATCGTTTACTTGGATTTAGATAAGGAGTATGCTTTTAAAATTGGCTAGGTCGTGGTTAAGCAACAATAGTATGTTCGAAATACCGCTGCGTAATGCCTGGATCACATTTGCTGCGAGTATTTTGTTCAAAATTGAATACATTTCTGAACACAATACTCAATCGGCCGGGCGCCGTAGTGAAAATCGGAGCAAATGTGACCAAGACATAAAACAATTGAATAATACTGTATCAGTTTCACATTTACAGCGGTCAAAAGCATTTACAAAAAAACGCCAGAGTTGGCAATCATATAAAATGAAACCAATCCCGCTGTGATTCATAGAAATAACTAATTTACTGCATTGAGTTCAATGTTATAACCATGTCGATTTACATGAGTGTCCGATTCATTGTACCAAATTTAAACCTTGATTGTTCTCCAGAAAGCAATAAGCTGACATATATCATATTTTACATTTTAATACAACTGAAAAGATAATAAATGTTTTAATATAAAGTTGACGTAGTTATAAATGTTTTCAGCGTAAAATCAAAGCACAACCATATAATTAAAAACATTACGCTGGGATTCCAACTGGATACAACTGACGAGTTGTATTTAGGTGGCCTAAAGTGCTGCTTATTTTTTCGTGAAGCCACTCAGTAAAATTACGATTTCTCTGCACCCTGATGTTCAATCAACATCATTCGAGTATCTATATGTTCCTGACACGTTCGCGGGCATCCGGTTATGACAACGTCTACCCAATGTTTGCACGAGAAATTGACGTAATTCATGACTGAAATCGGGAAGACAAAAATATGTGATATTCTTTCAGAATTGTTTATAATAACTATTTACAAAAACGTTCCCGAGACACAATCCATTTAGGTAGGGTTTGTTTTAAAGTCGAAAAGCCCCAATAAGACAATACAAACCCAGATTAAGGTTCAACTGGAAAGTAACATTTTGGTAAAAAATTGCTATAGCTGCACATGTTATTTTCTGGTACAAAATTAAGTATGAAGGCATATGTGTATTTCCTTGCTTTTTTCAGGAAAGTATCATTACACTATCTTCTTTTAGAATATCTGGAAACAGGTCAATGGTAGCTCCTGTGTTGTCTGGAAACTTTGAAAGAAAATTTGGAAAAATAGAAAGTGTGAAATATCAGAATTTCCTGGAGTTCCCATTGAACGCCTACCAGATATTTTAAAAGAAGACAATGTAATGATACTTTCCTGAAAAAAGCAAGGAAATTGACACATGGCTTCATACTTTATTTTGTACCAGAAAATAACATGTGCAGGTATAGCAATTTTTTACCAAAATGTTACTTTCCAGCTGTACCTTAAACCCAGAAGAATGCAGATTTCATGTAATGATTTACGTTCATGTAAACAAGGAAAGTACATATAATCCCCATATAAAACACTGGCCTACGTGACATGTAAACACAGGTTCAAATTGAAATATAGAAAATTTTCAACATAGCATTTGCTTCTGTGTTCTGTATGCCCCTCTACCTGCTTAATAAGGCAATGTATCTTCAAATAAAACCTTAGCCAAGTAGATAAGGGTCTCTGGAACACTTTTGTAAATAGTTTTCACAAGCAATTTTATTCCCGGACGCCCAAACGTGTCAGGAACACATATATATTTGAATGATCTTGATTGGACATCAGGTTGCAGAGAAATCGTATTTTTACTGAGTGGATTATTGAATTTCATAGATCTAAAGGCCCTTCAGGAGTGGAAAACCTTAAATTATCAGAGATTAATGTTTCCAAACTGTTTTGAAACAAACTAACGTCTTGTTTTCAACCTACACCTTGCTCCTTTCTGTCGTATTTAATAAAACAAAAATAGTATATCACGGAGGGATACGAACCACTCACCTGGGACTTGGTTATTCACTAGCGCCATAGGCGTTCTACTATTCTGGATACAACTGACGAGTCGTATTTAAGTGGAGACAAAAGTGAGGATCATTTTGAATTGGCGCTCGGTATAAATCAGTCAATTCTCTATATACATTTCTGGATATGCCAGAACTGTATCATTTCTGGTTATACCAGAATTTGGATCTCAATTCACTGCCTATACATTTTTCTTATATTAATCACCAAAAATAGGTACTCGATTTTGTAACGTTTTTTTGAATGACTTTCATCATACATGTGACGATAAAAGATATTACAAATTTAGATCGCGTTTCAACCACGTCTTTTCCTCGGTCCTGCAGTCGATGCTTAGGATTACCCACAAGTCTTAGCGCCATTTTTCTTAGCGCCATTTCCGATTGAGCACGTTGACCGAGGTAAATTTAAAGATTCAGTATTTCCTGCACAATACAGAAGTGGATACTGGATTGGTACCAGCTATGTCTGTAAATATGGAGACTAGGTAAGATTTTCTTCATGAAGTGAACACTTTGGAGATTTAATGCATAGGGTAGTAAGGCCAGACATCACTAATTTTTTGCAATTTTTTGATTTTGTTAGCCTGCCTAACTTAGGCCAGACAACTGAATATACTTCTAGATATATATATCCATTCATTCATTGATTAACGAATTTTCAGGGTTTGTAAGGGGGGGGGGCTCTTTGACTGTTTTAGTTTGGAGTAAAAACGTGCGAATGATTGCAGCTTGTTGAGCTTTTTCTCACCCTCCCTCGGAAAAAGTTGGACTTTCAGGTTCTACTTATATTTATAGTCTTCATAGTCATCATAATTTGATGTAGATGAATAGAATGTACAGAGTTAAGGGGCGTCAGAAGAATTTGCTGAGGGAGGGAGCGACTTTTGGGTATGGATCATGCGTAAAGCGCACTGCACTCAAAGCATTATATCGGGGACCCAGGGGGCATGCCCCCAGAAATTTTTTAAATTTAGACACCCTCTGGTTCATTCTGAACATATCCAAGCACAACATTCCCAATAACAAAAACATGAAAAATGTGTTTGACTTTGACTAAAAAAACTTTGACTTTTACTATTATATACATTATACTTACTTCCTGCGAAAGCTATTTGGATTTTGATATATTAGCTTTCCCACGGAGCATTTGGACAGCTGAATGATTGTGACCTTTGAAATCGAATTAGGTCGATCCGCAGCTTACTTTTGGTCTCTAACTGTGTCTTACATCAGTATCATCAATCCGTGTAAGTATTGGAGCGCTGGAGTACTTCTTTTTCGATCAAGACTTGTAAAATTGTTAGTCGAGTGAATAGTTTTACTGCCAAATTCCAATATTGCGGTTTCTGCTCGGACATGTTCGTAAATCTCCAGAGGTTGTCCGAACCTAACTAATTCTCAAAATTCATTTCGTTCGTTGCGTATCTCGCACCTAGCAAACCGCCATATTGGAAATAGGTCTAAAAAACTTTCACTCGATGAACAATTTTACAAGTCTTGATCGAAAAAGAAGTACTCCAGCGCTCCAATTCTTACACGGATTGATACTGATGTAAGACACAGTTAGAGACCAAAAGTAAGGCGCGGATCGACTTAATTCGATTTCAAAGGTCACTATTGATCAGCTGTTCACTTCTCTGTTGAGAGCCATAAGTTTCAAAATCTAACATGGCTCTCGAAGTGAGTAACATTATACAGGTTTTGTGTAAAAAACCGGGCGACTGGGTAGCCGGGTGACCAGGTACCCTACCTTTCTACCAGGGTTAGGAATTTGTTTTTTTCATTTTATGCCTTAAAACACCCAACTGACATCCCAATCAACCTACTAGTGACACAACCAATCAACATGATATAGAAGTTCTGAATACTGGTATTCAAACAAAAGTTCGCGGTTCGGACCAATTTCGGTGAAAGGGCAAGGCCATAGTATTATATGAAAGAAGACATATACCGGTAATGAAGCAAATTATGGTATCTGCGAATTTTCTGTAACATTATTCATCTTTGAGAAATAAGCAATTTAATCTCAATTTCCTTTTTTGGATGCCCTGTATCATTATTAAAGAATATATATACATGTATGGAAGTATCCCCTCTCGGGAAAGTTAATTCAAGTAGTCATTCCTCAGAGCCTACTGTCTTTATTGCCCACATGAATGAATATCTACTTAACAAAGCGGCCACATAAGAAAATTTCCACTTCAGTTCATGATTCTTAAATTCTATAATGATACACTATCTCTCCTCACTGTCAAGAAGCTTTGAGCTATGACATATAAATTAACATCTCTTAAGCATTAGACCCTTAGAACAAGTGTCAAAGTTACCCATATAAGATACCCTATTTTGAAAAGAATTTCTGAGCTTACTGTTTTGCACATTCGATTTTTAATAATTTTCACAATTTTCACTTAGACCCACTAACATTTAATCATTAAAAATTAAATCTGGCTGTTCTAGTATGGCTATTAAAGTTCCCTTCCTCTAGTTATCTAGCTATCTAGCTTGTAGGCTATGTTATGAAACTCACTGACTTACTCCCTGCTGAAGGACAGCAGCTTCCACTCCATTGTGTGTCTTAAGTGTTTTGTCGTAAATTTATGATGATGTCATTTTTGAATATTATCCTAAATTTTTGGTGCATTACAAAGTATACACTTTACATGTTCATACTGATGGCTGAATTAGGAGTTTACATTTCTTTGAAATCAATACACTTGTCATAATACATTGCAGATTCAAGTTTATAAACTGTCCAATGAGTGCCTATGTGGTATAAAAGACACCTTGTCAATATTCTGACCAAGGACCTCTATGCCAGGTAAGTATAATTTCTTTGAACTACTGTAGATTGGGTTAATTTGGCGAGTTTGGCGAAATTGAAAAAATTCGCCAATATAAATCTTTGCCCAGATTCAGAATGAATCCCCGGGAATTATCTAGCCTGGTATTTCGCCCAGTGTATTTAGGTCACTTTGGGTTTAGTTTTTTCAAAATATATGAAAAATGTCTCTCATAAATTGACTCATTAATACTCAGGGAAAAACTAGAAAGGAAAAGCGCGGTATAGTAGCAGCATCGATCGAGGTACAAAATGTAAAAGAGGATCTCACAAAAATGTACAAACGTGGTGAATATTGCCAGTGGTCCTCAAAAGAAAAAATGAACATAGCCAAACATGCCCATTTACATGTTTATTCGCAAACAGTGCATACGTTTAACATTTTTTGGCATATCCACCAAATTAAATAGCCGCTAATATGCCAAAAATGGCAAAATTAATGCCAAATTAACCCAATCTACAGTATGATTTCTATATATATATATTTCTAGAAATTCATACACATTATTCTTATGATTTTATTTTAATAATGATTTCTAAAATAATTCTTTGCATTTCTGGTTTCATTATTAAAAAATGAAACATTATCTTGTGAATTAAACCATGTGTAAATTATTTTGGTATTGACTTGAAATATGGTATATGCCATTGGCATGATTATGGCATGATCATATCTGCGGTTGGTGATGGCGTCTGTAACAAATTCTTATAACTTCCAATAACTTCAAATACTGTTTAGACTGACTTCAAGGTCAAGAAATTCAAAATGTCTTTTTTCAACTTGCTTCAAATTCACCAATCTTTTTTTCAAAATCACGGACAAGTTCTCAACAGTTCAATTCTGATTATAGATTTGACCTTCAGTGACATTCTCAAGGTCAAAAAATAATTGACCTTGACCTTCAATTTCATTCTCAAGGTCAAATAGGTTTTTTTTGTCTTGCTTCAAATTGACCATTTTTTCAAAATCATCTACAAGTTCTCAGAAGTTCAAATCTCACTTTATATTTGAGATCCCACCTTCATTAATTTTCTCAGGGTCAAAAAAGGTTTTTACAAATTGCTTCAAATTGACCAATTCATTTTTTCAAAATCATAAAGTTCTTAGAAATTTATATCTGACTAAGATTGTGAACTCATAATATTGTAAGCAACAAGGTGATGTCATTTTGTCATGTTCATGCCTTGTGCTCAAGTTGCGATTTCTTATAATGAATATATGTGTGAGCTTTATTTTTCATTGTTCACTGATATAGCTATTGCTTTCTATATGGTGTTATAAACCCATATTTTGTCTTTGGAAGGATTGAAGTAGGTTAGTTGATGTATCATTTCCTTTTTTTCAGTTCTAGAGACATTGCAACAGTAAGGAGAAGAGATAGGATACACCAATCAAGAAACTCTCAACAAGGTATGTAAACAGTAATTGACAACGTAGCCAATTCCCTTACATTAAAAAAATAATGTACTGTGTGACACATTTTGACTCTCACAAATGAAATGGGGGAAATGTGTGCCACTGACTCTTCTCTCAGCCTATTGACTCTGACACATGGATATGGTGTTTAAACTGCTTCTTTATTCGGTACATTAATATTCCATAAATACCAAATAAAACGAACAATTTACCAAACCTTTACCCAATCTATCGAATGTTTTTTTTTATCAAATGTAATAATCTATACAATTTATATTTGCTAAATAGTTTCACTTGTTCTTTGTATTGACATTCACATTTGATATTTAAAATAATTTATACATGTATTTGTGTGATGCAGCGAATCAATTTGTTTTCCTTAACGCACGTATAATTCAATTAATTATTTGTACATTCGGTATTTAAATTATTTATATTCGGTAAATACTGAATGCCACATTTGATAATTTCGTTATTTTTCGATAATTTACGAGACTCAGTCACGTGATATATTTGCACAATGTAGAATAGCTGCGTGGCCATTTTGCAAATCTCGAAGTCACGTGACAAAATATCGAACAACAACGCAATTTATCAAAAAAATTTAAAAATTACTCTGCTGACTTGTGTTTTGTATTTTTGATTTTTGGGCTTTTACTTTGACCTTTTTATTTTCAGATGGTCGGCTCCAAAGATGCACCAGATGTGAGTTCACTACCTCAAAACTAGGTGCAATGGGGCATCATACCAAGGCAGTTCACCCAAGGAGTAAGTTTTACCTTCCATGAACATATCAAATATTATCAATTAAGATAATATTATTCCAGGAAATTCATCAGCCTAAAATTCTTACAGATCGAAGTTTTGATGTGTACAGGTATTTTGCTGATCAGTATTCATATCACTGTGTGTTTGTTTGTTTACTTAACATTCAAGATCATACATGTCATATATGCAATTTTGATAAAATATAGGCCTTTTGTATTTGTAATATATTAATCTGTGTTGTGTCACCAATTTCTGAACATTAATCTTTAAGACATATTTAAGACACAAGATCTCAGGGAATTATTTATTTACCTTAATCAAGAAGACCAAGGCTTGCTCCAATAGCTCCAGAATGAATAAATACAAAATGAAATCATTAATGACATAAATGTAAAAAATACTTATTGCAGAGAATCAATTATGCTGAAAATATTTCCACCACAACTAAATATATCCCTATGAGAGCCTTGAGTATTTTGTAGATCCTTAAATTACATGTTTATTGTAGTGCAACGTGAATGCGGAATTAGGGGTTGCAAAGAGGAAGTGACAAAAGAAAATCTTGACGACCATGTTGAAAACCACAAAAGTAAGTGTATAAAAAGTCTCTAAATGTAGAAGAATACATATTCTTAGTTAAAGTTCGGAGAGGTTATAATAAAGTGGGAATTGGTTGTGAGGTCACATTTTGGTAACAGTTCAGAGAGGTTATAATAAATTTGTTACATATTAGACACCATGCTTCTGATACTACAAGTTTATGGTGATTGATTCAAAAAATATATCATCTTGCAAGGGTGTGGCGGAGATTGGTGATTGACGGTTGATGTCTGTAACATATTCGTACAGCTTCCAATACTTTAACAAATAATGTTTAGACTGACTTCAATATTTTTCAAAATCATCTACAAGTTTTCAGAAGTTCATATCTGACTTTATATATAAGATTTGACCTTCAATAACCCTAGCAAGGTAAAAAAGAGGTCAAAACGCTCTTTTTCAACTTTCTTCAAAATGACCAATTTCTTTTTTCAAATCAACTACAGGGTCTCAGAACTTAAACTCTGACTATATATTTGACCTTCAATGACATTCTTAAGGTCAAAAAAGATTGACCTTCAATGACCTTCTCAAGATCAAAATGGATTTTTTCAACTTGCTTCAAAATGACCAATTTCTTTTTTTAAACCAACTACAGGGTCTCAGAACTTAAACTCTGACTATATATTTGACCTTCAATGACATTCTCAAGGTCAAAAAAGATTGACCTTCAATGACCTTCTCTGGGTCAAAAATGGTCTTATTAACTTGCTTCAAAATTCACCAATTTTTTTTCAAAGTCATCTACAGAAATTCAGAAAGCCATCTTAAGAATTATACAGTTGCAGGTTTTCAACAACAAAAACAGTTCATCCAAAAGCACTTACACCACTAATTATGATTTGTCAATCTTGTCATCTAAGCTGCCTGTATCAGGCATGTTAAGCCTTGTTCAAAAATAAACCTTTTGAGGATTTATTCTGTGAATAAAGGAACAGGCAAATGTTATAATAACATTGGGTCAGAATTTTAAAATGTCATTGAAATTAGGCCCATGAGTGAGCGCGGGAAACATTGAACAAACATATCAATTTCAACAAGATTTTTCCAATCTTCACAACAGTAAGATATAACAAGAAATTTAAAGACCATTTTATGGTTCGAATTGGCCATATGTCTTTGAGATAATGAAATATTGCCACTGACTTATGCTAGCCATAATGTAATAGTTAATGTTGCACACATAAAATAAATTATCTTCATGCGATATTCAATCTTTATCCTATGCCAAGTAGAGTTTTAGGGAGATAAGTTGGTAAGATATATCCCATATTCTGATTTTGAGGTTTCCATATCCAGAACCTCCTTATCTCCCCCGCCATATCTCCCGCTTCGGTGCATATCTTCTAGCTTCCGGTGCATATCTTCCTGCTTCCGGTAATGCAATAAAATGACTTTGCATATGAATGATTGTTTATTTTTACACCTTGTACTATTGAAATGGCCATATGCCACTGAAAACTCAACTTGGTATAGGATAAAGCAGTTATGTGCGGTGGGTTTGGATATAGGGTTCATCCCTCGTGAGATATGCACATCTACCTTCGGATCCCTACGATCCCTCAGGTAGATATGCATATCTCCCTCTGGATAAACGCCATATCCAAAACCTCCCAGTACATAACCCTTATATATCCTTGCAACCATTAGAAAAGAGAGTTGTTATTTCTTGTAGATGGTATCATTCACAATATCAATCTAGATATAGAGGCAGCACCAGAGGATGTACCATTCCAAGTAAAAAAGACCTGGCAAAATGTATGTATCATAATGAAAATTAATTATTCAGAACATATCTTGTTTTTGAAAAATATGGTTACATAAGAATCTCATTATTGTTTCATTAAACAAATACATTTAGAGATGATTTCAAATCTTATCCATTCTGATATTGTCCATAAACAGACACTGTCCATTTAAATTGTCTGTCTTTAGGTCATTATTCTAGTTGATCAACACAATACATATTGTTGTTATTTAATGTTGTAGACAAAGTGGAGGGGACTCATTACAAAATGTTCAGCAACCAAGGTGTCTGACCTGAGGAAGATGATAAAAGAGAGAGTAAGTGTTTTACTAAAAAAATATTATCCAACTGAATGAAGAAAGAGATATATGGACTCTGCTCGAAAGGGAATTTTTAAACATCACCTTTCAATGGTCCTTTTTACATATAGCTTTGAAATCTTGTTTAAGTCTAGTATTTAATGAGATTTTAGCTGATCTGCATTTTTAACAATTAAAGACTAAAGTTTTCTTCCATTTGATAGCATATTTGAATTCCCTGTGTAAACTTCTTTCAAAACAACTTTGATTTGCACTGTTATTTACCTTTATTCGAATTTTAATGGTTTTCTCGTTGTCTAAAAAAGGTCGGGCTAAACCCTCATTGACATGCTGAGAATCTTTAAAAGTTCATTAACTCTTACAAGGATCACAATTTTAATGTGAAATCACAATCCACATGTCAATAAGATTATATAGTTACATTCCAATGGTGTTTTAAGTATATCCGAATGGAATTACTTCTTAAATCAAGAATATATTGAATGGCCTAATCTATGAGAAACCTGTCATTCACTTTGATGATTTTTGATCAGTATTGTCTAAAAAATATGTTTTTGGTTATTACAGATCTTACAGTTATATGCTCTAACTGGAGAGCAGATTTGTCTAGTGTCAGTGACACCATGCCCACGCTCCCCATATATGTGGAAATTTTCTACTCCGGGATGTGCAACAACAGTTCTGAGTGGGAATGCAGCCCGGGCTCTTTCAAATGACTTGTACAACAAAATGAAAGGTAATCATATTTGAATAAATTGTATGTCAAAAAGTGATGACATACTGTCTCTGACATACGTTCTCTATGTTTTGTGATGATGATCGCCAATTGGAGGGTAGCGGTTGATGGTTGGCATCTGTGACAAATTCTTACAACTTCCAAAAACTTAACAAATCCTGTTTAGACTGACTAGTCATTAAAGTGTTTTTTACTAGCTTTAATCTGATATGGCGAACTTTTTGAACACACGTTTCTCTTAAACCAGTCATCAAAAATTTCTGAAAATCTTACAAATTGACAATTTAATGGCCATCTTTTGAATGGTAAAAATATAATTTGAAATAGATATACATACTTTCATCTCTATTGTTTTAAAAAACGCATGAAACACTTGTTTTGCTCTTGGTATCATGTTTCCAGAGTGAAATGAAACATCTTTCCAAACCTCATTGGAACAAAACGACATAAGCACAGCATGTTAGGTCTCTCAATATTGTAATTGTACAAAAGAAATTTTGGTTGATTTTGAAAAGTATCTTGTTATTGAAATAAAAAGTTTTTCTTGATTTTTATCTATTTTGGGGGGATTTTGTTTTAATTTTTTGAATACTTTTTTAAAATCAACCAAAAATTCCTTTGTATAACTTTAATATTGAGAGGTCTAAAAACATGTTGTATATGCTATTTTGTTCCAACAAGGTTCGGAAAGACATTTTATTTCATTCTCAAGAATTGGTAGAAAGGAGCAAAAACAGTCACACTAAAAAAAAAATGTTAACAAAAACAGTTATATAATATATTTCTAAATAATTTTTGCATTAAATTGTTGTCAATCAGTCAACATTACATAAAATACCATGCTTTTTTACATACTGTTTTCAATGATTGGTTTAAGAGAAAAAAATTGTTGAATTCAGTTCTCCATATCGATATCTATCCTTTAAATCTGACTATACATGACATTACATGTGCATTAAAAACAGAAATATACATTAATTATTGTGACATTTTTTGTTCTAGTTGATGGTGCAGACACACGTGAAGAGTTAAGCGATAGTGGGGACAGAGTTGGTGGTGTGAGTGGAGAGAGAGTTGATGGTGAGAATGTGAGTGGAGATAGAGCTGATGGTGAGAGTGTGAGTGGAGATAGAGCTGATGGTGAGAGTGTGAGTGGAGATAGAGCTGATGGTGAGAGTGTGAGTGGAGATAGAGCTGATGGTGAGAGTGTGAGTGAAGAGAGAGTTGATGGTGTGAGTGAAGAGATAGTTGATGGTGTGAGTGAAGAGAGAGTTGATTGTGTGAGTGAAGAGAGAGTTGATGGTGTGAGTGAAGAGAGAGTTGATGGTGTGAGTGAAGAGAGAGTTGATGGTAAGAATGTGAGTGGAGAGAGAGTTGATGGTGTGAGTGAAGAGATAGTTGATGGTGTGAGTGAAGAGAGAGTTGATGGTGTGAGTGAAGAGAGAGTTGATGGTGTGAGTGAAGAGAGAGTTGATGGTGAGAATGTGAGTGGAGAGAGAGATGATGGTGTGAGTGGAGATAGAGCTGATGTTGTGAGTGCAGAGATAGTTGATGATGTGACTGCAGTGATAGTCAGTAGTGAGTGTGTGAGTGGAGAGTTAGTTGGTGTGAGTGTAGAGATAGTTGATAGTGTGAGTGAAGAGACAGATGATACTAAGGGTGGAGAGAAAGGTGGTGGAGTGAGTGAAGAGACAGATGATGCTATGAGTGGAAAAAAAGGTGGTGGAGTGAGTGAAGAGACAGATGATGCTATGAGTGGAAAGAAAGATGGTGGTGTGAGTAGAGAGAGAGTTGATGTTGTGAGTAGAGAGAGACTCAGTAATGAGAGTGTGAGTAAAGAGAGAGTTGGTTGTGCGGGTGTGACTGCAGTTATAGTCAGTAGTGAGTGTGTGAGTGAGAAGAGGGTTGTTTGTGAGGGTATGAATGAGGAGAAAGTCATTGGTGAGATTGTGAATGAAGAGAGAGTTGCCACCATTAATGATATAAGCGAAGGATGTACCATCAAGAGAGAATACAACATGTCAGATGGTGGGACAGAGTGGTTTAGAGGTACGAATTGATCAATATTGATATATTATAATAAAAAAATAATAGGATTGCTTAAACATTGTAAACAAGAATTGAATGTTTAGTAACAAGTCCACCATAATTGAAAAATTTCGCTTATGGGTTACATTTACAGATACGCCTTATATTCATAATCCAATCGACAGATAACTATCTGGAAGTTTTGCAATAACCAATGAGACAATGCAGTGCCTTAGTTAGAAGAGGTTGCTCTCTATTGTCAATTCTAATGACAGAATAGTTTTCTTGATTTTCACCTTTATAATCATTTCCAAACACTTGACTTAGACCATTGGCAGAGTACTAACAATAATGTATAGGCCTATGTATGTGTAATTTGTAAACTATGTATTTTCAGGGGTTGTCAGATCTGTCAGCACAAAAAGAAAATATTTCAAGATACTATGGGAGGATGAAACAGAGGAAGAAACATTAAATAAAAAACAAATGACTTTTTGTCTAAAAAACAGAAACATTGTGATTCGATAATATGAATGGACACTGTTAAGGAGATTTGTCTTTGTTGTGCTTATTTTCCAAAATTACATACCTATTTAATACCTAACTAACCCTTTACTTTTCTTTTATTACATGTCTGGAAAATCAAGATTATTTAAACTGGTTTATGTTGTAAAGATTGAATAAAATAATAAAGTAGTTCACTATATGTGTATGTTTTGTTATGTTGTGTCCTGATATGACCTATAAAAGACAACATGTTCAATTCAATTTTAGGCCAATTTGAATAACCATGGCTGTAAATAATGGGGCATGGAAAGCGATAAAGTGATCAAGGATGAGTCTGGGCATAAACCCATTTGAGTCCTCACTAAAATCTTGTGAAATAAATGTTTGAAGAGAGAATCGGAGATAGCGAGCAGGCCCAACAAAAAATTGTTTCAATTTTAGAATATTTCTGGCTCATAATTCCTTGTCATGTCTATTTTCTAAAAATCCCCAAAGTGCACACTTTATTTCAGGAAAACTAAAGATTTTTACAATAATGTATTATTTTTCTATAAGAATGGTTACCATTCTTATTATTTGGGAGAATTTAAACATTTTTCACCTATTTTTGCACTTTGAATCCATAATAACTTCACCAATTTAGAACATATCGTGAATCTTTTGGGAGATATTGTATTTGAGATTGTAAGGAATAGATTGGTAGGTCAATCATACATATTGCTTGTAATTTTGTCACCCCTATAGATCTGATTCTGCCTTTAAGTGAAAAAGTAAATATCCTAGCAAAAAACAGTTTTATCATATAAAAAAGACGCAAATGGCAACAAGTGCGAAATACAAAGAATAACTTAAAAGACCAGTTGAACTCCTATAACCTGTCAATTCCCAACTTATGACAAATGAAACCCTGAAATAACTGTTTTAAAACGCCTGTCACATTTTGGAAATAAGTTTTAAAATGATGTAGAGCTTGAAGGATTTCATATCAGATATTGACAACTTCCCCTTTCATTCACTACTTTTCAGTACACAATCTACGCTTCAGAACCACCTTGTATTTCGTACTACATGAAGCATTGTATATCTAAACACCAATGGGACCACTGTATTTGTCCATCTTTTTTGTAATCCCACTAGTGGGGCCTAGTTATGAACCTTGATATATGAACCACTGCTTCTAGACTTGTTTTGACTTGTCTTAATCTTTGGCCCCCTCGCCCTAATTGGAACTAATACATTGGACGCATATTTGTATGCTTAATGTCCAAAATATGCTGGGTAGAAAACATATGTTTATGAAAATACGACCCACAGGCAATCGAGACCTGGCTTATCATAAAAGTTTCAAGATGAACTGTTGTTTCGCACAAAGAAGTATGCGTGCTTGAGATGTTAGACGAGGTTAACAAAAACGGAGAACACATCAGAGGCGTACCTAGGCTGTTTTGTCAATGTACGCAGAAGTAAAGTGTAAACTGACAAAATAATCACTGGAAGGAGAATCGAACTCATCCGCTACAAAGATTTTGAAGAAATTTCTTGGGACTCTCTCAATTGTGTCTCGTACCGGACAGGATAGAATATAACTATCTAAAAGGGATTTGGATCGCTAATACAAAGTATATAGGATAATTTTATCTTCTTTAAAATTTGCAATATATTGAGTGTTCTTATTAGCGTTCTGTACGCATTTGCGTACTTTCCGTAAATATAAATACGTCATTCATATTTGGGTGTTTTGGAGTCAAAAGACGTTGCTTACATTACTATTAATATCGTGAATATGAATACGGTTTCTAGTGTCATTTACAGGTTTGTCATTCTTCACATCAAGTTTCATCCGAGTTGGAGTGCTGTCATTCTGATATTATACTACTACTCCTGCAACCAAGCACCTTTATATAAAAATTCAATCACAACATTAACCAAGATTATAGAGATACTCATTCTTGATCCCATTTTCTATTAAGCACTACACAAATGTTTAGGAGTTGAAAACTACTGTAATTTAATGTGAAAGATGAGCTAAAACATTTATTACTCAATAAGAATGGAGGAAAGAGGAATCTAAATGAGTCACGTTCGATCATTTCAGTGTCTTGACTATATACATTCTTTTACCATGGGCTTTCAATTATCTAGTTGAAAGCCCATGCTTTTACGTAGGTAATTCTCCCCCAATTGATTGTTGTTCTGAAGCCCTGCTACGAGCGAGCGATGTTTAATGGATCTTGTCGCACACTTGTACATGTCCTAAATTATATTTAAAGGATCCGACGTAGCATAATTCATTTTCGGAACGACGGAAGTTTCAAGGGTTTATCCCAGCGTAAGATATATGCTATCAATAAAGATTTCGTCTGACATAGATTGTCTATATCATGCATTTTATTTAAAGGATGTGACAGCACAATTCATCTAAGGAACGACAGACGTTTTAAGGGTTTATCCCAGCGTAAATGATCTACGCTATAAATGAAATGATTGGTGTTTCTAAATTTCGCCTGCCTGCCATAAATTATCTATATCATGAATTTCATTTAAAGGGTATGACATAGCATACATATAAAAGGATCTTTTCTGACATACATTGTCTATGTCGTAAATTTCATTTAGCGTGTCTGAAATTGCATAATTCATCTATTACGGTCTAGCCCAGCGCAAATGATCTAGGACATAGGTTTGATAATTCAAATGATCTGGACTGATATACATTGTTTCCGTTACGAATTTTGTTTAAAAGGGCTGACATAGCATAATTCATGAATTATATGATGGAAGTTTAAAGGGCCCAGCCCAGCGTAAATGATCTATTCTATGCATGAGGAAAGTTTAAAGGATCTCGCCTGACATATATTGTCCATGTCTGAAATGATTTTGTCTATGTTTATGTCTGAATTGATTTTGAGGGATCTAACATAATGTTGTCATCTATTTTTTCTTGCAAACATCAATAACAACAAAAAACAATGTTTTAAAGTATTTTCTTTGCATATTATTAATAACGCAACATTTGTAATACAAAGATACTATTACAATAACTCAGTCACAAAATTATAAAACCTTATATTATCAAAAGCTTGAAGAAATACATATTAGTTGAAAAATATATTGACCATTTTATAAGCATATTGAAATATGTGACATCTCTCACTGTTTAAAGTGTCCACTGTAACATGTTTCACTGTATGGACTAAGACAACTATTTACAAGATGTATGGTATTCACTTGTTGTGAAACCATCAGCTGATATGTGTTCATTGCAACATGTTTTACTGTAAAGTATAACAAAGGACAATATTGACTAAGAGAAATATTTACAAAATGTATGGTATACACTTGTTGTGAATCATCAGCTGATAAGTGTTAATTGCAACATGTTTCACTGTAAAGTATAACAAAGGACCATTTTGACTAGGTAAATATTTGCAAGATGTACGGTATTCACTTGTTTTGAATTAGTAACTGATAAGTGTTCATTGCAACATGTTTCACTGTACAGTATGACCAATGAACTTATCAAATAAGACAATATTTGGAATCTACTTTAAAATCAATAACTTAAAGTATAAATTCTCTTTCATTTGAGTATAAGAAAGCTATATTCAGAAGGATAGAAAAATTGATGAAAATTCCTGTTCCCATGCACAGACCCTGGGAGTTGTGCAGAAAACATGGAATTTATGGCAGCAGACAAAATCAACAACAGTGAAGAGTAAGAGATAAAGCAGTATTGGCAAAAGGAAACCAATGGACATTTCTTTCATATAGAAGCCATTACAATATGTGTTGAAGATGAATACAAATGGATAAACCAATGCTCATGACATCAAAGATATTTTTTGATACAGTAACATCTGTCTAATCCAAACACCATTGGGACTGGCTAAGTTAAGTTATTTATATTTAGTACATATATAAATGAAAAAAAACACATAAAAGTATAACATTGGTCTTACAGTTTTAGCACAAAATATTATGTTGTGACTTAAAATCCAAATATCTTGAGCATACTCTGCTATATCTAATAAGCAGGGATACATAAATACCATACGCTGGGTTATATATGATATTGCTATCAAAATATGGAAAATTCAAAATGTCAAAAATATCATTATCATTACTCTGTCTCTGAAAAATCAGATTCACTGTCAGAATTATCACTGTCAGACTCGGATTGAATTTCTGGAATGTCAGTGATATCCCTGAAATAGTGCAACCCTTTTTTCATTTGCTCATCAAAAAATAGTTTCCTTTCCTTGTGATGATAACCACTTTTTAAGAGGCCAGACAAATATGTTTGTTCTTTTGCAACAATTTCTTTGGTTGGATTTTGAGCATAATAAAGGAGGAATTGTTTCATTTCTTGTTTGAGGAGTGCCTCTTCTTCTTGCAATCTGGCTACTGATTCTTTTTTATTTACTAATTCTCTCTTATGTCCTAATGTAACTTCCGATTCCCAAGGAAAGTTTCCTTTCACTAACCCTGGCATATCTTCAGTTCTTATCTGCGGGTACTTTTCATTGTTATTGATCTCTTCTGCTGCTGTATTGTAAGTTTCAACACTCTTTTCGATCAATTTCATGGTGGCTGTGTTGGCCTTTCTTATTCTGGCTCTATCTTTACTTGTCTCTGTAATTGAAAAGAATATATAAATATAGCAAGAAAAGCTAAAAACTCCAGAGTTATATATCCCTACCAAAGGATAACTAATAAGATTAAAAACAGTAATGCTCATTACATTGGTTAGAAATGTAAAACCTATATTTTCAGGAAAAATTCACCAAATTTTTCAAAGAGGCAGTCATCTTGAAATCAATATTTTTGCATAAAACTATTGACCAATATCATATAATATTTCAATAATATTCAATTAGTATTGATTAGTTATTTTCTGGACATCTTGATGGATGGATGTTATTTGAAACTTTCTTACCAGCTAGTGAGATAAATTTCTCAACTCTTGAGTTATAAGTGTGAACATTGACCTCAATGGTGTTTTGTTGAGTTTGGGCAATGCTCATGGCTGTTGCAAGCTGCCCCTCTGCCAAACATGTTTCGCCTAGCACATTTTGTAGTGTGGCAAGTCGTGCAAGTCTGGCATCAAGCTTCTTCTCTAAGCTTTGATGAAGCTCCATAGTTCCTGAAGAAGGAC